TTCTTTTGGTGCAGAAAATACAATAAAATAAATATAGAAAAAGATATACTATGAAAATACAAAAAATATGCAGTACACAAACTTTAAGTAATATAAAGGATTTGCAATAAATCTAGTTACAGTCAATTACTGAAGTACAAATAAACAGCATGTGCAGCTAAAAGAATTGAGCATCTTATATAATGTTTATTATAAAATGAGTGTAGTTAATAAGCTAGAACTGCCTATATGCACTGAATAGCTGAATAGAGTAAAGTGAAAAAGATTCTCATTTAGAAGAATTATAGTACTGGATATACAGGATATACAGAGTATATGGTATTTAGACTGATTTAACCTGGTTTATTTAAAAAAAGTTTTATTAAAAAATGTCCTTTCTGTGATATGGACCTTTTAAGGGAAAATGATTAGTATGTCTCTTATATATATATATATGAGATGAGCGTTGTAATTGTCAAAAGCAATTCTAATTTCTAACATTTTAGGATGCCAAACTTGCAACCTGCAGTTTATTAGATATTTAAATGATTCATTTACTGAATGCAAACATGTTTCTCTACAACAAGATGGGCAAGGGCTCATTCAAGTATGCCTGGGTGCTGGACAAACTGAAGGCTGAGCGTGAGCGTGGTATCACTATTGACATCTCTCTCTGGAAGTTTGAGACCAGCAAGTACTACATCACTATCATTGATGCCCCTGGACACAGAGACTTCATCAAGAACATGATTACTGGTACCTCACAGGTTGGTTACTTTTGCAGCTTAATTTTCTGCAGGTCCTACAGTTCCCCAGTTTCACATGCCTGATTTTAGTTCATTGGCAGGGGAACCTACCTGCAAACACTTATGATACAGTATTTTCTCTTGTTTTTTTAATCAGGCTGACTGTGCTGTGCTGATTGTTGCTGCTGGTGTTGGTGAGTTTGAGGCTGGTATCTCCAAGAACGGACAGACCCGTGAGCACGCTCTCCTGGCTTTCACCCTGGGAGTGAAGCAGCTTATCGTTGGAGTCAACAAGATGGATTCCACCGAGCCCCCTTACAGCCAGAAACGTTTTGAGGAGATCACCAAGGAAGTCAGCGCTTACATCAAGAAGATTGGCTACAACCCTGCCACTGTTGCTTTTGTCCCAATTTCTGGATGGCACGGAGACAACATGCTGGAGCCCAGCACAAATGTAACACTATTTTTCTAGTTTACAAGGGTTTCAGGGCTAAATTTAACTTAAACTATGGGCTTAATATTCAGTTATTAATCTTAAGACTTATAATTCAGTGTCTACCATTAATGATTTGGTTAATACCTTGAACCTAATATATAGTTTCAAGCATGAGGAATTGAACTTTAGGGATTAAAAGCCTAATCCATGTGTTTTTAGAGTTAAACTACATCTTGGTTTATCACTGTTTGCCTCTCAGTCTATAGATAGCAGTAAAACAGGCATAGCATGAATATAATGAAGGTTATATTGAGCTCAAATGTAAAGAATTAAGGATTTTGTCACTGCTTTTAATCCTAGTACAAACAGAAATGTGAAAAAATGGCTTGAATACAGCAACATTTCTATTTAAAAACTATTGTCTGCCTTTTGTAGATGAGTTGGTTCAAGGGATGGAAGGTTGAGCGTAAAGAGGGTGGTTGCAGTGGTACCACTCTCTTGGAAGCCCTGGACTCCATCCTGCCCCCTACCCGCCCCACAGACAAGCCCCTGCGTCTCCCCCTGCAGGATGTCTACAAGATTGGAGGTAAAAATATCCTTCGTTAGGCGTCCTTATATTCCTCTGGTTGACCCATGACTCCAGAATTATTTAGCGCTGAAGACAACCATCGAAATTTGTTTTCATGTACATCTCTTCAGGTATTGGAACTGTCCCCGTGGGTCGTGTGGAGACAGGTGTCCTCAAGCCTGGCATGGTTGTGACCTTTGCCCCTGTGAACGTGACCACTGAGGTCAAGTCTGTGGAGATGCATCACGAGTCTCTTGCTGAGGCTCTGCCCGGTGATAATGTTGGCTTCAATGTGAAAAACGTGTCAGTAAAGGAAATCCGTCGTGGAAACGTGGCTGGAGACAGCAAGAACGACCCACCAATGGAGGCTGGCAACTTCACTGCTCAGGTAATTTTTGTGATCAAATGTTTATTGCTTTTTTAACATCAGTGTGCACAATGACATTCAATCAACACATGCATAACTATTAAAAAAAGGAAAGATAAAAGAAAAGAGGAACACATGAAGAGAGGATACAAAAACAAACTTCTAAATCATAACCTTAGTGTCTGGTAAATGCTGTTCACACCATCAGACACAAATCTGATTCTATGAGATTGTAGTGCAGGTTATATCTTTATCTTCCTCTTCTTTTTACAGGTCATCATCCTGAACCACCCTGGTCAGATCTCTCAGGGCTATGCTCCTGTGCTGGACTGCCACACTGCTCACATTGCATGCAAGTTTGCTGAGCTCAAGGAGAAGATTGACCGTCGTTCTGGTAAGAAGCTTGAGGACAACCCCAAGAGCCTCAAGTCTGGAGATGCCGCCATCATCCTCATGGTCCCTGGGAAGCCCATGTGTGTGGAGAGCTTCTCACAGTACCCACCTCTGGGTGAGTATGCTTGTTTGAGCTGAAGCTGGTCTGCTGTAGATGTTATCTGTTAAAAAGACCTGTAAAGACCAAAATGTGAGCCCACGTTTCAGTTCCTTCCTCTCTACGTACAGTCTTGTGCAAAGGTTTGGGTGCACCTGCATGTGTTCTTGATTTAATAATAAGTTAACATGTCCTCTTCAGGCAACACACTTCTGCACATTTTAATGCACAGTTTCTGTTTATTTGCTGAATCTAACATATTGGGAAAAACACATTTTGGTGGCCTGCACCAGTTATGACATGTTTTACATCTAATGTTTTATTTTTTTCTAATATGTTAAACTCAGCGAAGGAGTGGAAAGTGTGCAATAAAAATGGACAGAAATCTTCCATATATATAAGATTCTTCCCTATAGAGGATGTGCTAATTTATTTTCACTTAAAAAATCAACAAAAAATGTAATTTGACCTGGGGGTATTTAAACGTTTGCATACGATTGTACCTAGCATCTTCGTTGTGTTGTAGTTATTGAATCCCTTGGAGTTACTGAATATTAAGTTATAATATTAATAGCTGTTTAATAATCCTAGACTTCAAGGGGCTACTGACCATTTTGCTGCTTTGTTTCAGGTCGTTTTGCTGTGCGTGACATGAGGCAGACAGTTGCTGTAGGTGTTATCAAGGCTGTTGACAAGAAAGCCGCCAGCTCTGGCAAGGTGACCAAGTCTGCTCAGAAAGCCGCCAAAGCCAAATGAACTCCCCCTTCAGCCACACAGCAAGGCATGCTCACAGCATCCTATTCTGCAATGTCTCAGAACCTGAACTTACTTCTTAAGGACTGGTTAATGCTGATAAAAACCCATCGCAAAAGCTTTCGCAGGAAAGGAGGAAATCGTCTTTTTCTAAGCACCTTAGGAGAAAATGATTGTGAAAATAAAAAATGATCACTAACTACAAACGACTGCCATTAGTCTTTCTGCTAATGTCAGCGCAAAGCTGATTGTGTGTCTTTCATTGCATCTGCCAGTATGTCTTGACTGTCCTGAAGTAAACACACTTTAAACATTAGCTTTTAAAAAATGATGAGTTTTTATACAAAAGCAAATATTTTGTGATGATTTTTATGCTAACTAAAAGTTTCCAGAGATATTTTATGCAGAGTTTGGAGTCTATGATGTTGCAGGTCTAAGAGTTCTTCTGTGGGGTTCTTGAACTCATATGAAAACATATAATTGGTACAGAGAAAAAAGATTACAAAAAAAGGTTTACTTTTCCCTGAAAGTGAAAATGAGTGATTCCCAAATCCCTAGAGTTTTTAATCTGGAAGTGATAATAAGAGCTTTTCCTGAATGTAGAGGAAAGTTCATGACCATATCTCGGTGTGAATTAATCCTAAGCATAATGGGCTTCATAATGGACTTCTTGGAAATAGTTGAATTCTTATCTTCTACTGATTCTCCCAATTAAATTAGCAGTTAAACATGGAATACATTACTCAGCACCTGAAATAATAATAATAAATAATAATAATTTTATTTATATAGCACTTTTCATGCCGGTGACAGCTCAAAGTGCTTTACAGACAGGTGATAAAACATAGTTATAGAAAAGACGATTAGTACTTAATTAGAATCAGAAGAAAATGAAGAAGATTAAATTACAGATAAACACCATGAGACATTCAGTTTTAGTTAAATGCTAATTTAAAGAGATACGTTTTTAAGTGCTTCTTAAAAGTGAGCACTGAGCTTGACTGTCTAATAAAAGGTGGAATTGAGTTCCACAGTTTAGAAGCATAATAACTGAAAGAGGCCTCTCCATGTTTTCTGTATTTTACAGAGGGTATCTGTAGAAGGCCACTATCTGCAAATCTTAGATTGCCTGCCGGAACATAAACAGACAGACACTCTGTAAGCAGCAATTGCTTTGAAGCTGACAGCTTATACAAAAAACAAAATCTAACAATGTCTGGTAACATGGTTCCTGCCAGGAAGCTCCTTTATACCTGGCTTATGAGCGGTTTAGTGTTCCAGCCCTCTGGTTATGTCCTACTGCACAGAAGACAGTGATAATGAAAGTGAAAGACAATATTTAAATTAGGTGCAAGAGGTCAAATACATAATATATTGTTAGTGAAATATACGATATATGATTAGGGGAATCATGTATATTCCACATCTTTCATGTAAATATACTAATGTCTTTACATAGACATTACACTGGCTCCTTCTCAATGAATCATCAATGGCAACATTCAGATTTTAAATGTATACCTTGTGCCTGGTTCCGGTGCTTTTGGTGAAAACATAACTAAAAGCAATAAAACTCGCCATTTGCAAGTGGCATTTAGTGAATGAGAACTTCAGCGATTGCGCAACGTGCAAACCTTTCAGCACGGTGCATACGTGTGATCCATAAAGACGTCAGCATTTCCGGTGTCCCTGCCTGAGCAGCTTCGTTTTCCATGTAATGAAAGTGTAAAGTCTTTTCATAGCTGGGTGGAACCATCGTTCCAGCTGAGAGCCAAAGTCTGCGTTCAGGTGTTTACTTGAACTGCACTGAGAGAACACTGTAGTTAACAGAGACGCTCGTCTGAGGACGTACACGGTTGGTATTATTTGTTGTAATGTATGAAACCAGTGGTTTCATTTTCTGAAGTACATTTCTGAATTAAATCTGGACGTTTTTCAGCTTTACCTGAAACTTCAAGATGATGAGAATTGCACCTGTGAAGAAATTAAAGGCTGACGGTGGTGAAGCTCCAGACTCACCTGCACAACAAGAAAACACTGACAAGAACCTGCCTCAGAGGAAGCAGAAAGCATGTAATAAAGGTGAGCCGGTAGTGGAACTATGATCTTTATCACTGATAACCTGTGGTCATGGTACTTTTTTTTAGAAGGGAGACTCTTTTGAGAAGAGCTGACACGCTTAATGAAATGTTACTCGGTGACTTCTTGTTTATAACCCCAACTACTGCTCTTTATGTGTTAGAGAGAATTTGAAGTGCTTAGAAAGGGACAATTCAGGGTTAAAATCTGAATCAGGCTTTATTGTCCATGCAAGATTGCGCATTTATGGTTGGTAACACAATAGCTCCATTTGTACAGTCACATAGACATTCATTCCTGAGCTCTGCCAAACACATGCACTGACTAGAGATGGCATATCTCAGGGGTTCCCAGTTAAAGTCCTGGTAACTCCATGTTATGCACATTTTTGTGTTTTCCCTACTTCTCATGCCTGACCCAGACCTTTTAAGTTGAATTATGTGTGTTAGATGAGACAAAGGATGGTTGTCAAAAAAGTACATACACCTTACACCACACTATCTTTATATAACATTTATCTTTTTCAGACTTATTATTTATTAGCAACTATAAAATTAGCATAAAACTTTTGACCATTTTATCAAAACGTGTTAGTTCTTATTTAGTAACAACTTTGAAATTAGCATGTAATTTATAGGTTAGTTCAACTTTACAATATTATTACCCACTTATTACTTGTAAATTAAACGGCTATCAAAATACTTCACTAATAAGAATTATGATAATAATTATGCAGAAATAAGAAGTATTATTAAGTACTATAAAAGTATAATTGTTGCATAAGTCAACAAATAATCATAGTCCATTAAAGAAGTGATTATAATATACAATATATGTTTATAATAACAATTCTATTTACAACAGGCCGGGCAATATATAGCACCAAAAAGGGTTCTGCTATTGTTATGATGTCAAGCTTGTGATAATAGAAGATCCTTTTTTGGTACTATATAGAACTCTTTTCAAAAAGGTTCTATGTAGAACCATATACAACACATTCTCCCTCAATCTAAAGGACAATTTCACCATGCAAAGAACCATTTAAGCATGCAAATGGTTCTTTAACTGGTCATGGTTCTATACAGGACCACTGTCCTTATTAAAGAACCTTTGAAGAACCATCTTTTTTAAGACTGTGGCTAAGATGCAAAAGAGCTGTCAGATATAAATTATTATATAGCTGATAGTTATTCTCATACATTTTAAATTAAACCCTAAAAAAGATTGTCAAGTGTTGTTTAGTTATTTATGTCAGCAATGACATAAAGAAAGAAACACTGCTCTGCCTGTTATAAATAGAATTGTTGTTTTCAATACTTCTTTACTGAACTATGATTATTTGTTGGCTTTTGCAACAACAGATTTTAATAAAGCTTCTCATTTCTGGATACTTATTATCATATTTCTTATTAGTAAAGTATTTGCAAAATTTTTGTTGGCCTTGTACTTTACAAGTAATAAGGGGGTAATGGTATGATAAAGTGGGTCTAACCTCTACATTAAATGGTGATTTTCAGGTTGTTACTAGTAACAATTTCTGATAAAATGGTCAAAAGCTATATGATAGTTTTCTAGTTGTATAAATAGTAATTTTCTAGTTGTATAAATAGTAAGCTAAGATTATGGTAAGTCAGAAAAATATAAATGTTATTTAAAATATGTGTGGTGTTTTTTTCTTTTTTAACAGTATTTTGTTAACAGGTAACACAAAAGGAGCATGTTGCATTTTCCAGCTCTGATTCTGTGTAATCTCAGTATATTTGCCTCTTCTGTTCTTGGGTAACAACACTTGTCTGTTGGTAGACCTACATTATAAGACTAACAGAACACTTATGGGTGATTAGAATTCAGTAATTTAGTTATAATTTCAGAGAAATTACCCAAATTATTTTTGAAGAACTGGTCTTTTCACCTGATGAGAGATGCAGTACCTGAGTAACAAGACAGAAAGAAGTAAGTTTGCATCTTACAGCTCCAGTGCTGCTTATTTCCACTGTAATTAAAGCCTGTAACTATGTCTGTACTTTGCACTGCACCTGACCATTTAAAGACATAGCAGGTAAGAAACTAAGTAGAAACAAGTGAATGATTTTTTTACAGCTTTAATAGGACATCATTTCAGCAGAACTGCTTCATTGTTTTCGGGGGTAATAACTCGAATAGTATAACACCCTGTAAAGAATTGGAGTGATTTGTTGATTGAGCAGATATTATGCTGTAAATGTAAGAAAAAAAATAAATGGTTTGTTACTATTATTTTTCCATTCTATTGACAACTAATCCCTACTACAATTACTATTGATGATTGTCTTTTTCAGGTTAGTATAACTTACCATAATATCATGTCATTACCCACTTATTACTGATCTGTAAAATTCTTTCAGACTAAGAAATCAGAAATGTGACACAAAACATTTAATTGTAACAGGCAAGAACAATGAATTTTTACACTGAATATTATGACATTAACATTCCTATTAATAGTATTTGTAGTTTGTTGTGATTAAATAATTACACATAAAGCATTAGATATTATCAGTATGATAACTCTTGCCCCCTTACTATATAAGTATCTGAAAAAAAAGTGTCATCTCTCACACTGACAGATACTCAGACATCCAGACTCTTTTTTTCACACAGTCACACATTCATAAATAAAAAGAATGTAAAGTATGTGCAGTATTCAGTAAATGTAAAGTAACATGAGTGCAGTATTCAGAAGCCAGATAACAAATAAAGAATTAAAGACAGCAGCAGTACTACACAAGGCAAGACTTGTTGTATGTGCCACTGAAAATGTCTAATATTAATATGGAGGTAGAAAGCTGATGACAATGATGATGTCGATTTTGGTTCATTTGGTTAGTCTCACAGAAATCCTCACTCCTGATGAAGTTTTGACTCAGTTATTTCTCTTTCAAGGTGAACCTGGAGCAGAAAGGATGGCAGTGGAGGTTTTACCCATCTCCCCTGTTCTTGACCGCATGATTAGGCAGCGGGGCAGAGACTTACGCCTGCGGCAGGTTGAACGGCAGCGTGCTGTGAAGCTGGTCAACACTCTGGTAACGAATTTACAGAAGTTCCTGAAGGACAACGAGGAGCAGCCTTTCTTTAGAGATATCTCTGTGCTCACTACAGGCAGCTACTATGAATTAGTGAAGGTAAGCTCCAACAGTGACCAGCACCACCACAATCTATACTGATATTTAAAAACAAGGTAGAGGTAGAGCTAGTCAGTAAAATTATGTTTTGTGTACAATTTTTGGCACTCTGATTAAAGGTGCTACCAGCCTTACAAAAAAGTGAAAGCAGAGGCATATATACGTAGATATATAGATATTCCTCTCACCGGCACTGTAAATAATTCACAATTCTCTAGAATGGCAAACCACTCCGATGACTTCGTTTACATCATATCTGCTTAATTATGGAGAAATGTTGAACATTTGGAATTCCCCTTTAAGAGTCAGGACATTTTTTTAAACCTGCTTTGCATGAGCTGATCATGCTCTGCATTAACCAGACTAGCGAGTCTGCCTTGTCTTCACACTTCAGCCCTGGTTTAATCCAGGTCTGGGAAGGTGACCATATATGTCTTTTCCCCTAACAGATCAATAAACCAAATGAGTTTGACATCATGTTGAAACTCAAAACCCCACGCCTTGTGTTGACGGAGCTGAAGGACTACAATGGGCTTTTCTATACAGTTTCCCTCACTCGTCGAACACGTTCTGAGATACGTTCTTTCCTCTTAGAAGATGAACTCACCATCTCATCCACTAAAATAATGAAGGAGATGCACTTTTTGGTCCGCAAGTTTGTCACCACCCGCCAAGGATTGCTTCATGGTTAAGCAAAATCACTCACTGCTTTTTACAAGCACACCATATGACCTTTTATAGGGCCCATTTCTTACATTCTTCTTGCATTTTATTGTTTACCCTTGAGGTCCACTTATAAGGTTTGTGTGGTTTTATGTAGACAGTCAGTAGACAGATAAAAAAGTCATAATCCATTTTTACATGATCATTTTCCAACCACTCTTTATCCCTTACATTTAAACAGACTGTTATTGTTACTGTGCCTTTAAGATTGATATATGTAAAAATGACCTCAGTTGTGATTGGCTGCCTTGTGTTGCGCCTCACTCAAAAAGGAGTCAGGACTGAAACACTCCTTATAACTAAACTAAACTGCTGTAATAGCTGTTCTCAATAGGTTGATGTATGTAAATGTGTTTTCATGACATCACAAAACATTTAATTCAAACCAGCAGTTTTCATTTATCGACTGTATGAACTGGGGAGTGAAAAGTATATTTCTGAATTTTAATATTGGTTATATACTACATCAAACTCTTATTTCAAAAAGTGAGGAAAAATTGTTTTTCCAAGATATGGGTGCTTTAAAAGTGCCACATGCGTCCAATGTGTGCTTTTTGTCCTAGTATTCATTAATTCAGTCATTCCTCTGCATGACTTCAACTGGTACGAGTAACTTCATAAACCTCTGTTTGTGGTTATGTTTTAGAGTCCGCTGGTGAAGGTCACTGGGTGGTGTGTAAGAGGCGGCTAAATTCGCCAGCTGTGACCCTAGCATTTGTGAGTGAGGATGAGGGGGAAGAAATGCTGTCTGTAGACATTGTACCCGCCCTAGAGGTGCCACAGGGCTGGCCGCAAGCTGCACGGGCTGGACCTGTCGTGGATAAATGGCTTGGGAAAAACGCTCGGCGCAAATTTGTTAGCCAGCCTGTTTATTTCGTCCCAAAGAGACCAAAACTGCGAAATCTCAGTGATGTTGAAAAAGGTAGGCGTATGCTAATTTTGATTTTCATTACAGAAAGCGCTAGCTTTTGGGCTGCTCATGTAACTATGTGTGTTTTTTCTTTACAGAGAGCTGGAGAATATCGTTCTCTCATATTGAAAAAGAAATTATGAGATTCCATGGCAACAAGAAGACATGCTGTGAGGGTAGAGCAAATGAATGCTGCCGGTAAGAACAAACACTTGATGCATAACTTAAAAACAAATCACTCAGTTAAGCTTTGATGCACAGCTGATATAGTATTCGCAGATAAAGGCAGTTATTATTTTCTATCTGATATTGACAACGTCTATCTCTAAATAAGAGCATCTGCTAAGTATGTAAAGTTTACAAAAATGGTCAAGTCTAAATTTAGCTATATTAAGTGAATTGTTAGTAATTTTTGTTTTAAATGTAAAAAGTGAATTCTTCTTTATTTGTATTAGTGTTAGCCTCAAGGTGCCTAGCAATTTTGCATCAGTGCATCCCTGAATGTGATGTTCTTTATGGTCTCTGTCTTCTTTTAGAAAACTGTGTTTGCGGCTTCTCAAGTGTCTGTTTGAGGGCCTGAAGCAGACTTATCAAGACAAACTCTTATCTCTTTGCTCCTACCATGGGAAAACTGTCTTCTTCCACCACCTTTCTGTCAGATGTGAAGATTCGCTGTGGACCCCTGGACAGCTGTCTGACTGCTTTATGAAGCTTTTGGGGGACTTTGAGAATGCTGTGCAACTCGGCTCACTTCCCCATTTCTTCGTTCCCGACTTTAATCTCTTCTCTCCAGCTGTCTTTCCCAAGCGCTCTCGCCTGTTTCTGGTCGAAGTGCTGAGGAAACAGAGGGAATCTGGTCTTCCTCTTCTTCAGGTGCAAAGACCTCCTCCAGCCCTTTTCTACACTCCTGGCCTTCCACCGCAGATTGAAGAAATCTCTGCAGAAGCTGTTACCCCACTAAACCGTGACACTATGACGTTTCAGATGAGCTCTTTTACCTACACATATGTGACTCTAGCTTGCATTATTGTATTTATGACCATTGGGTGTGCACTTTATGCACTGGTTTAGTAGGGCCAGCAGGCATGGTGAGGCAGCATTTAGCTGTAATGCTGCCCAAACCTAGAACCAGCTGCTCTTTTCCCCATGCCTTTGGTACTTAAGCACTTTCAAGGCTTTTCACTTCCTTTTAATTATTGTTATTTTTCTTTTTAAGCAAGTGCACTTTGTATATGTTTCACTTTATTTGTCTATTCTTTTTACTTTACTCTATGCATGACTTCTTTTACATTTTTTTGTGATCGGCAATATGCGAATATTTATCATTATCAATATAAATTACATCACAATATGCCACAATAAGCTTTTGTAAGGATATTGTGGATTTTATTAGTACTTGCTAACTGCATGTTTCATAAAAAAGAGAGTGTAATTAGTCCTGTTTTATTGGATTTAGTATAACATGAAATATTGAATATATTCAATATTGCAAAAATCATTCTCTTCATAATTTTTGATAGTATTTTTTAAACATAGCACAATATAACAGATTTTAGAAAAAAATATATATTGTGCCATATAATTTGTCTTGAAAACGTCTTTAAGTATTATAATATTTTATTTCTGCCATATCGCCCAGCTCTAATTCCACAGATTTATTAATACCTCAGAGGTTTTGTGTCTTACTTTAATGTATAATCTTGTTCCAGCTGCTATTCATCCAGTGAAAGGTAGTAATTCTATGCAGTCTTCCTCACTCAGGGTGAAAATGTCTTGAGTACACCTGTAATCCTACATTTAATCAACTCTGAATGCTAAATGCTGGAATGTTATCCAAAGAATTGAATAATATCTAACAGGTGGTGACCATCCTCGTTTAAGGTGCTGGAAGACTTGCACAATTCTCTTTATTTTACTTTTTGTTTGTATTGTTTCTCTTATTTTATTTCATACTCTTAAGCATGTTGTCTTTAATTTACTTCTGATGTTTCTTTTACTTTTATTTATGTAAAGCACTTTGAATTGTTATTGTATATGAAATGTTCTATACAAATAAACTCACCTTGACTATAATACACTCACATTTACAGTACTATACTCTTTTATACTCATAAATAATTGAGTAAACAATGTAAGATTGAAATTTTACAATATCAAAATCTAAAATAAAATAGTAATAGAAATAGAAAGTAACAGGAAACATATATATATATATATATGTAAGGGATTCAAGGTTTTTTTACATGAACCTACAGACAGTAACTGAAGCATCTTAAATGTTAACATCAAATCTTTACCATGTTCAAATGTACCTGTTTCTACATAAAAATTGCATATATTGATTTAAAACAAATTTTTTTTTAATTTTACCTGCACACAAACTTTAAATGTGATTTCATGCTACTTCAAGAAGTTTCCACGATTTACTATATATATTTTCTGACATCTAATGTTGGAACAGAAAAAGTAGAGCCACATTTTAAAATTACTATTACAAATCGTATGAGTCCAATCAAACAGGATATGCTCTGAACAGTTTTTAAGTACCGACTATATCCATGATATGCTCAGAAAAGCATATTGTGACAAATTGTGACATAATTCATCACAATTATGTTACATGTTTTCATATTACCCTGCCCTGTTTTATATGTCACAAAAAATGTATGGTTACTGAAGAGATACATGTCAGTAAAACTTTGGAGTACCCTAAACCATGATTTTTCAACATTAAAAAGTCGAAATACCATGTCTATTTAGCATTGATACTGTGGAAAAACTCACCAGCCTTTTATGGACGTCACACCATGGTGCACAAACTGGACAAAGCACAGAATTACACAAAGGAGGGAAAAAGCAATTGTTGACTGAAAAAAAAAAATGTGACACAGATATACAGTCTTTAATATTATGCGTTTGTTGTTCTGTACTTATTTATTTGTACAGTTTGTTTTGCTTATTTATTGTATTTATTATGGACTTTTATAGGGCTTCGATTGTTATCAGTTCCTGGCTGTGAAGAGAAGAATGAAAAAGTTTGGCTTCATTTAATGAAACTTTGCTTGATACTTTTTACACGATGTAGTTCGCATTTAAAGGACTGATTTGGGCTGTTCAGTAAATTAGCCCACTTGGCATAAAGATTCAAGTTTTGCTCAACGAAAATCCTAGGAACGACATGCCGAGGGACGGCTTCTCTACGGTTCTTTTTGGAGTGAACACAAGCTATAAATACTCTGCGCCGGAAGCGGATCGTCCTCTTCTAGTGATCAAACATGGCGGTGAGTGCCGACGAAACAGTGTTGAAAACTGTGTACAACAGAAATCTAATAACATCGCCGTATTCACGTGTGATTTTGAAGAAATTCGAAGCGCCGTTAATAGCGTGGTGCCTGATGTGTAGAGATGTGGTTGTATTTGTAGAAAAAAGCGGTTAGTTGATGAAGATGGGCTGTTGGAGGACAGTCTGCTCTCAGTGTGCGGCACTGAGAGCCTGTGAACTGCGGCTCGGAGCTCAGTGACCGCTGTAATGTTAAAGCAGTTTAATAATGCCGGTCAGTGTTTGGGGTAAAGGTGTTTTGAGCTTGCCGGGTTTTACTGAGGTCTGTCCTGGCGGTAGTGAGCTGCTCATGGTGGAATATGTCCGGACATGTTCTCTGTGGGAGCCACGCTGATAGTAACAGCGCTGGTAGTTTTGGGTCGAAGGCGTTATTTTTAATATTGTTGGTTTTATTTGTGTTTATAGTTACAGTTCACTTCTCCCGGTCACGGGCTTCTGTGGCTAACGTTACTTAACATGCTATTCAGTCCTAAACCCGAGTACTGCCGTACTAAATGTCGAAGTACATTAGCTAACGGTTATACGTTTTTTGCTCGATTTTGCACGCAGCCCCAGTCTTGGGGACCTCGCGTTGTGCTCATTTCTGCGTCATCATTTAGGACACCTGATTGAGGTAATCTGATAAACAGGCCTTGTATGGCTTTAGAGGAAGGGAAAAAATGTTTAGGACATGAGGTCCCTTGGACTGGGTTGAGAACCACTGTCCTCCAAAGTTGGTGACTTGACAGCATTACTTTAGAGAGTTTTTCCAAAATGAGACATGACTACATTGAACAGTTGTAATTTATTCACCAATATGTGTATCCAGCTGATCTTTCAGTTGAGTGTTAAGGTGGTGTTTCTTTTTGCAGGACCAGGGAGAGAAGAAGGAGAACCCCATGAGGGAGTTGCGCATCCGCAAACTGTGCCTGAACATCTGTGTAGGTGAGAGTGGTGATAGGCTGACCCGTGCTGCTAAGGTGCTGGAACAGCTGACAGGCCAAACTCCCGTCTTCTCCAAAGGTAATGTTGTTCTGCCTCTCAGCATTTTTGTGGGGTGTGCATTGTTGTATATGTAATATAGGTTTGTATCAACATTTCAGCATATTAAAAAAAGTGTTTTCTCTTTTCAGCCCGCTACACTGTGCGATCCTTTGGCATTCGTAGGAATGAAAAGATTGCAGTCCACTGCACTGTTCGTGGTGCTAAGGCTGAGGAGATCCTGGAGAAGGGACTGAAGGTGAGGTGGTGTTGTAGTGTTGTGGCTGTGCAAACTTTGGGGTTTTCTTGGCACTTCATTGATGTTAATCCTCATTGTTATAAATTGAGTCAGTTGTGATAAACACTGAACTATGTGGTGCTTTGGCCTCTGTGTCCTGGTGTTTGTCATTTAATTTTAATGATAGTTTTACTAATGGACTTTCCGTTTTATGTCGTAATGCTGTACATACTATGAAGTTGGCTGAGGGTTTACACCACAAAAACATAACCACAGCTGAAAAGCCACTTTTGAAACAAGAATACCTAAAATGCCTTTACTTGGATATTGAAGAAAGGAAAATGTCAACTTGTGAAGTTGATGGCTTGCGTTTAAAGTTTTTTTGCAGTGGTAAGTATGTTAAGATAAACAGTCTTCAGCGTAATATGAAGTTGTTGGTAATTCTGGTGAACAACTAAATTCGGCTCTTAGAGTAACAGTTGAATGAAGGGCAGTTTTCTCAAAATTCTCATTCAGTTGTTTAAACCAGGTCATTCAGAAAGTTTAGATGTCTAGTGTTGCATATTGGAGGTTTCTTTGCATTCTATTTTGCCTTATGACCCTGTGTGCCTCTCTACCATAAATGTCTTAAAGAAGCCATAGAATGCATTTATTTAGTACTTTGTTCTCCGATATCTTTTGTAGAAATTGTGACTTTTGGGTCAAAAAACGCTTAGATATGATTATACATGGCCGTTTACCCTGATTTGGTGGGCTCATGAGTAATTTGTTGAGCTCTGGTCCAGTTTGTTGGTTTACAGCACTGCAATGGTTCTAGACAGGAAACTGAAACAAACCTTTGTGTAAATAAGCTAGGTTGTCATACTATTTAGTTAGCTTTAGTAGCTACTTGGAGCTTGCTAGTAGCCAACACTACCTATACTAACTACTTGCCTTCGATCTCGACAACACAAAGTGAAGTTGTTAGCTCACTATGAAGCTTTCAATTTAAAATGACAGTTTCGTCCATCAAAAAGGGGAATTAAATCACACAACATGGCTAGGTTCTTAGAGGTTGTGCTTGGGGTTATGATGCTAATAAAGTTGGAACTGTTTCTCTCTACTGTGTCAAACACTGAGTGAAGCTTGCTCGATATCGTCCATGGTTTGACAAACTGTTTGGAGTGAAATGTTCAGAGCAAACTAACAGTGTAGAATTCTGGATTCAGCCTGTTTAACTTAGCCATCTTTTGCAAATGCAGGGTTTGCATTTAAAGGCAGAGACAAGTGTTTGAAGTTCACTGTATGTGAGTTCCATGTCCCAAAATCTATTTTTCACAAATTTGTATTACAGAAGCAATTCTCATCTTAATTTAGGAACCTTATTGTACAACATCATATTGCAAGCAAAACTAAAGCACAGTAAACCTGAAAAATATTGACAGCGCTTTGTGCTGTTTATCAGAGCGTCGCCACTCCGTTTGTTTCCCAAATGCTTCAGCTGACCACGCTAACGTTATTCCTCCTAATAAACAGCAACACGTATGGCTGTGTTTCCTTATTATTCAGTGACATCATTAATATTTTGTTGGATGAATTTTCATCAACCTTAACACGGGTAATAAGAGGGAGCGGTTGAGATTGTGACAGCAGTGTCTGCAATTTTTAAAACGCTGTTAAAAAAAAGTCAAAGCACCAGTTTCAGTTTGAATGTAACATCATTATGCTAATTATGTTGAGCTGTGCTACCTAAAACAATGGAAACGGACAGTTAAAAGGGTCCTAAATTTAGTCCTTACTGAAGTTGTCAAGATTTAAGACTTAAGGTGTTTCTGTAATATGGCCCCTGGTTCCTGTCACCACCGCTGTGAGCACCTCTGACTGTATCTGCATTATTTCTCATCAGACCACTCTGAATGACTTTAGATACATCTTAACGATTTAATTAAACGAACACTAAAAAAATGCGTGGAATTCCCCTGTAATACTCTTTGTATCATGGTGTGAAATATTGTTTTGTAGAGGTTTGGTGCCCGGCTGTCAGTGGCTTCTCACAGTTTTAGGTGTTCACTGTACTGCTTCTGTCCTTTCACAGACCAGACAGAAAGTTCACTTCAGTTTGCAGTGTAGTTAACATCGACCCCATGCTTTACCACAACACGTTTAACTGTCATATTGGTTCTGAGTGTTTTTAGTGAGGTTTTAATGTTTTCTTTATTTTTGCTGACATGCTGTTAGTGCGTCTATAGCGTTGTTCTTAATCTGTTCTCCCTAATGTCATTGTGGATTCAGGTGCGTGAGTACGAGTTGAGGAAGAACAACTTCTCTGACAGCGGAAACTTCGGTTTTGGTATCCAGGAGCACATCGATCTGGGTATCAAGTACGACCCCAGCATTGGCATCTACGGCTTGGACTTCTACGTGGTGAGTGTGATTTGTTTTGCAGCTCTGAAATGTATTAACAGTGAGCTTTCTAGCTTTCTGAATGATAGCTATCGCCGCTGTGAGATGGACTTTTGATAGTCACTTTGCTGTGATTGCAGGTTCTGGGCAGACCCGGCTTCAGCATTGCTGACAGGAAGAGGAAGAGGGGCCGCATTGGCTTCAAGCACCGCATCCGCAAGGAGGAAGCCATGCGTTGGTTCCAGCAGAAGGTGTGTCTAAAACTTCATCTTGATAACAGGAGGGGATCTCTTCATTAGCCACTGTTTCATTATATGTATTTTGGATACTACTACACATCATGCTTAACCTGAACTGCTGTGCTTTGAGACGTTTGTTTGCAGATACTTTCTTGTTTATTAACTTAAGTTTTAACTTGACTTTTTCTTGTTTTTGTCTTTCAGTATGATGGCATCATCCTCCCTGGCAAGTAGAGGACCACCTTTTGATTTTGTTTATAACAAACAAATAAAAACGAAAAGCCCATTTTTGCCTCTTGTCATTTTTCAGAAATGAATGTTAATTCATGGCAATGTGGTTCCAAATATTTGTTTACAAGTTAAAATGGGAGGAAGTAAATATTTCACAGAAATGTTATTCGTTTACAGAGTTGATGGAGACTTGTGGTTTTTTTTTTGTAACATTTTAGTTACATTCTAAAATTTGATTGGATGGAAACCTCACCACTAAGCGTTTCGACATTCAGTTTGTAGTTTTTATTTTAAATGAGGCTTTATGTCCATCATAAACTCTAGAGCAGGGGTGTTCAGTCCTGTCTGTAAAGGGCTGCGGTGGCTAGAGATTTTCATTACAAACTAGCAGAAGCACAACTGATTCTGCTTGTTTAATCAGTTGGTCTCAGCCTTCAACAGCAGATTATAAGCACTTGCTTTGTTAGAATGAAAATCTGCAGACACACCAGCCCTTTGCAGATGAGTTGGACACCCCTGGTTTGAGGGCATAGTTGAAACTCTGCAGAGTAGTGTTTTATGTGCTCTGAGTACAAGCCCTTCATGACTTGAAGTGGGTGTGCTGGCAGCTGGGAAAATGGTAAAATGTCCTGGGCAGGAGGTTCTCCAGGACCAGGGTTGGGAACCTGTGTTTTATGTAGGGTTTTGTTAACAGTTATAACAGATGTGGCGCTGTTTGTTAGAATGCTGCTATCTTTGTAAAGATAATGGATGCAATATATACAGCTAATTTACAGAAGTATGATGTCTTAACTTGTGTGGCCTGGAGTGCCAGAGATTTATAGTCTATGCCAAGAAAATTCTATGATTAGGTGTGTTTTTTAGTAGTGGTGGTTTAAAACTCAGTGGCTTACCTTCTTGCTCAACAAAATATTCATTTTTTTGTGCATGTGGGGCTGTTAACTTGGAAGAAACTCCTGCCAGGATAGATGTGGCTTGACTGCACCTGCATTAACGTAATTAGATTTCACCTATAATATTAAAACTGTTACTATGATTTTAGAGAAACTTCAAATGATGTTTATTGTGTTTAGCCCCCTTGTTGTACTTAAACACAATTAAAAAAAAAAAAATATATATATATATATATATATATATATATATATGAAAAATATGTACACATTAGATTCTACACAATATACACTAGTATTGCACTAGTATTTCTACTAGTATTTATTTTGTACGGTAATAAGTTATGCAATAAAACAATGATATGTACAGTAAATTGGAATAGGTTAAATGTTCCTGACCAAATCCACAAATCTCTTTTTCTGATAAAGAAAGGCGATTACATAAAGATTCTTTGTGTATGTTTCTTGTTGGTGACGTGCTTCTAGTAGGGTAAAAAGAAAAAAGGATTTGTAAAACCCAAGGCCACTGTACAAAAAGGTGAGCCTTGAAGGAAGGTTTTCAACATCACAACAGTCACCACCACATAACTAAAGTCTTAGACTCCCTAAGTCCAGATGATGTAGTGATTGTTAGTGATTGGTAATGATTGACATATAAGGAAACTGATAAACTGTCCAATCATGAAAGAAGGGGACTACTGATATTGTAATTGTGTATGGAGTGAATGCTTCTTCAAATATAATGTGTTTTTATTCTAGGTTGGGGGGAGGGTCAGTGTCCATTTACTGTAAAACAAGTTTGTTATTAATTAAAATACAACACTAACAAAATTTTGAGCCTTTAAGTTCATGACTAAATTATTTCACGAAATTTTAATAATGTTACTGTGAGTTGTATATACTTGTGTACAATCCATCCAGCAAGACAGCTAAAAATGTTGGTTTAATTCCAGCCAGCCTTAATTAAAAAGCATGTGTCTTGAAGAAAATCTCACTTCATTAAGTACACCTTCTTGTATCTACACTTTTTATCAGCTCCACTTATCATATAGGTGCATTTTGTAGCTCTACAGTTAACAAGCTGTAGTCCAAGGGTGCTCAAACCTTTCAAAGTAGGACAGGTCATACCGTGTCAAAATATCTGAGATACACCTCCATCATATCAGTGTCACTGCAGTGCTGAGAATGATCCACCACCCAAATAGTACCTACTGAGTGGTGGTCTGGACCATTGAAGAACAGGGTCAACGGGGGCAAATAAAGTATGCAGGGAAACAGGTTGACTTACAAAGTGCTCCTATATGGTAAAAGGAGCTGATAAAATGGATAATGTGTGTAAATACAGGAGGTGTACTTAATAAAGTGGCCAGTTGGTGTATATTGTAAGTCATGTTCCATGTTCTCTTCACTAAAATTGAACTTATTTTGTCTATATTTTGTTTTAGTGAAAAGCTACCACATATCAGGCATTAGAAAGGGGTTCATTATTTATATCAGAATTAATTTGATTTGTAAAGATAAAACAACACATTTTGCTTTGAGAAATTTGGCTTTATTCAGTGAAATCCTAGAGACCTGGAATCCTTGCATCATCTGCCACTTGCAACACCTACATACTCCTCTCCATTCAACTTCCAAAGCCTTACTATCAGCTAGTGACCATTTACTCTATAGAGGCAGCATCACATTGAAAAGAAGCCTTTCAACTTATTACAGACAGCAGATTCTTTTTCTTGACTAAAATGTTTCACATTTTATATTTCTCTCTGCCATGAACAGGTTTCTCTCTCTAGGATGTTCACTGGCTCTCTTAGGAAGATTTTTTAGGAAAAGCGTTCCACATGAGCAACGGCATGAAGTCAGCAGAGGATGACCACCGCACAGATGCAGGTGAGCAGACAGGAAAGCTGGGAAGACCTATCTTTTTATCCAAACATAAAAAGAAAACGTGACCTTGGATGATGTTAAACCAGGTGTCCACGTTTTGATATACACACTTTAAAAAGATGGTTCTTCACGGGTGCTTTAGTAAAGGCAATGTTTCCATTTAGGTTCTGTGTATTTTCTATATAGCACCAAAAAGGGTTCCTTCATTCTTAGAAGCCTGATATCAACAACAGCAGAACCATATTTGGTGTTGTAGAACCATTTTCAAAAAGGTTCGCTCTAGAACAACATGTTTTCCATCAAGCTGAATAACCTTTTTACCATGCAGAGAACCATTTAAGCATGAAGTGGTTCTATACAGAATGTATGGTTATAAACAGAACCACTGCCCTTACTAAAGAACCCTTGAAGAACCATTTTTTAGGACTGTAGGCCAAATAATGGCATTAATGCTACATCTTTGTTTTGAAACTTACAAGAAGATCAGAAAAGACAAACCTCATACAGTGGGGCCCAAAAGACTACTTGTGGAAATGATTCTATTTATATATATTTTTTTTAATTTATACAAAAAATGTCATACAAATTATATTATCAGCATAACAATTTGAGTGGCACATAGTTTCTGAAGAGTTTCCCCCTCTTTTGCTTTAATGAGAGTGTGCATTCAAGCTGGTATGGATAAGTAGTTTGTGCAATGATAAGTAGATCAAATTCACCCGAGTCAGATTTTGGGGGAGTTTTTTAGACCACATTGTACGTCTTTACGTATTAACGTCACAGGCTCAAAAACAAGGTCTGGCTCGAAGTTCAGGTCTCAAACGCAAAATCAACATTATACTAATGAAGATATGATGACAGTAGTAGATAATTCACTCACATCCTCGGAAGACACGTCCTTCAGCATGTTTTAACTGAGTTCTCACTGAAAGCTCTTTAAACGTGCTCACAAACATCAGATTCATCCACTCGTTGGGGACCGGAGCACAACCGACGTTACAAAATATTCTTCCGCATGTTGCGTCCAAATCTTACATAGTGCAGCTTTACATTTGAATAGTGACCTAGCAATAGTTCAGAATGTTAAATATTTCTTCTTCATTTTACTTGTCATAGTTTCTTTGTTGAAAATGTTTCAAATTACTAGAACTTTATCTTTATTTTAGACAAAAAAAAATGTCTCAGGCATTTGGACCCCACTATACATGTTCTATTTAATGGTAAAGATCACAATGTTATGTTCTCCTCATATGTGCCTTCAGTGGAACATTCTCCAGCCAACTCACATCAGTGCCCTTAGTGTTGCATGTGCATAGTATATAAATGTTTCAGTTTCAGTATTAATACATGTATATTCTTTTTAGCCATTGAGCTAAACTACTTTGAGAAATATCCCTTGATAAATATGTAGCACACAATAAATATGTAATGTAATAAATAGGCTGAGATTAAGTGATGGTTTCATTCTACTCTACCCTTTGTGTAGTTGCGATTGGTGAGGTGATATTTTGCAAAGGACTGTATGGCTCAATTTCTAAAACTCATTCATTCTAACATTCGGGCATACAAACATAAACAGGACACACAAGCACAGGCATGCTCGCTTTCTCACTGGCTCAAACACCTCCCATACATTCTGTGGAAGCACATACAGTACGGGGTGCATTCCTAGTCATTTTCACATTGTTAAAAAGTGGGCCCTGTAACACTAAACTCCCTTGATACCTTGGTACATAATGATATCTTAGCAGTAAAGGAGCCAAAAATGGTTCCACCCCACCATCTACTTCACTCTCTTCTTTTAACCCTCACTGACTAGTAGCTGTGTACTTCTTCTTTATTTATCTCTCACTTTCCTCTCTACTAATCACTCTCTTCTTCTTTCTCTTCCTCTCCTTCCTGCCTTCCTTCTTCTCTCATGCAGTCATGCTGCCTTGCTCTTCATGGTTGGGGGTGTTGCGGTGCCTACGAGAAGTGTGGCGTGGGGGCAGGGCCAGGGCGCAACAGGACACGCCCACCGTGGGCTCAGGCAGGTCTTCTGCAATGGACCAGGTGTCGGTGCCTGGATCATAGCGCTGAACTGCTGCCTTGTAGCGCTTTTCTGCTTCATTCCAGCCACCCAAGAGGTACAGGTGGTCACCCAATGGGGACAGGCCACCAGTGCTCACTCCCAGGGGTAGGGAGGCAGCCCTGCTCCACTGACCGCTCTCCGGGCAGAACACCTCAGTGGTCAGCACATCCACACGCTCTCCACCCAGGCCCAGCTGGCTACCACCCACCACGTACACCTTGCCACCCAGCGTGGCTGAGCAGTGCCACCCGCGGGGCGTCTCCAGCTGCGCCCGCTCACTCCAGCTGTCGCTCTCCAGGCTGTAGCAAGCCACAGAGCGGGAGTAGGCGCAGTTGATGTAGCCTCCAGTCACCAGGACGTCGCCCGAGGGCAGGACAGCACTGGCGTGGCAGCAGCGCGGCATTTCCATGGGAGCACGGAGTTGCCAGCTGTTGGAAGATGGAAGATAGCTCTCGATGGTGGCCAGCAGTCCATCGGTGTTCCGGCCGCCTATGGCAACGAGGCGCCCTCCAGTAGCCACCAGGCTGAAGTGGGTGCGGCGCTGGCGCATGCTGCTCAGGTGCAGCCAGGTATTAAAGCGGGGGTCGTATCTGCAGGGGGGTGCACAGTGAGGGATAAGGGAGATCAGACCATACCTCACTCTTATGACTTCATAACAACAACAACCTAATCTTACTGCATTGATTTCCATGTAGTTACTGAATGATAAGCTTTAGGATGTGGCCATATAAAAAAGTTTAAATGGTCAGCTTGATTTTAGATTAGTTGATTTGCTACTGGCTGCTTTATTATCTGTAATGATGTAGTGTGTAGAAGTATACCTGCAGAGGGTGCTGACAGCATGTTTGGCCTGGTTTCTGGCATCATTCTGGTCCTCTCCACCTGCCACGTATAGGAAACCATCCATCACAGCAACACACTGGTTGAAGCTTTTAGCAGGGAGCTGGGAAAGATGGCGCCATGTGGCAGCTCCCTCACGAGGGTCTCTCCATAGCACCTGTAGGCAGGAAGATATGAGACTAGTCATAATGAGGAGAATGTTAGAAGAGTAGACTACCATTTTTCTCAATAACATTTTTAATCCAACTTGATGATGGTTCTGTGAAATCATTGCTGGTACCTTAAGATATGGTACAAAAATCTCTTCCCATAGGCATCCACAGTGCATAGAACCACACAGAAGATTACTTTGGAAAGTGATGTACCACTGAAGCAGTAATGCATAGACTAAGACCAAATGAACAACAGAATGTACAGTATTGTGCAAATGTATTAAATTCTCAGCCAAAATGGCCATTAAGTACAAGTTATTCGTTTTTTGGCATGAAGAAAGCAATAATTTAACAGAAAATGACACAGAAGCATTAACATCTAAATATAATATATATTTTTCAGTATTCTGTGTGTCCACACTTTGCCTTTATTACAGTTTCCATTCTTTTCAGCAGACTTAAAGTTGAGGACTCTGGGGTGGCCAGTCTTTTGTTCTTAAAAATTCTTTGTTTTTTCTTTTTTCTATTTCCTTTTCTTTATAACAGATTCTTGACAGTTACAGATCCTTTCAGACCCATAGCACTGAGTTGTCTTCTCACAGTGGACAGATGGACAGAAACACGTGGATTTTTTTCAGATTTGAAGTGATTTTCACATAGATATTTCTCAAAGATGAAAGCTTTGCTGTGCTGTACTGTTACATTACTGTGTATCTGATGGTGAAAGCTTTGGTGGTCCCATTTTCTCTTTTCTTATTAGTCAGTAGTTTGCAGTTATTTGCAGTTATTTTCCATTAGCTTTCCCCTTTTCTTATGCTAGTGGATTATTCTACATGTAATCTCCTCAGAAATATATCCTGTGAAATGAATAACTTGTACTTAATAGCTGTTTTGACTGGAAATTTAATACATGAAGGGTGGTCTCTCACTTTTGAGGGTGAGGGTGTCATGTTCCACTCACATGTGTATTTTGGGGCAGCATTCTAATACAGTGCCATAATTTGAACTGGGATTATTGTACTACTCTTGGCATATTCAAATATTGTGAGTAGTGATAAGTTTGTCATCTCTTTTCACTGCAGTTGAGCTCAAGTGGATGAACACGTAACTAAAATTTGTACAGCCAGAGTAGACAGATATTAGGTAAAGAATGCTTAAAATATTTGGTGAATACATCAATATAATCTAATTCTAAATTCCTGTAATAATCCAAGGAAATCATGATGCTGAACTGTTTCTGGCTGCAGTTTACAAGACCATTTTGAACCCAAAACTTGATGCAGTTCTATGTCCTGTAGAAGCCTATGAGGGGTCATTTTTGGGTTGTATCTTATTTAAAAGCACAAACTTGACACAAACAACAACAGTGAAACCTTAAAAATGTTTCAAGGAAAAAACAACATGTTATGTTGTCTAAAGTTTGCTTCTTTAGGTTTGCACCAAAGTGATAATGTAGCGAACAAGTAACAGAAGTCTGTTACTTAAAATATTTTGTCATAGACTTCTTTTATATTAGTCTTGTTATAAGGGAAATGGTGTGCAGGTTTTTACACAATTTACTATTGTGTATAACAGTAATTGTTCAAGACTGGCATATGTAAGACTGACCTCTCGGCTCAGGGCCCGCTCAGTGAGGGAGGGGCGCCCTCCGATGGTGAGCAGTGTGGTCTGGCTGCCACGGACCTTGGTGCGGCGGGACTGTAGAGTATTCTGCTGGTATGGTAGCAAATGGTAGTTCATGGCATCCACCAATAGACGGTGACACTGAGGGTCCTGCATCATACGTGCAACAGGCTGGATCTCACTGACAAGCTCACTGGCAGGGATGGTCTCAAAGCGTACATGAGACAGCAGCTCAGAAGCATGAGCCTGTCTGGTTGGGTCAAAATCCAGCCACTTCATGGCTACCTGCATCCGAAGAAAGGTTAAACACAGCAAACCATATTAAGAGTCACACTTGCCTTACTTTATATACACTATATATATAGTTTCTGATGTGCATAGCATTCCATCCCTAACCCCGCTTTCTTTCTACACCCATTCTATTTCTATATACAGTAAGTGAGTATTTATATTCATGCTGATATATTTTGCTTTTGGGTCATACTTATAAATAGGGCCTCCTCAAGTTCTGTGAATCCCCCTCTCCCTCTCTCTGCCCTCTTTATATTTCCCCTGTCTTCTCTGTTGGTGTACAATTACATACTGTATACACTACTGTTAAGAATGTTGGAAAGACTTGTCCAATTAATTCTTTTTGTTATTATGTAAAAATAATAACTTACACAATGTTGATTATATTTTATTACATTTTTCTATTTTTTGTTTGTTTTTTTCCACTGAGGTCCACTTATGATATTTCTGTGGTTTAATGTACTAAAAGAAGTCATAATTAATTTTTACATAACAATTTTCCAAAATTTCATTACCCTTTTACCCATTGATATGGTACCTTTAAGACTGGGCTGAAACACTTCTTATAACTTCAGTCTGAGTGGGTGGGGCTAAACTGCTGTAGGCTGGATAGGAGGATATATGTAAATGTGTTGGTTTTTGAGAAATCACAAAAATTCATTAATTTAAAATTGAATATTTTATTTTGCTTAGTTTCTATATATGGACCTTATTTACTGGGGATTGAATGGTATGGTTCATTTTGAAATTTACATACTAAAGCAAACTTTTTATTTCAAAAAAGGTGAAGAAAATTTGATTTTCCATTGTATCAATGGAATCAACAATTTTTACATTTTTTGATTCAATATTTAAATATGGAAACAACAAAAAGTTATTAAATGATAAGTAATATACTGTAATTATTTTATTTACAAAATAGTTTTTTTAATAATACTTTATAAAGATCACCACTTGAAATATGAGTCATCTGGGATATTAATTAGCTTTAGAATCAGCTTTCTCTTTCATTTTTCAAACATCAAGAGCTCTGTTTGTCAGTCTGAACACATCAAACATATTATTGTATTTTTAAATGTATTTTTATATAAATATTTTATTTGTATATTTATTTCCCAGAACTAGCATGTTAGAATTTTTTATACGTTTATCTGCAAACAAGTTGATTTAAAGCTTTTGAATAATAATCTGTAATATGTGGGGGCAGCAGAAAGCCTGAGTGTGCAATGAGAACAGGTGTTCTGACCTGGAAAGTGGTGACCTCGGAAGGCAGGATAAGATTGTCGTCCTGCAGGAAAGCAACAATCTGCTCCAGTGTGAGCTGAGTGAACTGAGGCGTCTCAGAGAACTGGGCAAAGTTCTCCAGCACAAAGCGACGGGCAGCATCCCGCACTGGGCCCAGGCCATAGGCCGTGCCGATGTTCCACACATACACGCAGGTGTGCACATTCAGCTCTGACATCAGGAAGTCCATGCACATCTGCAGGAGGTGGGGGATCTGCAGTGTGCTGGCCGCAGACACCGTACAGCCAATAGTGTACAGGGACATGTGCACACGGCCCAGATAAGCAAAAGTGATCACATTGGCTAGACCTGAAGTTAAAAGAGAAAGAATTGACTGAGGTATGTGGAAGGTTATTTAGGCTGAGGGCTGCACTTAGAAACCCTGAGACAAGCAGACAACCATTTGTTGTTATGTTAGGTTCAGGTTGGTCCAGTTGTTCGTGATCTGTGCCAGCATGCATCTGGAACTCACTCTCAAGTAAGTCTGCATGTGCAGTTTAAAGCAATATGGAGGAAGCTGGAGGTTGTACAGGGTAATTTAACTAAATCTGATGAGATCACAAAAAAACATTACACTGTACACCAGTGGTCACCAACAATCCTCCTGGAGATCTACTTTACTGTAAAGTTTAGGTCCAACCTTCCAACCTAACATGCCCCGCCCTCTCTTATCAATCACTAATGCATCTGAGCCAGCTAATCAAGGACTTCTGAAGAAGTTACTTTGCTGGAGCAGGTGTGGCAGACTGTGGTTGGAACAAGACTTTGCAGGCAGGTAGATCTCCAGGAACAGGGATGGTGACCTCTGCTACACACTGTATGGCAGTTTTGGGAGTTCACCCATGTCTATTCCAGTATTAACAAACCCTCATCCACTTGGACTTAGCATCTTACAGGCCATTCCATTACTTTATCAACATAAGGAAAATTTATTAGATGAGCACTTGGAAGAGCAAGGAATTGAGTGAATGTAAGTATCGGCTTCGGCCGCAAACCTAAGCTAGAAATCATTGCAACTTGACGCATTTCTGTTTTCAAACCTCCCAAAAAAAAAGAAAAAGCTGTTTATAAGCTGTAGAATAAAACACTTTAAAATACTTAATATTTAAAAACCACATCATTGAAAAATTCACACTCCTCACTATCCCCTCCTCGCACTGGGAGTGGCCCCTTGAAAAACATAGGTGTCATGCATTTCTGAGTGGTGAGTTGAAGTTGGCGAGGGCATGTTAAAAAGTATTGAAACAGGACCCCAGTGCACTCTTACTATCCCACAGTTATTATGCTGCTTACCTAGGGGTGAGAGGGTAGGCAGCTCCAGGCGCTTGAGGCCTGAATCCTTGGCCAGGACTTCACGCAAATACTGACTGACAGAGGACAGGACCAGCTTGTGGACATCAAAGGACTTGGTCTTGCAGGCCAGCTCCAGGTCAGTGAGGAAGCGCTCCTGCCTCATGCGGCTCAGCTCCTCCAGAAGAGCCGATCCGTGCAGGGGCCGAGTCAACTCACCCCCTAGGCCGAAGCCCCTCTCCCCAGGGCGGATCACGGGGGGTGGCAGGGGGATCCCGTTGAGTCGGTTCAGCTGCTCAACATTTAAAGGTAATTCTAGTTTCTTAACTCCTGGCTCAGGCACCACTACCCCACTCTCCACCTGCACCGGCTCTGGGGTTGCCTTCTTGGGCCGAGGTGATTTCTTCTTGGGGGCCATGATGACACTTGGGCTAATTTAAGTGGTTCTCTATATTAGTTACAATTAACAGTGATCCCTAAATCACAGGCTAATAGTCATAAAATGTCGACTGACACTCTGTCAGACAAGTTTTAATGTATTTTTATGTGTGTTTTTAAGGTTTTCATGGACAGACTTTCTGGCACTTTATTCCTCAACCGAGTACTGACTGACTGACAGATTAAAGGGACAGATGGACAGGTTAACAATTACTGACTCATTAAGTGACTTGGGTTTTATAAGAAAGGACAACTGACAGGTGGAGATGAATTACTAGGTGGTCGGTGGGTGGTCAGTATCAGCACACAGCACCTGAAAAATACAAAAAATGGTGGCATTCCAGTAACAGCAGGGTAAATACTGTGCCCAGAACATGTACACTGGAACACGATACGTGATTTTGTTTCTCATTCTTGAGCGTGAAATACAAGTAATTGACATCCGCATGTGATTTTGCAGCAGTTTCTTGATAAGGAGTGCCAAGGTGTAGGTTATATATAATCTAACACTCTTATTCTGCATAATTACATCTGTAAGAGTGGTTTGATGTGAAATGCCCCATTCTAGAGAAATTCAGAGTCAGAATTGTTTGCAATGGTTGTGAGCAGATCATCCAACTAATTTTAATATAAGATACAGACAACACGAGTATGCACAAAATTTTAGGTTTTTCTGATAGAGAGCAGCATTCATGGTTCCATCAGTTATGACAAGTCATCCAGGTTCTGCAGAAGCAAAGCAGCCCCGGACCATCACAGTACCACCACCATGTTTGACTGTTGGTATGATGTTCTTAAGGTGGAATGTGGTGTTAGGTTTATGCCAAATGGAATGGGACCTATGTCTCCCAAAAAGTTCCACCTTTGACTCATCAGAACACAGAACATTATCCCAGAACTCTTGGGGGTCATCTAGATGTTTTTTTTGAAAATGCAAGATGAGACTTTGCTTTTTGGTCACCAGTAGTTTGTGCTTTGCAACTCTCCCATGGATGCCATTTTTGCCCATTGTCTTTCTTATTATGGAATTGTGTAGTTTGACCTTAACTGGGGCAAGTAGGTCTGCAGTTCCTTTGTGACCTCCTGGATGAGTCATCAAAGTGCTCTTGGTGAAAATTTGGTAGGCCAGCTACTGCAGCAAGCAAGGAAGCAAGCAAAGTTTATTTATATAGCGCTTTTTACAACCGGTGTTGTCACAAAGCAGCTTTACAGAAAAAATCAGCATTACAGGGGAAAAAAATAAAAAATAAATAAAAATGTTCTCCATTTGTGGATAATGCCTCTCGCTGTGGCTCGCTGGAGCCCCAGAGCCTTAGCAACAGCTTTGGAACCCTCTCCAAGCTAGTAGATTTCAATGACTTTGTTTCGCATCTGTATTTGAATTTCTTTAGAATGTGGCATCTTGTGTTGCTTTTTGAGATCTTCTTGCCTGTTTCACATTGCCAGACAGGTTCTATTTATGTTTAGATGCAACAGGTCTGGCAGTAATCATGCCTGGGTGTGGTTAGTTAAATTAAACTCAACAGTCAATTGAATTTGGTTAACTGGTTGATTTAGTAGCTAAGGGGACAATTATGTTTTAACATAAGGCCAGGTAGGGCTGATTAGCATTTTTCTTTCAATAAATGAAATAATCTTTTATCATTTAAAAACAGCATTTTATGTTTACTTGGGTTATCTTTGTCTAATATTAAAAGTAGTTTGATGATCTGAAACACTAAAGTGTGACAAATATGCAAACAATAAAGGAAATTGGGCAAATACTTTTTTACAGCACTGTACCTCACAGAATGTTATTATATGAAATGGTATAAGAATACTTGATGCCTAAATTTTGAGCTCTCCAAAATAGTAACTCAGTGTTACTAGTGTAGTAACAATGTAGTAACAAAATGTTCTCAATTTTTATTGGAAGATTATGTAAATCTTATCTTAAGTATTTATAATCCAAGTAGTTTCTCTACACAATGCACCATTTCACATGAAATCAATCTGAATGTTTACATCTTAATGACTGAATTATGCAGACATTTAGAAAAATTGGTGGAATTCTCCCTTTAAAAAAATAAAAGTTCCTAAAAGGATCTTGGAAATTAAAATTTAATTGGTGCAGAACCTTTCCATTATGGGAAGATTCTTTGAAAGGTTCTTCCCACTCACTCAAAAATCCTTTTTGGGACCTTTGTTTTCAAGAGTATATATTTTTCCATTCTGTTGTGAGAACAGTGAGTAGTGTACAATGACAATACAAACCATAAAGATCTAAAAGCTTGATGACCATGAAAGCTAAATATAATGTACATACATACATACATGGTGAAAATGACTGTGTATCTGAACAAGGCCTTCTATTAAGGATCCACATATTTTTGTAACTTCTACATTAAAGAAGAGAGGAGAGCACTAATCATAGCTGAACTACATCTAAACACTGTTTAGACTGTGAGACACAGGTGCAATCAAGTCACCGCCTAAAAATATTCTAAAGCCACAGGAGAGCATTGCTGGGGCCGCACTGCTTAAATTACCCTCCCACTGCCATCTGCCCCTGATACGCTCCCCTGTGAATCCCCCTCTTCAACATCTCTCTCATTCTCTGCACAAAGCTTTATCAGGATTCTCACATTCAGGTGCACATAGGCTTCTGTTGTTGTGGAAACCCATCTGTTGTACAAATACAGATATGATTTAGTCCTGTTGCCATGGATGCTGGGGTTTTCTATTTATCCAAAACCTGCTTAGAAAATTCACATTTATTGTAAAGGTTAAGGTTTTTATTTGGTGCTAAACGTGACCTAAGGTCATCGCAAATGGAACAACACCTTGTACAGTTGCATCCATTACTAACATGGCATTCAACTGCACACATGCAGGTTGTATTATCTCAACAGAAAAGCACTGCCAATAGAATGAGATACCCTGGAGCCTAATATCACCATGCCCAGTGCCAAGCTTCAGTTAGAGGGGAAAAAAGCTCCTCATCATTGGCCTGTGGAGCAGTGAACTGTGTTCTCTGGAGTGATGGAGCTCTATCAAACGAGTTGGTGTTTGTGATTCAGAACTAATTATCCAACATCAGTGCCTGACTTCACTTATACTCTTCTGGCTGAATGCAATCAAATTCTCACAGCAATGCTCCAACATTTAGTGTAAAGCCTTCTCAGAAGAGTAGAGTGTTACTGCAGCAAAGGGAGACAAATTTACCTTTAATACACTTCATTTTAGGAGAAGCACAATGTGCAGGATTTAAATGTGGGACCTCATTTCTAAAACATGCTTAAATTTTATTCTAAATTTGTGTTGAAGTTTGTTCTCAACAAATTTGTTCTGCCAGTGCTGTTGATAGGTCAGGTTGAAAACTTGCATTTAGCTACACAACCTTTCACATTTTTTTTAAATTGTTATTACATGTAAATATTTATATGCAATCTTTTTAAGATCAAATCTTAAAATGTGATCCAAGACAGTTGATAGTATTTTAACTCTGTCCCTGGCATCATATGTTACATACTAGTGCCATATTACAGTATGAATGCAACATGTGATTTAATACTATCTATTTTAGAAAGATGGGGGGAGGTGAACAATATATGGGTGACCAAACTGGCGTGACGTATTTGTTTTTGTAATTATTAATTTTATAGTGCTGGATGGATTAATACTGTAGATTGCATAGCCAACTACAAGGAGACATTAAACTACATAACTATTATAATTTTTCTATATATATAAAAGTTTGAATACCCCCAGTCAAATAACATGTTCTGTGGATTTTCTAAGTGGAAAAAGGTTAACATCCTCTACAGGAAGCAAAATTAAGAAAAACATTTTTCTGTAAATTTTAGCTCACAGTTTGTATTTATTTGTTTATTTACCATATTGGAAGAATTAAAACAAAAATATAAAATGTAAAAAAATATAAAAATATAAATGTAACTTTTGCACAGGCCATTTTTTTCTGTTTTATTTTTCCCATTAAAATGTGCAGAAAGTGCGTTCTCTGTAGATGATGTGTTCTTATTTTCACATATTTGACCGGGGCGCCCAAACTTTTGCACTTTTTGAACTTTTGAGACATAAGGAAAAGAATAACAGTCTAAGTACAGTAGGACTGCACATAAACTAAGAAATTAGGGAATGTGATGATAGATACAAACCGCAGCATGGAGGTTATGCTACTTCAATGAAGACTGAGCTTAGCTTGATGAATAAGAATTGAGATGAGTGGTTGGGCTCGTGAAAGGTGATAGGTTTGAGTCTCTGCTTGGTCTGGTAGTAATATCATTACCCATGAAATATGTTGGTAAGGGGTAAGTGGGAGGTAAGCAAAGACTGATTGACCTGGGAGGGAGGAGCAAGAGAAGATTTGGGAGTGGAAACTGGAACGATAAAAAGAAGGCATGAAGGTAAGGCGAGATGAAAAGCGGCTGAAGGAAGGGTTCATTGACTTTTGGCAGCTGTCGTGTTTGTCAGTGGTCAATCCTGAAGCCCACCTCCCTCAGCCACAGCATTCCTGCCACTATCTCTGCCTGTTATTTATAGAGACTGAGAAAAGCTGTAGGCGGGACGAGCTTCCCTCTACATGTCATTCAGTGTTTTTGGTCTATTTAAATTTAGCCAACCACACTGAAGGTGATTTTGACATGGATTAATAACAGTATGTTTACACTGTAAGGCATGCTGATCCAAAGTCTTCCTAATGTGCAGCTGCTGTAGACGTACGCATGAGTCTCATGTAGCAAAATAAAAAAGCAGCTGATCAGGGCTTTTGTAAATGCTAATGAATTTGAAAATGTTAATTAATTCTCAGTTCTAGACTAGTTTCCATCCCAGGTCCCAAATAGTATTATTTTAATGTAGAATTACCGTTACTTATCCTTGTGCTCTGGTCCTATGAAGGCAAGCAGACATGCAAAAATAAAGCAGAGGTGAAAATGTTTTACCTTATTTTTCTGCTCTCTTAATCACTCTATTATCTCCTTCTTTGGTGTCTCTTTTAGCTTTCTTTCACTTCTTAACAAAATCCCTCTCTGTTTCCTTCCTCTTCTGTGATACTGTACCCTTCTGTCCTCTGTCTGTCTGTCAGAGCACTGTCGGTTTCAGAGTTTGAAGCAGGCAGGGTCCAGCCGAAGCCCTGTAACATAACCCCCAAGGCCTCAGCCCCACCTGCACCTCCATCTCCTTTTACAGCCAGCCACCCCTCCCCACCAAACATAGTTGATATCCAGCCTGCTCCCCTGCCCCAATCCAGAAATGGAAAAGAGGCGGGCAACACTGGTTTTACAGTCATGCCAACACGCTGTGCTCATGTATTTTTACTAGAGCCTGAGCATGAGAATCCTTACAAGATGCTGAATACAGTCACAGCTGTGATTGTTTGTCCTCATATATATATATATATAGTTAAACAGCTATTTTCCATGAAGCTGTTGGGGTAAACCAATTATGTAGCATGTCCATGAACTCGTGAAGAAGAGCTTAGCACAATTATCAACTTTTTATCACCAACAGCAATGAAATGTTTCTGATTACACTAAGAGATATGATCAGTTACTGCATCTACATGTTTGACTATGAGTTTGAGATCACAATATAATTTGGTTGGGTTAAGTTCTTGAATTAGATAAATTGGAATGACAATGCGTCCATTACATTTAAAAAGGACTATGGAAAACTACATACATTTCACAGCATTTCTGTGCACCACTACATCCAATTAGGCTGCAATTCATCCAGTTAAACAAGGAAAATTATGCTGTTTTAATGATCCATGCAGTTGTTTAAGGTTCTAGGTTCTAAGGTTGTAGATGTACTGATGACACTTATGATATTCTCAGAAAAGTGTTTAATTTATCATGATGACCACACAATGTCATCTGTTTACCTCTCGGAGAGGCAGCTTACTGTTGCTGCTTGTTTTAGATTTATTTATTAACCTAAAGAGTTTAAAAAACAAAAGCTAACTGCTGGTAGTTGAAAACACCAACGCACTAGAGCTGTATCTTATTCAAACATTAATGCTATCTTTTTTAAAATAGTACTGATGTGTGAGAGCGGTTGTGTTGGGCTTTCATCAGCTGGACTGATACATTCACATTTATGGCATTTGGCAGACGCTAAGAGTGACTTACAATTCGATCATTTTACACAGGTGGGCGAAGGTAGTGTTAGGAGTCTTGCCCAAGGACTCTTATTGGTATAGTGTAGGGTGCTTGTCCGGGCAGGGGATTAAACCCCAGTCTACAGCGTAGAAGGCAGAGGTATTAAAATGACTAAATTTAATTTGAAAATGTAAATAACCTATAAATAGCAGCACACGCATATGTTCCAGTGGACTACAAAAGTATTAAATAAAAACACAGTTTTCACAGCTTCAGCATTTCTAGAAGGCCTAATAGTATCTAAACGTTGCCCGATTTCATTTAAATGCATTAGCTTCGATTTAATTGACTAAACTAACATATATTAGCTAACGTTAATGTACAGTTTGAATATACAAAATGAAGTTAATTTACTGGTTTACATCTTCCCTCTTACAAACTACAGACACCACAGAATAGTCCTTTGAAGGCGAAAGAGAAATATCCTCAGCTGGACTCTGTTTACTTTGTGGCAGCGCGGTGACGTCTTTCCGGGATCTCCATGTGAACTGGCCTTGCTCAGAGCTGAGGCGGAGCGGCTTCCGGGCACTATGTAGCAGCTGGGAAACATGGCGGAGGAGCTGCTGGAGGCGGTGGAGAAGTTGCAGTCAAGGCTCTCAGAGAACCAGGAGCCTCGGAAGGTAGGACACGTCGGCTGGCCTTGAGAAAGTACAGCCTGGCGCAGGGAAATGCGACGCAGCCAGGGTTTAACACTCCTGCGGCAGGGTGGAGGACAAATCCACGACTGGAGCGTAGAAAGTGCCTACGCGACAGCAAAAGGGCTCAGTTGACTGGAGAAGTACGGTGTAACAGTTAGTTCGGAGTCATATTTGTTTTATGCCCCTCGATTTAAACGCTGCATACCGACACAGTGCGCGTTGTACGAATCGTGAGAAATGACAGGCGCATTTGATAATAGCAGCTGATAATAACAGGCAGGCAGACAGACAGGCCGTGGGTGGTTGGATGTAGTTTTTCTGACGACATTCGTGGCCGCTTCTAGCACGATTACAAAGGCTACAGGAACTGACTCCTGCTAAACTAAGACGCTTCAAACATGTACCAGAATGTACTTTTGTCTGAAACCGTGCTTTCGAAGCTGATTTCCTTGCTAGCTTAGCTGTGTGTCTAAGTAAACAAAACTGCCTTTTAACTGCCAGTAATACCCTGTGCTGGGTGCTTTAAAGGCCACGACAACAGGGATGTGTTGAATTTTACCTGCGGTTTCACTGAGCGTTGAATGCAGTGTAAATAAATTCTGTGTATATATATTTTTATTGCTTATATATTTTATTTGATTAGTGTGTGAGAGTTTGATGCCCGTAACCCAAAGACGTTTAAAACCATTTAGTTGCACTCTTCAGTACTAGGTATGTGTTGTGCTGTTTTAGTGGTTTTTTTGCTTAATCCTTGTCAACAATTTGTCATTCCCGTCTCCAGCTGCTGAAGACTCTTAAGAGGCTTGGGGAACTGCCCATGACTGTGGACATCCTTGTGGTATGATCAAGCAATCCTCTTGCTGTTTAATTGAAATCAGTTTCAGTTATGTGATGTTGTTGTAGGAAGAACCTGTATTTGTGTCCCATCAGCATCGTTAGTACTGTAGGATCACAAATACAGTATGCTTTTTAAACTTTTTTTTGGTTATGTCTTTTCAAACACTAGAATACTTTGGATAGCATTTAATTTCTATTTGAAAATGTCAGTTTTAAATGAATGCACAGTGATTTCAGGTCCATATTGGTATCAGCAGATGAACATGTTTGGAATTGACCAGTATTCTGAACGGATATTTGATGAGGTGTTTATTGTACTGCAAAAGGTTTAGATGACGCTAGGTTAAAGTGCTAAAATTTCTGCATTTTATTACTTTTAGTGGATTTGTCACGCTACAGAAAGAATGTTCTGATTCTCTCTAATGCTAGTTCAGCTGCATTTTGTCCCAATTTCTACATTTTATAAATGTTTGTGTATTGACAGTGTTAAAAGATATGTAGGAAAAATTACAGCCCAAAAATAACATGTCAGTGCTTTGGTAATTTCAGACACCCTGAAATGTGCATTGTTTATGCCAAACTAATATCTTTCATGTGTTCTTACAGGAAACAGGTGTTGGGAAAACTGTAAACTCACTGCGCAAACACAGCGTTGCAGGGGAGGCCGCAAAGAACCTAGTGGCCAAGTGGAAGAAGCTGGTACCCCAGTCTGGAGAAAGGTGAGCTTTGACACCCACTTTAACAGTAGTGCTGTAAATATTGTCATCAATAGTGAAGTCAAAGACAGGCTTGCTACCGATGTAAAGTGGCTAGCAGCACAAGGTACTAGCTGGAGTAGGGCTTATACGCATAGAGAAATAGAGGTGCAACCAATCCCAGCCTAATTTTATTACAAAATTGCATAACGGCACATCTTCTTGAGCAGCCTAGCTTCCAGTGTGTGCTGCAGAACAGAATATCTTTACTGGCCAAGCTGTAACTTTTCTGCAGCTTTTAAAGGCACCACCATTCATTTGTCGCCATTCTATATCAGCAGACCTAGTAATCCAAGAGAGGGCCGCTCCCACTCACGGACAGACGATACCAGAGGCTACAAACGTGCCAGAGAACCTTCACCAGAGGAGCCACCGCCTGTAGAAGAAGAAGAAGAAGAGGAGGAAGAAGATGAATATCAGCAAACCTATTCTGAGTCCCCTGAACAGCACTACAGCCCCCACGACAGCAGGGCACAGGAGTATCAGTCAGAAGAGTATGAGAGCCCAGCAGAAGAGCCACTGCCTAGTCCTCCCCGCAAAGAAATCAGACACAGCAAGCTGCACAGAGAGCCAGCGAGAGAACACGGCTCTCACTCCTCCAGGGATCAGGAGAGACGCAAACAGCCTGCTCACACTGCGAGTGCCAGTGAGACACGGATACGCAATGATGAGAGGGAGCACAAAGGTGGCGCTACACACACATCATCCAGACACAGTCGTCACTCCGCCCCACATGAAAGTAAGCGAGAAAAGAAAGGAGTCAGTGAAGGTAAGTCTTCACACTTTTTTGGCTATTAAGATGATGTGTTTTACTGTATATATTTTCACTTATGTAGACAGTACAACAATTATAATAAAAGATTTAAAGTAAAATGTGATCGTGCTAGCCAGCAGTCCCTGCAGTCCCTGATGCCTAATATTATTAGCTCTAAATAATAAAAAAAAAGCTTATATAAATTGATAGAATAAACATAAAGCACACCATAGAAAACATAGGGATCAATCGCTCCGTTGAGCATCTTTTACAGGTTTTGTAGGGCACGTCAGCCACAAAAAAATGCATGGATGAGCAAAGACAGAACTGATTTGCTTACTTGAACTCAAACCGTACAAACTGCACCCCTGTTCCAGGTTTGGGCACGGTTCCTAGACGGACAAGATCTGCTTGCATTTGTGTCTACTGCTCTTTTCTTACTTTGTCTAGTAAGTACCCTAGGATCCTGACTCCTGTGGTCCTCTGTATATTTCCAGGCAGACCACGAGAAAGAAAGGACAAGCCAGAGCCTGCGCGGGATGATGAAGACGAACCTTTTGAGGCTCCCACTATGTCTTTTGAATCCTTTCTTACATATGACGAACCTTCCCCGAGTAAGAAGAAGAAGAAACCTTCTCAAAAATCTCAGCCTGTTACCCCTGCTCCTTCAGTGTCCAAGTCCAGCAAATCTAACGGAACTCGCAGTAAACAGCCCGAGCCAGCTATTCCGTCAGTGTCCACGCACACAGTGCCAGAGAAACGCAGGAAGGTGAGGCTGTTACTTCAACACTGGCTCCAGAAACTCAACACAAGAGTCATAGTAACCAGTGATGATGATGTAATTTATATAGTGAAAAAGTATTGGTGTAACAAAAAGTCTTAATTTACTCAATTTGCCCACTTACCCCAGAGGTTGCTGAGACATGCCAAGACATGTTTTGTGTCCAAATATTTTTTTTTTGTTTTTTTAAACTGGACCTATGAACCTAATGTTGCTAAGAGACACTAGAAGTCAATAGTCACCCAACAAAACTTCACTGCGTAGCTGGATGCTGGGAGCAGCCATTTTAGACAGGTGTTGTGCCCAGTTCTGTCTGTCTCGCCGAATCCTGTCATCCCTTCACGTGCCCGCATGTCACACAGGCATAAGGACGCTAGAGTACATAACAACAAAAGATCTCTTTTGTTTTTATTTCAGAACATATGTTCAGTTAAAAAATTCAGGGTTAAACAGTTATTTATAAAAAAAGAAACAAAAGAAATCAATATGATCTCCATATGACAGCATTAAGCATGTGCGCACAAATGAGGGGATCAATTTACCACAAAACCCCCTTTGTCTAAAATGGCTGCCCGCAGCATCCAGCTACTCAGGAAAGTTCATTTTTTTAAACTCGCAGTAAGTCATACTGTGTCATAAACTGTCAACAAGTCTGGGTTTGGAGATGTGTTAATGGATAGATTTGCGTGACTAATGACTTCTAGTGTTTGTTAGCCATGTTAGCCTCTTCGCTCCAACCAAAATTTGGAAACCAAACATGTCTTGGCTAATCAGCAACATCTGGGGTCAGTGAAAAATTGAGTAAATTAGATTTTTTTTTACTGAACTTTATTTAGTGGGAGGTATGGTTTAGGAAAACATGCCTATGTGAACTACAATGTAAATGTGGGTTTTTCTTTTTAACAAGTTAATAACAATAGGGGTTGAGGTTAATAACAATAGGTAATTGAGTAAGTTTTAAACTGTATAGAACTTCATGAGGAAAAAGGATTTAGGGAAGGAGGAAGGCAATGCTTATCACAACTGAGTTTTTCTTTAACACTTCATGTCTTTGCTGATCATTTATCTGTGGATCTCATCATTTTCTTTAGGTAGTTGATGTGGTGCCTACTCTCCCTGATATCCCTTTGCCAGCCATCCAACCCAACTACAGACCACTACCCTCAATAGATGTCACCCCGCTGTCCCCACAGAGACGCAAAGGTTGGTCATTTTGTCATTGTTAGCTGCTGAAAGCTTTATTGAGTGATGGATATTACTTATGACACGATAAACTTGAAGAAAAGCATCAAACATTCGTAGCATAACCAAATACTTTATCTTCTCATGCCTTTATTTGATATGCTTTCCCTCCTGTATTCCACTAGTTCCCGTATCATGTGAAGAAGAGGATGCTGGATTTACAGGTCGGCGTTTCAACTCTAAAATGGTGGTATACTCTGGTGCGAAGACTTCATATCTTCCCAAGATGATGACCCTCTATGAGCAGTGCATTAGAGTCCTGCAGAACAATATTGACTGTAAGTTGCAAACTGAATAATGCGGACATTTGAGTGAAGATATTTTGATGGTTCCTGTTTTTTATTCTTGTAATATCCACATGATGAGCAACATTTTCTCACAAAATCACATACAGATTAATAAATTAGTAAATGTTCTGTGCAAGATCTAATGCTCCAAACTAGCCGTAAGTAATTTATACAATCACCCTAACGCAGACTGTTGTACTAATGTGATGTTTGCTTTTTCAGCTATTGATGAAGTTGGTGGTGTACCTTTTGAGATTTTGGAGCCAGTTCTGGAGAGATGTACTCCAGAGCAACTATACCGTATTGAGCAATGTAACCAGGTATGTGTGTATACATATGTAGTAAATGCAGGATTATACAATGTGGCAAGTGCTGGGAGAAATAAATCCTGTGAAAATTAAAAAGAAATCACAGCTGCATGTATACGAAATAACATTACATACAGTGTACCTACACACATTCAAATATTTTGCCAAGACTGCTTGTGGTAATTGTCATTTATGTAATTCCTAAACTATTTTCAGTACATAGTGTGTACAGTATTGAACATTTGCCCACTGCTCAAGCAACCTCCTCAAGCATAGTCATGCACAAAAGTTTTGTTTGGGGCTGTAATCCCAAAGGTGGCCTATCAAAACCAGCTATGATTGGGGATTTTACGGTTTGCCTGCTGAAAACATTAGTCAGCCCAAACACCTCTTGGAGGCTGGGGCCCCTTTTTAGGCTATATCTCTTTTTATAATTTATAACTTACTGAGTTAAAACTCTGACCCTTACCATTTAGATGATGTACAGTTTTGCTTCCCATTTTGAAATCTCTAATAGCAACTAAACACACAGTCCTGCTGGTGTGGGTTAATCCGTTGGTTTAATCTCTTTCAGGGATGCACAAAAATGCTACATGAGTGCTAATTGTGCCGCTTGTGGGAAGTCTAAATTGTTGTGGAGAAGAAATTGGTATATTTCGCAATATAATTTGCCCCTGTGATTTCACAGTTTGAATGACAAATTGTTCCGCTAGTTGACATTAATATAATTCTTGTAAAAATTTTGCTTTTTGTGTTCCAACACTTGAACTTTGCTACCACAGTGCTACATGCTCAAAACGTTTTCATACAGCTCTGCTATACAAATTTAAATACCGCATATTTAGAATGCGGAGCTGATCAAATGCATGCATGAATAATGGGTCAATGGCCGAATAGGTTATGATCAACATTGTCTACCTCTCTCAAGTATTTCATGGAGGAGACAGATGAGCTGTGGATGCGGCACTGTCAGCGGGACTTTAAGCGTGAAGCTCCTCAGGAGTATGAGTCCTGGAGAGAGCTGTATCTACGCCTGCACGATGAACGAGAAGAGCGCCTGCGTATGCTCACGCAGAACATCAGCTCTGCTCATGCCAATAAGCCCAAAGGTATTCACACTTACTTCCTGTAGGGATTTTAATGAAGAGCATAAGGAAACTGTGTACAGATTCAGCTTTATGCCCATCACTTTCCCTTCAGGAAAAGTCAGGGCTTCAGAACATTTCCTTATTTAATTGACAGTATTGTCTATGCTGTCTGTAGTGAGTTAAAATGACACAGTTCTTGTGTGAATCCCTCACAGGTCGACAGGTAAAAATGGCATATGTAAATTCGGTTGCTAAGCCTCCTCGCGATGTTCGGAGGAGACAGGAGAAGTTTGGCACTAAAAGTGGTTCTACCAGCGCCAGTGTTATTGCTGCGGCTCCAACTCCAGTCAAGTGAGTAAAAGCAGTTTTAGCTTCCAGGCTGAGAAATTCAGTTCCTCATACTGACTATTTGAATTCAGTCTCGCACTGTGGCTCTTATTCATCAAAATTGTATAAAGAAACAGCTCAGGTTTAATGGCCTTTAATGACATACAAACGGCTCTGTGTCTGATTCATGAAACTTGCGCATTATGTGGATTTTGAGCACAGATGATGAATCAGCCTTTGTGTGTGAAATCATGTGCCAGCCTACCAGTGCCTTACTTACATATCATTTAGATGAAGCATGCCCTAATGCATGCAGATGTTTCGGTAGGGAACCAGTTAAATAACTTGTGAGCCAATTATTGCTCGCAGGCAGAGTTTGAGGTCAGGCAGTGAGTGTACAGTTTCCCCTACTGACTAAACATTATAGTGTAAATAACTGGTATTAACGTTTTTTTTATGTTATTATTATTGATATTATAGAGGATATTGATAATGCTTTTGATTAGTTAACTGCAAGTCAGGCTTTTTTTCAGGTTGTTAAACTGTTCCACTCAAGTTTACACACACACTCCTATCAGATATGAGTTTTACTTGTGCAGATACACCAGATGAAAGATGAAACCGTTAAAATAACAAAAAACTGTCAGGGTAATTTGCGTGCGCTCATTTTACAATCAGATTTGACTGTATGGAACTTTAAATAAGGGCCATTGAATTTACATGTGTATTCGATAGTGATGGATACTTCACCCATATCACCTTTTTGGCTTCTTAATTACAAGATTGGATAAATATTCCAAGTTCAAGTAATGTAAAAACATCTGAAATTTAGGTGTGTCATGGACCGTTGCACACTTTGCTTAATTATTTTACTTTACCTAAGTGTTTTATTATATTATGTTTCAGAATCAGATCAGTAATGCCCCACAGCTCCCACAGTCAGTCAAGTGAAGGTGGCCAGTCTTCCTACAGCAGTCCTCCTGAATCCTCTCGTTCTTCTGCTCCTAGCAGCAGTGCTGGCCATAGTGCCAGAGACAAACCACAGGTCAAAAGTGAGTAAACAAAGGAAGATACTGCATTTCTTATGCTGTGTGTGTATGTAGATGCCTTCTCTGATTTTATCCTCTCTTTTTTTTTTCCAGAAATTGCCCCTATGATGGCTAAAACTATCAAAGCTTTTAAGAACAGATTTTCTCGACGGTAAAGGAAGAAGAGAGACTAGGTTTCTGTTCTGAGAGTAAATGTGGACTGAGAAAGTGTAGAGTCAATTCTCATTTTAATGTAATGCCTCCTCTCCTCTATGTTTTTATGCTTTTAATTGTGTCCATGCAGATCACTGGAACAACTGGAAAAACATATGCACACACACACTAAACAGTCTTGCCTTGGCATGTAGGCTTCAACAGTCACACGCTGTACAGTACATCACACTATGGTGGGACATTGGGTTTTCTTGGTTATTTTGGCCTGTGTATTTAATTAATGTCACAAGCAGAGAATCCTGCAACTTTTCTCTTCATAAGGAAAGAGTACCCACAGTAGTGAGAGTGTAAGCATTTGTTGTTTCTCAGCTTTATTTAATTCACAGTCAAGGAAACATGTAAGGCAGCGAATGATGTAATCACACATGAGGGAGGAGAGAGAGGAGGAATCAGTCAGTGGTCGGGACCCTACAACTCCACTCGATTGTATTTATTTTCGGTCTGTGGACCTGGTTTCCCTGAACTTGGCCCTAAATGGAAGAGGATCAAAAATAGTAATTTTAATAGATTTTAATAAATGTTATATGGACATTTTTAATAAAATCGACATTTTGCCCTCATTTTGTTTGTTGTATGTTGTTCGTGCTTGGTCTGTGTTTGAAGTCCCTCATACATCAATATATAATAAAGCTATTTTTGATATTAGAAGTTCAGTTTGAACAAGTAAAATGAAATAATGAAGTAAACAAATGAAATTTCACATGCACAAAACAGAATTGTGGCACTGAATGTCAAAATTCAGCTTTTGCTAATGGGGCTTTATATTTAATTATGCAAGATTTCAGCTCTCTTCTAAACGTTGACGTGTTAATTCAGTTTGAATCTTGTAAGTTAAATAAATGCATGTTGAAAATCTAAGTGAATTTTCACTTATTAGTGGAATTTGAAGTGTCGCATGCAACAATTTAAATTTCACCAGTAAGAAATAAATTCAAACAATAGTAATTCGAATTTCAGCATGTGAAATATGAATGTTTACATGTGAAGGAAGGGGGATATTTTAGCGGTAAGAGTATTACTGTGCAGTGAAAACTGACTGTAAAATTAACGGTTGTTGCGCAAATCAACTGTTCCCTTGATTCAAAGAAAACAGGTAACCGCAGCTATGTGCGTCTGCCTTCATTTGCTGATATGGCGATTAGTGCCGAGTAAAACTCGCTAGATGGCGCTTTCACCATATCCTTATAAGGCAATCCTGCCCGCGTCTCAAACGGCTACGTACTTGATTTCTAGTGCACTATTATATTTCACGTGTAGACGTGTGCAGTAGCTACACTACATAGGGAGTAAGGAGCCATTGCTACATTGCGAAGTCATTATTGCGTATAAATTAAGGGACGGCAAACTCTACTCGCTATTGGTTACACGCGAGTTGCCCTCTGTCCAATCAAAGGCGAGGATTGTTAATATTTGGGTTTCTTCTAGTAGTGTCATATCTACGTGCAGTTTTGCTTGTTGAGCTGCTGAGTGTGGATAAAACTCTCAGCACGGTCTCATGAACCGTCTCAGTAAGTGGTGAAGGTAGAATTGCCGGGTGTAGAAAACTTTGATTTTTCTTTTACTCCTTATCAGTCTCGTAAAGACCACATGTCTGGGCACGGGCACGGACACGGACACGGCGGTGGACACGGCTGTTGTGAAGTCGATCATGAGCCCGCTGAACGGGGCCTGGAATACGGACTGTACAGACGCATCGACACAGAGAAGCTGCAGTGCCTGAATGAAAGCCGAGACGGCGACGGCAAACTCGTATTCAAACCGTGGGATCAACGCACAGACAGGGAAAAGGTATCTTAAAGGTTTAATATGTGTCCAGCTATAGCTGTGGAGTCACAGGGGTTAGGAAGTTGTTTTCCAGGTTCAGTTCATGAAAAGCTTGGTAATTATCTGTATATCGAGTTGAAACAGGTGTATTAAAGTATAATATTGAACTTGGCAGTGCTGCACCTCTCTAAGGCTGGACCTGGAGAAGTCTGGTGGGATAACGTTACTGACAGGATGATGAAACCTTCTGTCGTATTCACCGCTGCCGTAATGTCCTTAACCTTGCAGACAACTGAGGAGAATGCTAGGGGTTTAATGGCCGTAGAATACAATGTAATGCATGTAATGTAGATCTACATGTAGAGTCACTATCTGATCAAAGAAACACTGCTGTGATCTGATGCATTAAAGCTGAGTAACAGCCAAATCATATTCTATATGTCCAAAAGTATCCAGAGTAAATTCAGCTACTTTAAGGTGCACCCACTGCTGATACAGGTGATCAGTAATGCACACAGCTTGTATAATCTCCTTAAAAAAGCATTGGCAATAGAACGGGATGCTCTGGAGCAGCCACACATGAATGTAATGGTGCCAAGCATTAGCTATAGGGGTATAAAGCCTCCCAGTATTAGACGGTGGAGCAGTGGAACTGTGTTCTCTTGGATGACAAAGCACTGTCAAATGCCTTTGTAATGTGTTAGCAGTTTGAGATCTAGAACTGCTCATGCAACATTAGTGTCTGACCTCACTAATGCTCTTGTGGCTGAATGCAGTTAAATCCTTGCAGTAATGTTTCAACATCTGGTATAAAGCCTCTCCAGAAGATTGGAGGCTGGTACTGCAGATGTCAAAAGGGGAACAAATCCCATTTAATACCCTTGATTTCAGAAGAAACATTGGATGAGCAGGTGTCTACAAACTTTTGGACATATATGGTCAGTTTCCCAGACAGACACACGTCCTGAATGAAGCTTCTTCACTGAAAGGAAAAGGCCTTAACCTCGAATAGGAAACTGACCCATTGTATACTTGATGCATTAGCTGAACAGATGAATTCAGCTTCAGCTTTCTTGCTGTAATCCACTTTATTTTTCTTTTTTAGTTTGTGGAGAGTGATGCCGATGAGGAGCTTCTGTTCAATATCCCGTGAGACAGCAATCCTCCTGTATCTCACATACATGCTGCACTCATATGGTTCATGTGCACTACACACAGAGCATCATTTCCACTTTCCTTTTCTTTATTCTTCATGTAATGTTGCTTGCTTTGGCAGGTTCACTGGAAGTGTGAAGCTGAAAGGAATTATCATTTCCGGTGAGGATGATGAGTCCCACCCAGCTGAAATGAGACTGTAAGCATACGTTTAATGTGAAGTTCTACCTGATAGTGATTTTTATATTGCATAAGGGTGCGTTCTAATATTTCTGTCAATCTGCAGATACAAGAACATACCACAGATGTCATTTGATGATACAAGCAGAGAGCCAGAACAAGCATTTCGTCTCAACAGGGATGCACTGGCTGAACTTGAGTATCCGACGAAGTAAGTGTCCTGAATCTGAATGTTTTTGTATATGTACTACATTGTCTTGAGAGGTAGCCAATGATGGAGTTATTTACCATGTTGTTTGTACAGGATTGCCCGCTTTTCCAATGTACAGCACTTGTCAATTCATATTTCTCGGAACTTTGGGGCAGATTCCACTCGTGTCTACTACATTGGGCTCCGGGGAGAGTACGCTGAGGTAAATCATCTTGTGATAGTTTTTTTGTTGTTTTATGCCAGAATATACCAAAATAAAATGTTCCAAATATAGGAAAGGTCTGTTTATAATTTTTAACATTGGCTTAACTATTACAACAAAATTAAAGAAGGGTTTTTTAACTATCCTCAAAGCCTTCCTTAACCATCATGTCTGTCAAAACACAAAACATTTTATATTGAATGGAAAGAAGTGGTGTTCCTCAACAAAAGGGGCATCATAACATCCACTAAACATTACCAAATGCAGGACCCTCTGGAGTATGTGCAGTAGAGGGAGTTTGCTTGTGTTGTCTCTCCTTCTTCATGAAATACAAATAGCAAATTCACATACAAATTCTTTTTTATTCTTTTTTTAACTAATCATACTATTTCCAGCTGCATAACTTTATGATCCTGTGACATTGGACATTTAATAGATATGTTGGTAGCTTTTTTCAGAGTTCACAGCAGTTTTAGAAAACCAAACTGAGCAGCTGCAATATAGTTTCCTATATGTCTCTGTGAAAGCACACAGAACAAACCAATGTGGTGTGTCAACAAAAATGGGAGTGAGTATAAAATGACTGAAGCAGTGACATTAGGATTAAAGCTTTGTCAATAAATTTAGAGTCCATCATTTTTCATCTGTAAATCCATTTTATCTTTTTGTCTGTCTGCTGTTTCTCTCACAGGCTCACAGACATGAGGTGACGATCTGTAACTATGAGGCAGCAGCGAATCCAGCAGATCATAAAGTGGAAACGATCACTCCACAGACACACTTCATATCGTGACGAATAATGAGCTTGAGCTGTCTGAATGAGATGAATGATTTTTGGTAACACTGAGGTGCATTAACCAGGAGAGGAAAATGTCTTGAGACATATTTCAAGAGGAATGTTGTTTGTTCATGGCGATTTGTTCAACTAAAACGTTAAGTGCATGTTTACGCCCTTGTTGAAACGCTTTTCAATATAAGCTCAAAACCAGCTGATCAAATTGATGATCAGAATTAATGATGATTTGAAAGGGTTAAACAAAATTCAACAATGATATCTACCACATGTACCTTGTAATTTTGGAGCGTTTAAATAAAAAAATGCTGGCAGGTTAAAGCTACCTTTAGTGTATAAATTGATTTTTTTTTTTTTTGCCAAATAGTCAAGAACTACAAAATAACCTTTGAGATAAATAAATGCATACATTTTCTGAATAATATTTTTAAAAGTTGAGTCAAGATCATTTCTGAATTAAGCTTTACTCTGTGATTTCCTGCCTTTCAGTGCTGCAGATGTTTAAGTGATGAGACCACTGTGTTTCCAGTCTGCAATAGTTAGAAATTTCATGTTTATATGAAGAGCCCATGTCATCGAAGACTGAATTTTCCTCACTTTTTTGAGGTTAGGGTCTGATGTAGCATGTAAACATTTAAAAGTGTCAAAACTTACCCATACAACTAAAATAATCTGCAAAAGCAGCCCGTGTTGAATTAATTGTCTTTTTGTGCTTCACAAAAAACACCGTATTTACAAAAATCCATATATTCAGCCTACAGCAGTTTAGCCCCGCCCATTCACGATGAAGTTGAATGGGCACAATGCGGAAGCACTCAGAATCAGCAACCAATCAAATCAGAGATCATGTACATATCTAAATCTTAAAGGCTAACCAACAAAAGCAGCCCGTTTAACGCTCAGGAATACAAAGAGGTTGATAAACTGTCATGTTCATTTGAATTACGAATGTAAAGCAACACTAATGTCTGAAATGGACAAAGGAAGGAAAAGAGAAATGTAGGGTGCGGTACTGTAATTTTGTTGTGTTTAAGCTAGTTTAGTCTGTAGGTTGTTAAAAAAGCGCACACGCACATGTGTACACATATTACACACATTTATTCGGTTTTAATTTTCCTTGGAGAGGGTGCGCTGACGATGACGTCACGCGGTCCGTTGCCCGCCCCTCTCCGGCAGAAAGCAGCGGAAGTTCCGTTGTGACCTGCGAGAGCGAGCGGTGAGTGTATGAATTTACAGCGGTGGGCCGTGGTTTCAATTTACTGTTTTAATCGTCAGAAACAAAAAAATGTTGGCCTCTGCGGCGCCGTCTTGGTGATGAGGTTGAAAGGGGGCCCTCTTGTTCACAGTAGACCCCGAGTTAGCTACTGCAGTAGTAAAGAGGGGAGAGGGGTTTAGCCAGACAATACCGACAACTAAAGCTCCATGCAGCAGGCTGTGCGGCTCTCAGTGTGGGGGATATGGAGCGATATGGACAGAGCAGGCGGAGCGGGATTAAGCGCGCTGTCTGAGGGGATGAACGAGCGCATTCAAAGCTGAAACAATCCCTCGGGTTTGCCTATGTATCATCCTGAATTCCACTAGCCGGCTAAACTGAGCTAAGCCGCTCTGCTCTCTTCCTCCCTCCCCCTCTATTGTTTTTCCTTGTCCGCCCCCTCTTCCTCTCAGTTTGAATACCAAATGAAAAGTAGCCTCGGAGCACACGAGAGAAATTCAGCTCTACTTTAACACCCGGTTCCCTGAAGCTCTGGTGAGAAACAGTAGTAGCCCGATGTAGTTAGTGCTGGTTGAGGAGTTGCCGTACTGTAGTGGTGGTAGCGCATGCTCTCAGCGCACCTCCTCACACCAGCTGGCTTTAAGGGATACACGCTGTTCTATGAAATATTGTGCTGTTAGAGGCAGCCATTAACTCGCGGCCGCTCGCCACTGTTTTTCCTGTTTTAATGTTTCGCTACCCTGCGCTGTTGGACAGTTCTGTGGTCTTTCTTTCACTTTTATTGACGAAAGTAAACCGTCCATTCGCCCACAGGCTCTGTAGGACAGGTGTTTTGATGAGAGCACTGCACGATGGCCGTATTAGACCAGAATATTGTGGTGGTGCCTATCATCTCTGCTTTTAGTGTAAGGAGGAACTTGATCCGATTCTGAAGTGCAGAGCAGACAAAGCTGTGTCCTGCTGAGTGTAATGGAAGTCAGGTGGAAGCTCGTGTTGTCACTGAAGCCGCTCACAGACGTGTTTGTGCTCCTGCCTTCAGACATTGTAGTTAAAAGCCGTTGATGTGGTATGTGTTTGACCTCATTCGTGGCTGGAAAGACTAACGCTGTCCCGAGTTAAAGGAAATGCAACACTCGTGATTCCCATTTAAGCCTTTCTGAACACTAAGGGGAAGTTACCTCAGTCGTATTTGCTGGTAGAATTACTTAATACCATCATATTTCATCATGGAAACAAAAAGTCTTTTAGTTGTTAACTGATCGTATTACTAGGCAGAATATGTAAGCTGTGCTGACTTTAACAGTAAAACCAGTCAATTTATTAACCCACTTATTTCCATGATGGCTTTACACCCAATACAGACCCACTTCTACCTGTGGAACTAATGGGTCATCTCCAGGGTTTACACATTAACCATTTTCCATTTGGTCATTACTCATTAGCACTTTACCAAGTTCTGTATATTTGAATATGCTTGCTGTTGTGCTACCTCAAATAGTTGTGACACCAGTTATTTAAGCATAAGCCCTAATAATGTTAGTTAATGAGTTCCAGAACTGCTGAGTGAGTGGAATTGCTGTTCATTTATAACCATGACACTTCTGATCATGTTGTACTGACTGGGTTGTAACACTGATTTTCTGCTGAAAGCACCCCTTTACAGTGTATGTGTGGCAACAACATGTCTGTGCCGCTGCTCGCCGAGGCTGTGACGGTATCCGGGACGGAGAAAGAGACCGCTGCGGTGAGAGACCAAACTTTGTCATTTATTTCAGTTGGGCTGACAAATACTTAGTTGTGGTGCTTTTCCAGCCGTTTTCTGAATGAAGTGTTGCCAAATTGCTTCAATTAAATATTTATGTCCCTGTGTCTGTAAGTCTTGTACAGTTCCATTTTCAGAGAATTCTTATTATTCACATTGGTAGTTGATATTTTCACTATAACAGAATGTAAAACAATAACAGTTTCTGTTTTTTGCTCTACAGGTCATCTTTCTCCATGGTCTGGGTGACACAGGGTAAGTTCTGAAAACTGTGGTGATGGTTTTAGGTGTGCAAACAAGGGTGGCCATTTGAGCAGTTTAGGATAAAAGTAATATTGGACCTGGCATGCTATTGATCGTTTATTAATTAACAATGGTTAATAGGGCTGGGTATTGAAATTCAGTTTTCAATACCACTAAGTATCGAAAAATTGCACCCCTCTACACAGTCTTCAAAATCTGAGACTGCTAGGTACCACCCTGTGACTGGAATTTTTTGTTACCTCATTGAGTTACAAGCTTAAAGTGTGGTTTTTTGTTGTAGACATTGAGATAAAATGTTTTTTTATGTGTTGTTTTTTGCTAAAAGTATCAGTATTGGAAAACTTTGAGCTATATCCATCTGTAATGGTGAACTAATTATTATTATTATTATTATTATGTAATTGTCAAGTATAATTATGTAATAATGTGTCTGCCTGTTGGTACTGTAATACACTATATGAACAAAAGTATTGGGACACACCTCTTTCAGGTGTTTCATTTCGTCCCATTGCCACTGGTTTATAAAATCAAGGCATGCAGTCTGCCTTTACACACGTGTAAAAGAATGGGTCGTTCTACAGAGCTCACTGAATTTGTGCATGGTACTGTAATAGGATGATACCGTTTATGTTAATGCTATTAGGTTGTTTTTCAGGGGTTGATCTAGGCCCCTTAATTCCAGTGAAGGAAAATCTTAATGCCTCAGCAGACCAAGACATTTTGGATAATTCTATGCTTCCAACTTTGTGGGAACAATTTGGGGAAGAACCTTTTCTGTTCCAGCATGACTGTGCCCCAGTGCACAAAGCGAGGTCCATAAAGGCATAGTTGGGTGAGTTTGGTGTGGAAAAACTTGACTGGTCCGCCCAGAGCCCTGACCTCAACCCTATCAAACACCTTTGGGATGAACTAGAACCAGAACGGTGATTGCTGTTCTGGATAAATGGGCAAAAATTCCGACAGACACACTCCAGAATCTTGTAGAAAGCTTCCCAGAAGAGTGGAAGCTGTTATAGCTGCAAAGGGGAAACCAACTCCATATTAATACCTTTGAATTTAGAGTGGGATGTCATAAAAGCTCCTGAAGGTGTCCCAAAACATTTGTACGTAAAGTGTATGTGAAAATGTAAGGCCTTATTGTTATAATTTAAACTACTTTCTGATAAAGCTTTACTAAGTGAATTTAGTCTTCCTGCTTGTCATGTTGCAGAAGTTCCAGTGTTGTAAACATTAATGGGCCATGTTTTTTCCTGTCTACAGTAGTTAGTTGCGAAACTGACACTTAAGTTATCACTGTTTTCTGTTTTCTGTCCTTCTGATAGTGGACTTTTTTTCAGTCTTTATGCAATTGCATGATGTAAAAAAGAAAAAAAGCACATATGAATATTTTGTGTCCCATCACCTTGCTCATACTACCACTTGCTCCTTTGATCAGACATGGCTGGGCTGATGCCATGACGTCTATTAGGCTGCCATACGTCAAGTACATCTGCCCACATGCGTAAGTATCTGAATTGATAATTACAGTGGGATCTAGAATTACTTAGATAAAAGTGTTCAGAAAAGCTGAGTAAAATAACCAGCACACAATGAGATAATGCTGAGTACTTGAATTTTTTCCAGTACAGTAATTTGAAATCAGATGCTTTTAAAGAAGTTATTCTTGAACTATTAGGTCTTATTTAAAACTAAAATTATATTTGCAGTGATTTGTTTTGCTATTTGCTATATGTAATTGCTATTTAAATCTTAAGGACATTTTTCAGGCTATTCATTGATTTTTCAGTTTAACTAGGGTTGCAATAAAGCAGTAACATAACAAATGAGATATATATAACAAGAACTAGTCAGTCAAAGTAGATGAATGGTTATTGGTCATTGGAAAATTGCTGCAAAAGACAAAGTGAATACAAGAAGTGTGTCAAATATATGTAACAGATAATGGACATAAGAAATATATTGCAAGTTAATTATATAATGCTAATGCACAAATCAAGAGGGTTAGTCAAGAGAAGGACCTAAGTGCGTGAAGTCTTGTTTAGTGGGAAAGATGGTGAGAGTACTAATTATAGTAGAGATTTCCAGGCATATTTAGTCTTACAGGAAAAGTCTTAGTGCTTTTATACTTCTCAGGGGTTGTTGAACCAAGTGCTTTGGATGAGTGACAGTAATTTTTACACCTATGTTATTAAGTGATAAGTATTTTTCTAGAAGCATTTCACTTTAAATAAAAATTCTTTTTTGCAATATCTTAATATAGATCTGATTTAGTATAGATTGTAGTGTTGTGAGTTTTTTAAAATCATGTTTTCCTATCTTTTATTTACTTTTTTGAGCAGTTGATTGATTGATTGATTGATTTATGCCTGCAGACCTAGAATTCCTGTAACGCTCAATATGAAGATGACCATGCCCTCATGGTAAGAAACTTTTAATACTATCATCGTTCTTTATCCATTCTTGAGATTGATATTCTCGTATTTAGCCTATGTTGATTTGTGTGCAATAAATTATTTTTTTAGGTTTGACTTGATGGGCCTGAGTCCAGAGTCTCCCGAGGATGAGGCAGGAATTAAGAGAGCAGCCGAGAACAGTAAGCAAAAAGTTGAAAAACGCGATGCATTGTGGACCATTTTCCTGAACACGGTTTATGATTGCAGTCTGGGATTTCTGCCACACATTGACAGCCTTAGTTTGCCTCTGAAGCAACATTAAAGTTGTGCTATAGTAAAAATATGTCATGTAAGCTGCTTAAATTAAAGTAAGAGTAATTGGACAAAATGGAAAATTAAACTTTGAAACAATCCTTGTCTTATCATTTTAATGACTTAGTAGATCAGAGCTTAAGGCAGAAATTTCAGAATGCTTGGCATGTTAATTTTAAAATAACATGATTATTAATATTGGATGATACCGTGTTCTGTCAAAAGAGTTACTTTTTGCCTCTTCTGCAGTCAAGGCCATCATTGACCATGAGACAAAAAATGGAATACCAGCGAATCGTGTCCTCCTTGGTGGATTCTCTCAGGTGAGCAAATACTGCCCGTCCCAGTGCTTTTCTGTACTGATCATTTGCTAAATAAAATGTACATTGACAATTGTCCATGTGTGGGCTTTTACCTACATCACAGAATGATCTACCTCCTGAGTTCTTGTCAGTTGCAATTGGCTAAATAAGGCATTTCAGATATTTGCTAATGTTTTATCTCATTATGATTATATAACAGAGTCTGTTTGTTTGTATCTCACCTCCAGGGTGGAGCTCTCTCCCTCTACACTGCTCTTACCTGTCAGCAGCAGCTTGCGGGTGTGGTTGCTCTAAGCTGTTGGTTACCTCTTCACAAGACCTTCCCACAGGTGTGGGCTTTGTGTGTTTGTGTGTGCATTTTTATCGTGTGAGCTTTATTTTGTCTACATAGACAAATATGATCAGATTAAAAACAAACGGGGCAGGAATGACAACTTTGCTCTGAGCTTTACGGCCAGCTGCCTAATGCTTCATTTAGGCAGGCATTCAAATTGTGTCTGATCTCTTCCTTGAGGTTCAACCAGGTCTCTCATTTTGAGCTGTATTTCTGTGTGAACAGTGTTTTCACATCTATAGTGTTTCTAAATATGTGATTACAGTAAAACGATGAGCAAACCTAATGGTTTCATCAAGACACTGTATTTATAGTGTAATTGCTAAAGTGCTGGAAGTGTATTTGTTGCTGTTTTTATTTGCTAAATGATATTGATAATGCATTTAAATGTGTTAAGATGTGTGGCTAAAATATCCTAATCTAAAACAAGTAGACATACTGAAGGCTTTGTAATGCAATATTGCATTTAAGCACTCGCTTGCTGTTATGACAAGGCTTTAATGTAGCCCATGTGATGCATGATGTTACTCCACTAGGCGGCAAGTGGCAGCGCGAACAAGGATATACACATTATGCAGTGTCATGGAGAGATGGACCCGATGATTCCAGTGCAGTTTGGGGCCATGACAGCAGAGAAGCTTAAGACCATAGTGAACCCTCAGAAAATCTCCTTCCGCACCTACCCAGGTCTCATGCACAGCTCCTGCCCTCAGGTGAGTCTTTTTAAGCTGATCCGCAAACCTTTCACTTTAGAAAAACATATTTTTTTCTGTGGCATGTAGATGCCTATACACTGCACTAATCGTTTCAAGCTCATTGCCGTCTCTTATTTCTCTAGGCTGTGCAAAGCATTCAGAACTCAGTTGTAGGCTAAACATTTTTCTTGTGTGTTGGCGTGGTTAATAGCTGCGTTCCAAAAGCTAGGCTGCAGTCTATGTGGGCTGTATTTCTAGACTGCCACATCATAGAAGGCTGTTCCAATTAGAAAGATCCTTCAAATACAGGAGAAAATGCACCCTACATTCTGACAGGTTTGAGGATGCTACCAGAATAGTTTTCATTCTGTTTGTGCATGCATTAAATTTTGGAGAAATGCTGGCAGATTAAACCAGCTGCTGCACATTATTTTAAAGAAAGTAAAATACATAGTAAAATCTACAGTATGCTATTTCTTCAGTTGTGTATTTGTTTAAGAAGGTGTAAATTGAATGACACATTGCATCATTCACATTTTGGGGGGGCAGAAGCTCAAGAGGGTGGGAAAAAGGGCAAAATTAATTAAACCTAATTTACACAGTAAATTACAGTACATTGCAATCACGCTTATTGAGAGAGAGACAGTTAAATCATGTTTCAGGCAAACCAAATGTAGTGTTAAAAGTTTTTTCAAAGGCAGCCAAAATCACTACTGTTACCATCTATGCAGGGATTTGAACAGTTGCTAGTGAGCACAGCTATGATACTACTCACTACACTGTTTAGTCACCTATTAAGTCTCATATAGATGCCTGTTTTTTTACAATACCAGAAACTTGGTGTAGCAAGTAATTAACGCTTCTTCTTGCCAATATTTTTTTGGTCGCTGTTTAAAATAACCACATTATGTAATATGACCTTACAGAGATAATTTCTTAAAGTTTTATTGATGGGGTTTCCAGCGCTGTGACAGCTCTTTTCCAGTGATGTGACAGTGCAGCCTTGGCAGACTGCTCCATTTTGCATTAAGTCATTAAAAAAAGAGCCTTCATAAGACAGTGATACCAAGGAACCACCTTTGTCAGCTGCAGCCTAGCTTTTGGACCACAGCTACTGTCTATAGCAGGCCTACCCGTTCCTGGTTCCGGAGATCTACCACCCTGTAGAGTTTAGCGTCATCTCTAATCTAACACGCTTGATCCAGGTACTGAAGGCATTTAGGAGTATCTGAATGTCAGAGCCAGAGTGGTAGATCTCCAGGCCCAGGATTGAGCACCCCTGGTCTATAGTAGTATGCTATATGTCTTTTTGTGTTAATACTGAATTCTGACACTGTTTGCAGGAGATGTCTGATGTGAAGAATTTCATTGAGAAGCTGTTGCCCCGAATCTGACCTCACTGTGACCCTTAAGACACCGACCTCTCACCTCTGACCCGCCATTCTCCCACAGGAAACAGCCATGAGCGTCTCCTACCACACAAACACACATACATGAACTCGCACATACACACACACACACACACACACACACACACACACACACACACACACACACAGAGGCATGAGCATCTGTCTGTACATACTGTGAAGACAACGCATTCGTACATTGGTGCCTCATGCCTTTGTAAGATCATACACACATAATGGACAGTCATTAACGCTCTGTGTCATTGTACATTATATAATGTTCAGTGCACACAAACATGTGCTCAACACATGCCCAGTTTTACCCAGCAACATTTGGGAGAATCACTGATTTTTCACAATACATTCCCATTAACGCTGAAATCTTAACCCTTTTAGGCTCACTCTTTCTCTCTTTCTCTCTTTCTTGCTAGCTCACCCCCCCATTTCTCTCTCTCTCTCTCTCTCTCTCTCTTTTTCTCTCTTTTTTTCTCTCTCTCTCTCTCTCTCTCTCTCTCTCTCTCTCTCTCTCTCTCTCTCTCTCTCTCTCTATCTATCTATCTATCTGTGAGGCAGTAGGGGCATCACTCTGCTACACTGCTTATTAGTACACAGCTAAAGCTTCCCAGTGTTGCCTGACGCACCCAGGTTGCTGGAGAGTGCGGCTCTGATAGGCCTGTGGTGCTGGTGGTCCATCCAAGCCTGTAACTGGTGCCGCCTGGAGTGACTCACGCCACTGCATGCTGCTCTCACAGTCCGTGGTTGCAGGGAAAGGGAGGGGGAGTGCCATGCTGCCTCCAGGCCTCTCACGGGTGCTCCTGCTTACGCTGAAATATTTTGTTTTGGACTAGATACAGCTGAAATGAAAGCAAACTAAAACTGCTTAAATAAACCAAATGAATAAACCACGTAAATTTTCCACTATGCTTTTTTTCTTAAAAAAAGTTTTTTTTAAATGTTGTACACAAGGAAACTCATTTGGGTAGAAAGCCTGCTTACAATTGTGCCATATTTACTAAAGAGTTTGAGCAAAGAACTTGAGTTTAAGTTGGTTTACAGATGCAGTAGTGTGTAGCATAGTAATAATCTTGAATCATTTTTTAACATATCTATAAGAAAATAGTAGTACTTCTGAATTTTAGAACTCTGTAAATGAATCAAGTAAAAAATAAAATGTTTTGATATTGCGTATAGTTAGTGTGCATCACTCCAGGCGGCATCAATTCAAAACCTTGTGTATTAAAATATCCTAAACATACAGCCACTACAATTGCTTATGCTCCACCACCAGTAAAATCAATGCATTAAAGCCACAGTCAGGGATTTCCACAGCAAACACAAACTATTTAGAGTCTCTGAATGTGGTTCTTTATGTCAGTGACTTGGTTTAACATTTAGATCATTTTATCAACTTAAAATGGCAGCATTAGTCAGTACACTTGTTCAGAGATCTCTGATTGTGGCTTAAGTGGTGTTTTTGTATTAATATTGTTATTTGGAGGGTTGGAGGGTGTCCATTTTGGTTGTTTTCTCTTTTGCATTAATATCACATTACTACAGGTTAAAAAAAGGTGAAAGGTCAGGGCTCTGGGGTTAAAGAGCATTGCTAAAGCAGCACAGAATGTGTTGCATCTTTAAAACAAAAAATACTTTAAATAAAAAACTACTAGGATACGTGACTAATTATATAAATTGGAAAAGGAAGGACTTGGTTTACAAACACTGATCTGTAATTTAAGGTCGCTTGTTATGTATTTTTGACCATTTAAAACCGTTTTAACAAACCATGAAATTATCAATAGATTGTTGTTTGCGAAGTCATGAATGTTACTTCTTTAATTCTCGCTTTCCTTATAGATGCTTCTCACTGCATTATCTCAGTATTACTTTATTGTATGGCCTTCTCTCCCAAAGTCTTGTCCCTTTGGCTATAGCTAAGACTTGCTGGCGTATCTACCCCTGCACCTTTTTTTTTCTTTTTTAGTAATTACTATTAGTTAACTTAATTGGTTATTTGCAGGCATGTACATTAACATGTCTCAAAGCTTGAATGTTGTGTGAATTCAGGGTGTACCGGGCTCAGGCTGTGGTTGGTGAGCAGAAACTGGTTAAAACTCTGGGTGTAACAGTGAATTTTACCAAGTGTGTGTCCTCCTGAGTTGTATTTTGTCATTGGTTGATGTTTTATCATTTGTGCTCATTTTTCAAAATGATTGTGTTCTGTCAACTTTGTCTGTTTATTTGATTGAGTGTGCTGAGGGACAGATGGTTCTTCAGTATTTTTCCCAAGACACCTATATGTGGAATAAATAATGCAGATCGCAGCAATACAATGGTCTTGCAGTGTTTTTCCCCCCCGCTTTTTCAGTTACTGCAACACATTCACTGTACACACTGACTGTGAGCAGCAATTAACCATAAATAGCACACTGCATGGGTAGTTTACTGACCTGTGCAGACTTCAACTGTGTTTCTCTTACTCCTCGTTTCAATCTACTAGTATATATTTAATTCAAGTTCATCTCTTCTTGGTGTGGACATGCTCTGTTCGAGGATTTAGAAGCATGTGAGGGCATTGCTGATCTGCTGGATCCAGATTAGCTGGAGTTATCATGCCACAGTTTTATCTTTCTACAGAAACAATCTCTGCTGTTTACAGCAAAGAGAAGTCTTTTCTGACCAAATCTCTGAAGTACTTTATGCATAGCATGACATCATTCCCCCAAGGCACTCATTTTACCAAAAAGGTCTATTTTGTGTAATGACTAGTAGAGAGTCTGCTTCATTAGGGCACTATGGAATCTCTTGCAGATTTCCCAGTAGAACTTCATGCTTTTGTGAAACTTTTTGGAGTGAGGAAAAAACAAAGGAACTAAGTTAAGGAAGGTGTGATAAAAGTGGTGGAAGGTAGGACGACACATGGAAAATTGGACACCTGAACAGTGATACACTTTATCACACTATAATCCTGGCAATTCTGTGGGCATTAGAGTGGGTGGGGAAAATGAAAACCAGCACAGCTGTGCTTTCCACTCATTTAGTTACATTATTAAAGGAGAATTTCACAAATATTTTAAATGTGTGCATAATTAAATGGTTAAGATGTAAACAAAGTCATTCATAGAGGTTTGACGTGAAATGCTACATTATAGAGAAGCTTGCTAAGTCAGAACACAATATTCACAGTGGTGGTGATAGAAACCAGACATCTGACATTAAATACCTCTAAAAGTTTGCTCACAGAAATGTATTACATGAAACAGCTGCGTGATGTCAGAGATTATTTTACAATAGTTTGGAGATAAGCATTTGGCTTAAAATGTATTTTTTCAAACACGTTCATGATGGAAAGGTACATGCAGGACGTTGTGAGGCAAAATAGTCCCTAAAGATTTCAAATTTATCACTATTTTACCATCATTAACATTGCATATAAAAACTCAAAAGACGTGTAGGTTCACTCATGATATGGATAGTAAATAATCTGATCGTAACCTCTGGTTCCTCTCTCTCCACCACTGTAAGGAGACCTACAGACCAGTTTATTAGGTGACCACAGGACAAATAAAGTCTTACTAATGTGGCAGAACCTGGTCCACACACATACAGGCCCCCTAAATCTTGCTTATCTTTTTGCTTAGCAGAAAAACTGTTTGCTGGCCTGTGACTACTTTCTAGTCTACTACTGTCCTGCATTCGACTAAGAAACAAGTTACTGTTGTCATCTCACGACATCTCTCTTTTCAGGCCTGTCAACTATAGGCTGGAAACAGGGTTTGCAGCTTAAGTGAGTCATTATTTCCCTTGTTCTGAAAGTCATTAGACCATTAGACACACTGCCCGTGTGGTCATGAGCATAATATATTTTATTATTGTCCATGAAAATTTGATAAATTAATACTTTATGCATGTTAAAGCATAAACAGGGTTGATGTGTTTAGCTTGACAAGCCTATCCATAATGACAAACGATTAACAGCCTATTTTACATTCCACCATTTTCTTCATCAGATTGAATGATTTAATGTCCTGTTAGTCATCCTAAGTTTATGTGAAGATATTATGAAAAGACAGACATATTTACAGTCCCTGCTGGAAAAAAGCATAGAAACCATTAAACGTTTCTGCTGGTTCCCTGTGGTGTCCAATAGTCACTAATGGTAATTTGTTTACATATACAATTTGAACTATTAAACTTTTGTTGTAATATAAGGGACGCAAACTGGCCTGTATTGTGATAGAATGACCTATAAACTAGTACAGTATGGCAGTTCAGTCAGGAGGCGGCAGTATTATACTTTTCAGTGTTTAATGTGTCTGAATCGCTAAAGAAGAAGCAAAAGAAGAAGGAAAGCCTATGAAAAATGAGCCAGCCTCCTGGTGTTGGCAGTCAAACACACAAATACACACACACACACACTCACGAGCCCACCTCACCACAGCATAGTGAAACACTGAGCACACAACACAGTCGGCTAGCATGCACAGTGTCTGTCAAGCATCTCTGACATTAAGGCTTTAGGTAAAAAAAACAATGGCAGTGTAACAATTTCCAGTTTTGATGAAGCGTTTTATTTCCCGCATTGTCCTGCTGAGGGGGGTTTATTCGATGTCCAGCCAGATCAATGAGGATGAGGTACGTGGCTAGCTAGCTTGCCGGCTACTGGTACGTGTATATGTAATGTTGTGTATGTTGTTTTGCTGGCTGCTTTACAGCTAAATACATTAGCTAAATCAGAAAACTACGAGGTTTTCGTGTTGAAATGAGCCATTAATAGACTGACATACTGCCTCGAAGCTGAACTCATTATTCGCCAGCTTCTTATTCGAATTTTCCGTTCCACCTTAAATGGTGCAGCAGTTGCATTCTGGCATAGAACGTAACTGCTGCACTATTTAAGGTGGAACGAGAAATTCGAATAAGAAGCTCATACCGTATCGGTAACATGTTTGTGTTTGTGGCGCTGAGACATGTTTGTAATTTTCACAGGTAACCAGGCAGGTTAAATTATGTAGTTATTTAGCGATGTTTCTGGTTTAAATAAGGGTTAAAGCAGCAGGTAGCTAGGGTCTAACTGAGCTAACCTAGTCTCTGCTACTACAGTTGGTAACTCAGTCAGTAGGTGAAGTCAAAATACTCTTGGCTTGATGTGAAGCCAGAGTTTAACCCGTTTCATCCCACCATAAAGCGTCTCACATCATCATTCTATATTGTGTGTTAACTTGTGAGGAGATAAGTAAAGTTTTCTTTGACGAAAACCAAGAAGACTGCTGATAGAAATATCTGTGCTAATGTCTTTATGGGCAAAATGCCATTTCTAACAGTTCAGTTGAGATAGAAGCGTGAATCGTGATTTGAAGCCGCTTACGTACTTTACAGACAAAGGGTACTAAGCTAACCATGTGACCTGGTTAAGGCTGAAAATGAAGGGTGTGCTTTGTCTTACATTCAGTGCCCTCATCAGGCAAACTGTCCATCCAAACAAACATCATTACTGTTAAAGATATTAACCAGTTCACGACAATGTTTGGAATTACAATTTTATCTGGTCCAAAAGTTCCCTGAGCATACCTGAGCACAAATATGAAGAAGGAATTACTTAAATTGTTCAATCCGTGTGGCTAGAAAGAGTTTTTATTACTTAATTTGTCGTGTTAAATCTTTTTTTATCTCATTTTTAATAAAAAATACAAAGTGGATTGTTAATAAAACTATGCAGATTGCATGAAATAAAATAAATGGGTTCATCCAAGGTCATTAACTATACAAACTCATTAACTATACAGTATTTCACAATTTCAGACCAACCAGATCAACATCTGTGCCATTTTCACTTATCATATTTAGTATCTTAATTTAGTTGTGGAACAAGAATAGGTTGATATACATATAATACTCTTGATTGCAGTTTGTTCTTACTAGTTGATAGGACGGTCCTATGGAAGGTCTATGAAAGGTTGCTGTCCAGCAGTAGTTCTTCTTCCTCAATGACTGAATCATGTCATCTTATCTTGTATAGTAGAACTCTGGATAACTTATCTCTCTGCCAAAATGACCCACCTCAGTGTGGTGTGAATATGATTTTTTTTTCCTTCGCTGTGTGATTGTGGATTGCCATGTGATTCATTTCTTTACTTTTTCATTTTTTTTTATCACTTTTTTCATGTCTGTTTGTTAAGGTAGTTTCTTGTAGACTGTAGAAAGTGCACTGATGTTTTCTTTGTTTTGTGTATGAGATCTACTGTTATAGTGGTTCTGTAGTATTTGACTATCTGCTAGTGTATCTGCTGAACGTTGTCAGTGCTTATTACTGCTGTGTATATAACAACAGGAAATAGTCCAACAGCCACTGGGTCAAATCAGGGAAATCTACGAAAATACACAGACAGCACTAAAAAGTGAAGCCTTAAACACAAAGACTGCATTGTTTTATTTTATAAACTGTTGTGTAAAATGCAAATGAAGTCCTACCCATGGACTTGTGTGGGATTATTTATTTAGCTGTAATGACACAGTACAAGTGAAGGTTATGGAACAAGAATGGTTTGTTTGTGCTCTCATCGTCGTTCGTACAGTTTAACATGCAGTCGCTACCCACCTGAAATTTGAGCATGTTTTATCTCTGCGAGGATCAGTCCACATGATATCAGCAGTTCACATTTTGCTGGAGTGTAGAAAATCTTTCTTGTTTATGAATCATCTGATCTTTCTTTCGTGTTAATGTCTTCTCTGCTGTTACTTAACAGATGTTTTTTGAGATGAGAAGGATGACCATGCGAGAGGCCGTGAGCATGGCAGACAGAATGACCTAAAAATCAACCCAGAGGGTGTAGCTGGCCCCCGCGCCGCCGCAGCCCTGACGCTGCACCTGCTGCTGCCGCCCGCTCTGTCTCCCACGGCCCTTTTAAGGAGATTTATTAGAGCAGAAAATGGCTTCAGCAGGGGAAAAATGTTTTCCCATATCAACCGGAGTTTATGCACTTGGCTATAGTAGTTGCGCTATTAATAAAAGAACTGTGGGTTTTCCTGAATTATTTTGTAGCAGCACTTGTGGAAAAAAGCCTTTCTCATCCATTGAAAGAACAAAGGAAGAAAAGTTCAAGTTCGGCCTTTAATGGAGGATAAGTGACTTGGATCAGTGATTGTTTAGACTGCATTGAAGAGAGCTAGATCTAATAAGACATTAAAACTGTTGCTCTGGACTGTAGTCCAGCTTTAGAAAGCTTTGCTTTGCTGCTGAGAGAAGTTGAGAAATTCCAAAAAGTATGCGAGATGCATGCCATTTGGTTTCATCTGGTTCCTTGTTGCCTAATCAACTTAAAAGAACAGAAAAGCATACAAGGCATATATCAAGTTACAAACTATCTTTTCAAATGCTCACATGATCACGGGTGAAGAGGCCTACGAGGTTCAGAGCTGGTCCAGACTTGTCAAGATAACAGACAAATGATTGCTAAAGCACAGAACAGGCACATTTTAATGTTGATGTTATACAGACACATGTCAGTCTAAATGGAAACTTAATAGCCAATTACATTATCTCTTTCTGAACTGAGTTTCTCCTTCTGCTTTTGTTTACACATATTATAGGCTACATTTATTTAACACCTTGTTTTGAATTGAACTGTAAGTAAATGGGTGGCTTTTTCACTAAAATGGGCATATTGGCTGTGACTTCACAGGACCTGTAGTGTGTGGTTTATGTGTTCCCACGCTGACTGCTGAGGGCCGAGTGTGGGCGCTGGCCGCTCTGTTGTGCCCTGTACCCACCTGGCCATGGGGAACACCGCCACCAAGTTCCGCAAAGCGCTGATCAGCGGGGACGAGGCGCTGGCCTGCCACCTTTACGAGAACAACCCCCAGTTCAAGGAGGCTCTAGACCCCAATGCCTCTTATGGAGAGGCCTACCAGCACAACACGGCGCTGCACTATGCCTCACGTCATGCCATGAGCCGCCTTATCAGGTAAGAGCCTGAGCTGGAACAGGGCTGAGTCATTTCTAATCTAGGGTGACTTTCCCCAAAGCACTGTATCATCAAGCATCAAAACAAGGCAGAGCAAGTGACATTTTAAAGGGGAATTCCACCAATTTTGCAAAATTTCTACATAGTTAAATGCTTAAGATGCAAATATCATCTTACCAAGTCAGAGTTGTTTACAGTGGTGGTGATAGGAACCAGACATCTGAAGAATTTAATGCCTCTATAAGCTCCGTCTCAGAATGTTATTACATTAAATGGTCATGAATTCTCTGCCTGATGCCTAAAACATTTTTTCATGATAGTTTTAAGACAAACCTTTGGTTTAAAATGGTACATACAGGGTGTTATAAGGCAGTATTGTACCCAAAACAACTTTTTTGCAGATATATCACTATTTTTCTGTTATAAACATTACACATAAAAACTCACATGTAGTAGACACATGTGGGTTCACTGGTTGTTTTGGAAAATAAATATAACGGCTATATTTGCACTGCAAACTCTGAGATTCTTGGATCTTATCACCACTACTAACTAAGATCTAAGAATTTGCATCAAACCACTATGAATGACTTTCTTTGCATTGCAACAAATGTGTTATACAGAAAGCTTTATAAATTGGTGGAATTCCCCTTTAACACTCTTTGGAAATTTATTTTTTTATTCATATTGAGCTTTTACTTTATCTGTAGCTCTCTAGAAGGAATAGATTTGACCCCCTGACAAAAAAGATCCTAACACAGTTAACTGCTTAAAAGCAAACAGTACATTTTTTCTGCCACACAACAGCACAGAGGAGGAGTTTTGCTTCCATAGACAGAATTACCATTGAGTGCATGAGCTGGCCCCCCACAGGCATAGTCCCCAGCTTCTGTGTGGTGAGGCAGATCCACCAGAAGCCATCATGTGCTTGTGCAGTGCAGTTTAGAGGTGTAGCTGCTGAATGCACCACTGTTTTACATTTTGTTTTCTGTCGAGGGAACTGCAACCGATGGCTACAGGCAGTTCACTGGGGAAGATTTCAATAGCTGGTTGCACCCTCCTGAGAAAATGTCTGGTATAGTAATTACTATCCAAGGCAGCTGGCTACTTATGACTCATTGTCCCTCCTCTTTCCCTGTTCCTACTGAGTGACAGGGCACTTAAAGAGGCCAGGAGGCTTTAGATGACCACACGAGCGGATATAGAGTCTCCTCCCCTACACGTCTCTTATAGATTCAGGACTGTATGTTTCTTCAATTTAGGATTTAGCACAGGACATAGCTGATTTCAGTGTATTCATCTTTGTTTTGTATAGAGAGTGTTAGATAGACTTTTAACATAGAAGGTTAGTGTCTTATTCTGGTGCTTTTGGTTATGATGAAAGCTATAAAGCACTGCTTATAAGCCTTAGTGAATGCGATTGCTGTACTGACTTGTTCCTTGTTGGAAACAAACCCAAACGGTACACATGGCATCAGTAGGCCATTGTGTGCATTTGGCATAAGGTTTTATATGTCATTATCTGTAGCTTAGTATTTGTTCTTTAATAACAGTCTTTCCAGTCCTCTTTTGAAAGCAGAGGGTGTTCAAGAGAGAGACAGTGCAGTGAATGCAGAGAATTAACGCTGTTGTTTGGAGTTCCATTAACTAATAAAGTTCCAGTGCCAGCTCTACACCCCAGACTTCCCGGAATAAAGCGCTGAGTCATTTCTACAGAACGGCCTTGCAGTCGACCAAACGCCACGTTCACTCCTGACACTGAAAAGAGTGTAAATTACCCCAAGACCTATCAAGAGTGTAATCTGAGTCTGTTATCAATCACACTGTGGCTCCCAAAGTTGATTTACCTGAAAATGATATCAGCCTGGCTTATTATCTCCTACTATCTTTTTGGCAATGAAGCAGCGAGTGCTTCCAGCTAGACAGAGCAGTGTCATGCCGTGCTCTCTGTTAATGTGGTTATGATGTCTTCCTAATGCACTCTTGCACATAATGAAATATTGAGCTGTGGGGCTTTGGCCTCTGCCTTTTTAAAATAACTGTGATGCGCTGTGCATTTCCTGGAAGGGTTAACCGTGTCGATGCTGTTCTGATACTTCAGGCACCTTCTTGCTTGTACAGCTGTATGCAAAAGTAAAAACGTCCTCTACAGGGAACTCTACAGACTTAAATAAGACACTTTTCTGAGAAGTTTGGAAAATAAATAAACATACAATATAAAATGTGCCAAAACTTTTTCACAGGCTACATTTTATGTATTTTTATTTCCAATATGTTAAATTCATCAAGCAAACAGTAATTTTGCATTAAAAAGTTTTTTTTCTCTGTATAGGATGTGTTAACTTATAAGTAACTAAATAAACAAAACGTAACTTGACCGGGGTGCCCAAACTTTTGCACACAACTGTATAACAGTTGAAATTCAGAGGTGATGTTTACTGTGTAGTACTGACTTGCGTATCACCTCAGCTCTGCTTCTTAAAGGAAATTCTTACAATCATGTTAATTTGACAAGCATATTCATTTCATACAAGTGTCCCTAAAAAAGTCATGCTGTATTTCCCAAACATTTAGTTGATGGTTTCTGAGCTTTTGGCGCTCAGTCCATTTCTATTCGGTTTTCTTCTAGGTCCTTTCTGTTTTGCAAGGATGGCAACCCCAACAAGCGCAACGTGCACAACGAGACGGCTCTGCACATGCTCTGCATGGGGCCGCATATCCTGCTGTGCGAGGCAACTTTGCAGCCGCGCCTCAGCTGCCCGCAGCAGGACGAGCAACGTCGTGCCGAGTGCCTGCAGATGATGCTCAGGTGGACAGGGGCCAAACTTGACCAGGGCGAGTATGAGCGTGCCAATGTCAATGCTACTGACAACAAGAAGAGCACCTGCCTGCACTATGCCGCTGCAGCTGGCATGAAGAGCTGCGTGGAGGTACAGAGGAGCTATCAGTATGTGGAGGGCTCTTAGCCTCATATAGGTGCTCAGTAAGGTACACTGTCTGGCAAAAGGGGAAACCTTGCCTACTTTTGAGCTTATCAAGTAATATTTGATTTTCATTGAAAATTAATTATTCTCAGCGTAGAACTGTCTACTGCAGTATTTTCAGGGTAGTACTCTAATTAAAAATGTCACAAAGGTTACTTGTATGTCAGATGTGATATTGTTTTAGCCATAATAAACCTGGCTAGTCTTTCATAAATTACAATTGGAATTTTAATGCCTGCAACGTGTTTCAAAAAAGTTGGGACAGGGGCAGCGAAAGACTGGTGAAGTTGTGTAATGCTAAAAACACCTGATGGCACATCTCACAACTAAATATGTTAATTGGCAACAGGTCAGTAACATCATTGGATAAAAAGGTGCATTACAGAGAAGCTGTGTCTTTCTGAAGTAAAGATGGGGAGGATCACCATTCTGTGAAAGACTGCATGGACAAATATTGTGACATCTCGAGAATAATGTTTTTCTACGTAAAGTAGCAAAGATTTCATCTACGGTACATAATATCATTAAAGGATTCAGAAAATTCAGAGAAATTTCTGTATGCAAGGTACAAGACCAAAAAAACAATTTTGGATGGCCATGATTTTCAGAGTCTCAGGTGGCACTGCATAAAAACACTCAATTCTGTAGTGGAAATCACTGCATGGATTCAGGAACAATTTCGAAACTCATTGTCTGTGAACACAGTTTGTAGCTGCATTCACAAATGCAAGTTAAAACTCTACCATGCAAAGAAGAAACCACATATAAACAGGATCCTTAAACGCCACCACCTTCTCTGGGCCCAAGCTCATTTAAGATGGACTCAGGTGAAGTGGAGAAGTATCTTGTGGTCCGATGAATCAAAATTTGAAGTTCTTTTTGGAAATCAGTGGACACTGCATTCTCTGGGCTAAAGAGGAGAGGGACCATCTGGCTTGTTCTAAGTACACAGTTCAGAAGCCAACATCTGTTATGGTACGGGGTGCATTAGTGCACACGGCATGGCTGACTTGCACATCTGTGAAGGCACCTTTAATGTAGAATGATATACAGAACGATTGGAGCAACATATGCTGCCATCTATACAATGTCTTTTTCAGGTAAGGTCTTGCTTATTTCGACAAGGCAATGCCAAACCACATTATACATGTATTATAGCAAGATGGCTCCATAGTAAAAGAATCCTGGTGCTAAACTGGCCTGCCTGCAGTCCATACCTGTCACCCATTGAAAATATATTCTCTGCATTATGAAATGGAAAAATATGACACAGGACACTCTGAACTGTTGAGCAGCTGAAATCCTATATCAAGCAAGAACAGAAAAACATTTCAGTTTTAAAACTACAGCAGTCGGTCTCCTCTGTTCCCAAACGCTTACAGAGTGTTGTTAAAAGAAGACGTAATGAAACACAGTGGTAAACATGCCCCCGTCCCAGCTTTTTTGAAACGTGTTGGTGGCATCAAATTCAAAGTGGCTGAATATTTTTCAAAAAACAATAAAATTTCTCAGTTTCAACATTTGATATTTTGTCTATTTCCAATTAAATATAGGGTTTAAATGAATTGTATTTACATTTTGCACAGGGTCCCAACTTTTTTGGTAACATGGTTATATTAAAACGTTTTGAACAGCTTAATGTCCCCAAAGGTTTGACAGACGGTGTACTTTTGACCAGTAGCAAACCATGACTATTAGAGATAGGCCTTCAGTTCAGGCCATAAATGTCAAACTTTAAAAAACAAGAACAACCCACTTCTGTAATGTTAATTTCTGCTAATGCCCCTGGGATTCTAGTAGTATTTTAGCACGAAGCTAATGGCGGTCACTTTTATTTTTGGCCAATCTACATTAGATGCATTTGAAGACTTATAAAACACATTCCATGTTTTATTTAAAGCTTACAACAAACATGTTAACATATATTTTACCTACATTGACTCTTTCAGTAAAGAGCTCAGGAACAGAGCTGCTACAGCTATTTTCTGTTTGTAACATCTGACTGAACCTTTAAATTAATATTGGTCAGGCTACCACTCATACTCAGTCGGTGGCGTATCTAATACTTCCAGACGGCCTAGAGTGGCGCTTTTCTCACAAAATTGGTCCCATCCATTATGAATCAAAATGTGGTTGATTTGATTCTGTGTCATATTCCTATTTATGTTAGTAAACATCAAAGGGACAGTGTTTGTTTACCAAACAATGCAGAAGATGCAAATTCTGTCTCACATGGACTATATGAGGAGACACTGATGGATCACCTCTGTGTTGCTCAGCTGTTGGTGAAGAGTGAGGCAGACCTGTTTGTGGAGAACGAGGAGCATCAGACTCCGTGTGACTGTGCAGAGAAGCAGCGTCATAAGGAGCTGGCTCTCAGTCTGGAGTCTCAGATGGTCTTCTCTCAGGACCCTGGAGCTCAGGAGATAGAGGCAGAGTACGCTGCCCTGGACCGCAGAGAGGTGTGCTGCATCCTTAATGTTTTCTCTTTGTTTTTTCCAGGAGTGTTTTTCTCTTCCAGCATAGTTTTGAAACCTGTCTGATTGGTCTAGCAGCAGTAGTGAGTTTGGAGGGCGCAAGTGGAATTTTGTTGAGAACGCAATGAAAGCATTTATTCTGGTCAGATTTATTCTGGGCACATGATAGAGTACTCCCAGAAATGCCTCAGCTGTTTGACAGTCCAGTGGTATTTCAGAAATCTTGGCAGAGCTAGCAAGCTTTACAAATAGAGGCAAACATTTATTGTGTATGTATGTGCAGTACTTTTATTAGCAGTGGCTCTGCTGCTGTGACCTGCCAATATCACTTCCTAAAAGAAAGTGCATGCAGGTTAATTTTCTGCTCCCTGATGTCATGGGAGTAGAAAGGTTTGTTCTCATTAAAGGGAGATTAGTAGCAGCCACACTTCAATTTGTAGTGGCAGCTGGAGACTGACGATAGCATCGTTCAATGTCTGAGACACAACATAAACAGTGTTTTTGGATTTAACTTTTCATTAAACTTCTTGAACTGTCTCTGCATCTTTCTGCTCTATGTCTCTCTCTCTGTAGCCATATGAGGGCCTAAATCTTCAGGACCTACGGAGGCTGAAGGACATGCTGATAGTGGAGACAGCCGACATGCTGCAGGCTCCTCTCTTCACAGCTGAGGCTCTTTTGAGAGCTCATGGTATGGTTCTAGCTCTTGATAGGATATGGCTGGCTGTTTTCCGACACAAAGAACTTAAAGGATGTTTCTTCAAAGGGAAAGTTTATATATATGGAAAATCTCTTACCAGGAAGTGCCTGGTGTGCCTGCCTGTGAGTGTCTAGACCATCAAAAGCATAAATGTTTATGTAATTCTGACAGTGTAATTTATGTTATTACAAGACACATGAACAAAAATGCACAAGAGGTTTTGCATATAGTCGGTCAATAAATGACCAGAAATGATTCAGAAACTCCTATTAGCTTAACAAACCAAAGTATTGTTATGAATAGAATCCATTATGTGTACATTATTTACATGTAGGCATACAGTACTATGTAAAAGTTAGGAAACACCTTCATTTATTTAATTATAGTCAAATCAGTGCAAAGTACTAGTAAGTTATTCATTTTTTAGCATCAGGAAAAAAGCAGAAAATGCACATTTAACATAACACGGGAACATCAACAACTAAATATAATATAAAATATTTCAGTATTTAGTCTGTCTACCCTTTACCTTAATTGTATCTTCTGTTATTTTATGGACATTTGCTGAAAGTTTTTCTAGGAAATCTGCAAACACCTTTTTTCCTCAGTATCTGTATCAGTATTTACTTGGTTCTGAAAACACCAGCAGCTTCTTTTGTTTTATTAGCACATGTTCTTCTTTTTTTGTTTATTTCCTTTCCTCAGAAACGGCTTCTTGACAGCTACACATTCTTTCAGACCCATAGGGTTTAGTTGTCTTCTAATAGTGGAAGAATGGACAGAAACACCTGTGGATTTATCAGATCTGTAGCAAGAATAGAGCTTGATTTTCTCTCTCAAAGATGAAAGCTTAAGTACTGTTTGTCTGAGGGTGACAGTTTTGGTGGTCTACTAGATGGTCTACTCCTAAATGATTGTTGGGAGTCTTTATAACTTTTAAGAAATATTTGACCTTTGATTTCCATTAGGAGCTGAGATGCATATACTTATAGCTCAGTCACTAAGCTCAAGGAGTATAAGGAGTGAAGTGCAAAGATATATTTTAAACTATGAAAAAATAAATAGGCCAGGCCAGCAACTTAGATAATAAATGCAATTTACTGAAGACAAATGAGAAAATAAATATGCTATTATGCTTGCTGAATGTGATATGAATCAAAATAGGTGATCTGGTAATATGTCTTTATTTTGTCTTTATTTTTAACATTTGTCAGATGTTATCATTTGTGGGACAATGAAGGAAGAATCTAAGAGAACGCTTACCTTGTTTTTTCTGCGACTCCTTATGTGGCAGACTGGGACAGAGAGAAACTTCTGGAGGCCTGGATGTCTAATGCAGAGAACTGCTGTCAGCGCTCTGGTGTGCAGATGCCCACCCCTCCACCCAGTGGCTACAATGCTTGGGACACGCTGCCGTCCCCCAGGACGCCCCGCACCACCCGCTCCACACTTACCTCCCCCGATGAGATAAGCCTGTCACCTGCAGAAGAGGGACTGGCACCGGTGAGTCTGTAGGCAAGCTGGGAGTTTTCCATACACAAATAGAAGTGTAAATTTTTATTAAACTAAAATGTGTTCATGTCAATGATATATTTTTTTTTCTGCCTGCTAGTGTGGAATTTGCATGTGCAGTATTTCTGTTTTTGAAGAGCCTGTGGACATGCCATGCGGGCACGAGTTCTGCCGGGCATGCTGGGAAGGGTGAGTGTCTAAAAGCAATTTGTTCAAAATTATGTTTCACGACACTTTTAATCACAAATATTGGTTCTCTATATTCAGGTGTCTAGGTCAGCAGATGTCCACTGTATCTTTCTTTCCCTGGTTTAACAAAGACAAATATTTTGCATATTATCATTTTAGTGATAAGCTTGCGTTCTGTTTTGTGTCAGGTTTTTGAATGTGAAAATCCAGGAGGGGGAAGCGCATAATATCTTTTGTCCAGCCTATGAGTGCTTCCAGCTGGTTCCAGTAGAGGTCATAGAGAGTGTGGTTTCCAGGGAGATGGATAAACGCTACCTGCAGTTCGACATTAAGGTACCGCTGAAGTCTGCAGAAAATGACTTTACTTCTGCCATAAGAAAAAAAAAACACTTGGCATCTGCTGTCCATTAAATTTAATTTACTTATTATTAACTTCAGTCTTTAATTGCCTAGTGTCTTTCAGTGAAAACATTTTGCAGACACTAAGATGTAAATTCAGTCCAGTTCTGTTTGGTTATAAACATGCTGTATCTTTGTGTAAATTATGTTATGTGCATATGGAATGACCATATTATTTTATGGTCGTTTGAGTGGGGCTTTTTTTTTCTTTTTGCATTTCCATTTGCAGGCTTTTGTGGATAACAACCCAGCTATCCGCTGGTGTCCCGTGGCGAGGTGTGAGAGAGCAGTTCGTCTCTCCAGACCTGGCACTACTGCCACAGATGCCCTCAGCTTCCCTCTCCTCTCAGCTCCTGCTGTGGACTGTGGAAAGGGCCACCTCTTCTGCTGGTAAGTGCCTCAGCCAATTATGTTAGCCACTTGTTTGTTTGTTTGTTTGTTTGCTGTTTTTTTTGTTATTTCTAATCAACAGAGAAAATGAACTTTTTTTTTAATTATAGAGATCAAATGCAGTTTTTATGCATATTTCCATCTGTCCAAAAATATGATTTCTGTTAATTTGCGGCTGCCTTTTTTCCCCCCAGGGAGTGTCTTGGTGAGGCCCATGAACCATGTGACTGCCAGACATGGAAAATGTGGTTGCAGAAAGTCTCTGAGATGAAGCCAGAAGAACGTAAGATGATGTTAAGAGCATTCCAACACTTATATTCCTGAATGCAGTGTTTTTCATAATGTTGATTAGTCTGTCATTTGGTCCACATATGCCAACTCTTCTCTGCTGCTTCTGATATAAGACACATTTTAACAGTTCTGTGTGTTTATTGGTATGTTCAGCAAACAAAAGATGACATAATCCTAATTTCTGATCCTTTCTGGATAGTGGCTGGAGTAAGTGAAGCTTATGAAGATGCTGCCAACTGCCTGTGGTTACTCACCAACTCCAAACCATGTGCCAACTGCAAGTCCCCTATCCAGAAAAACGAGGGCTGCAATCACATGCAGTGTGCCAAGGTCAGTGGCATGCAACTGATATGTCCTGAATGAATACCAATGTGGTGGCCATTGAGATCAAATCTATCTACTGCACTGCTGATACTATACAGATACGCTGTAGTGTGCTTCTGGAAGTCAGAAGCCACACATGCAGTGGTGCACCTAAGTAACTGGACAGTGGCAGTTTTGATTTTGGTATGGGATTCTTGCACATGGGATATGAAATGAAATCATGACTATGAGGTTAAATTCCAGAATAATATTTTGTATGTTGGGTGAGATATGGCGTTTGTATCTGGAGTCCGCTACTGTTATCTCTCAATATGAATACCAAAAACGCGTCAGTTCCATCATGGATGGAATCTGAATAATCAGAGACATACCCAAAACGTTTATCTGTTTAGATAGAGAGATATACCTGTAGACAAATCTGTTTGGCACTATTGACTGTTCACTGGTACATTAGAAAGTAAAAATGCACGATTTTTGCAAAAACGATCTGGCAGACCACAGGATAGCACAGTGGGGCAAGAGTTCACTCAACGTACAGTCCTGTGCAAGTCTTAGATGACCGGAGAAAACTGTTTTTTAAAGCTATTTATCTGGGCTTTGTGTAAACACTCACGTTAGAATTAATGCACATAATAGTTAATGCAATGAGCAGTGATTTTATGTCTCAGTATGTTGCCTTAACCATTTCCAGATCTGCCCTTAAAGCAGCCAATACAAAACCTGTTTCAGCTAATTAATATTTCATTAGGTTACACTTAATTAAGTAAATCCATACAATGTCTGAGACACATCAGGAAGAAGAATCAAACCAACCAACCAAACAAACCATGCAAAAAACTGTCACTGAACAAAAAAAAAAATCTAAAAATGTTTATGTATGTTGAATTTATATATGTAGAATATATCCAGTCGGTATTCTTGTTCAGGGGCTGGTAGTCTCTGTGTGTATATTAGCTGGGCAGCGTCTCATCTATAATGCGATGTGTGTGTGTGTGATGCTAAAGAGCTGTTTTGACGTCAGAGGCAGGTGTCTGAATAAAAGCTTATGTAGAGGCCCCAGCCTCCCTGTTATTTCCCTAATGAAGGCTTAACTCGGACTTTGAGTGACAGGCGGCGAGACGGGGGAGGGGAAAGCTATTCACAGCACCCTCGCACTGACGGGAAAGAAGATGGCAAACACTCGCAAAATGAAAGCTAAATGCATGTTGGGTTGAGCACGTTTATTAATATTCAAGGACAGTGAGAGCTGTGTGCTGAAACTGAAGCCTCCATTGTGCTGATGATGGCTGTTGAGGCATTTGAAAAGGCTTTTACAGCTGTTTTTTAATTTGAATGTTATCTTCAATGTAACAGTTTTTTGTTCTGTGTTATACCTGGGTAGCACCTTACAAGTGATTTGGCCAGTTTTAGCTCATCATGGGGATTCTTCACTAAGAGTGTGGTAGGCCTGAAATGAATCTTAATGATGAGAAGATTGAAGGGTATCTGCTCCCTTGGCTTTCTCTTGTGCATTAGGAATTCAGTATTGGGCTGTGTTGGTTTAGGCTTCATGAAGGCCATTTACTTGTGTGTTACCGGAATGTGCTATGGTTTCTTCTTAATGGATTTGATTTAGCCTTTATGATTTGAGGCCTAGTGATTTCAAGGGTTGTGCTGGTGCCCTGAGACACATGATTTGAACGAGTGAGAAAAGCAGCTCTCTGCAGTATATGAAGAGCACTGCAGCCTTGCTGGACGTTGTGGAGCCCTTGCGTTACCTGTGGAGAAACAAGCGCTTTTGTTGCTTGGAAACGGGAGGACATTTCGGACTGAAGAGCATTGATTAGATCTTTTGAAAGATTATGCTGCTGCTTTTGTGCTGTGAATCAAGGACACACTTATGACCATTGAAGGGTTTGTAAAGGATCGAGACCCGGGCCACGGCAGATGCAGTTCTGACCACGGCGTTTGTTTTTCAAATGCACTGCAGCATTAAGGTCATCTTAATTTACAAAGCACTTTGTACTGTGCTGCTTTCAGGAGGCTAGGCTCAAATTTTAATTTGATTTTAATGTAAATGAATAAATACATGATGCATGGCATTAGAGTGGGAGTGATACCAGTATAACAGTGAATACTGGTACATTGATACTGATACAGATTTTACTATATCATTGATAGATTGCAATAAGGCCAAAAATGGTGAACCACAAACAGACCCACCCTCAGGACAATTTAAACGTGAATTCCCAAAAGCTTAAATCATTCTTATAAACTCAACAAAAAGGGCAGCATGCAATTCATGCTTAATTTATTAACTTATACATTTAGATGATTATGTAATAATTTCATTATTATTCTTTTTGTTTGGGGATGTAACTATCGAATATGTTAATTATTGAATTTTTTATTGCAAATTACTTTGATATTTGATAAGAATAACAAATGCTTGAGATGCTTTTCTTTAATAACTTCTTCTTCTTCTTATAATAATAATAATAATAATAATAATAATAATAACACATTACTTCATAAATTCTATTTATTTACTTTGAAACAACTTAACTGAAATGCAAAGAGATAACAAAAAAGGCCCGGTAATTAATTACTTTCAAAGCAAAATTGCATTACAGTGCTAAACTGCCCAATCTGGTGCCTCAGACATTACTGAATGTATTTGAAAAGCAGTGAGAGGTACAGGACAGCTAAGGTAACCACATCTTAAAATTAGGAAACATTTTTGTTGCTAGTTTGTCTCTCACTGATTTTGCTCCTTGAAGTAAACAGACAGGATAAACACATGAAGAACAGTTGCTAAACAGCTGTACGACATTTATGCATATGAGCAATTCTTTTGACTGCCAGTGTACCTAATAGAATGACTATTAGTGTCTATGGTTGTAAAATGCACACCTCACTTAGCCCTAATCTTTTTAACAGTAGATTACACTTTCTCTGTCTTCAGTGTAAATATGATTTCTGCTGGATTTGTCTGGAGGAGTGGAAGAAACACAGTTCCTCTACTGGAGGTTACTACCGCTGCACCCGCTACGAGGTCATCCAGCAGGTGGAAGAGCAGTCCAAGGAGATGACGGTGGAGGTAGTATACACACAGATACACACACACACTGCAGTACAGATGAAACATTTTAAGGCTTATTTTTTTTCTTTTTATGATGGAGCTGAGCTAACCACAAATACAGCACTGCGTAAAAGTCAGGGACTATGCTATTACTTCTTTAATTTCTATTCAAAAAAGCCATTAAGTACAAGTAATTCATTTTCTGCATCAGGGGAAACAAGCAGAAACATGTATTTAACAGAAATTAGACGTAAGTCTCCACAACTGAATCTAATATATAATATTGCAGCTTCCATTCTTTTAGAGAGGTTTGCTTTCAGTTTTTCAAAGAAATCTGCAGGTATATTTTTCCATCTTTCCATTGTAAACACTGCTTATTTTAGTCTTAGAGTTTGGTTGCTTTTTCTGCTTTTCACAGTCCAAGTAATCTTAATTACTGACTTGATGTCTCAGATTTGTGGTTTTACTGTTCCTTGTCTTCTTCTTGACAGTGACACATCCTTTCGCTGTCACATTAGAAGAATGGACAGAAACAACTGTGGGTTTTTTCCACTGTACTATTTATCTCATGTTGACAGTTTTGGTGGTCTACCAGGTCTTGCATGGTTGTTGGAATTCCTATTTCCTCTAAATCTTAGTATCTAGTTTTTTGCTCTAGTTTTTATTCTTGTTTTTTTGCTTATTTTCTTTCGACTTTTCATCATTCAAGTGTATTATTCTATATCTAATTTACACAGAAATATCCCCTTTAGCCATTTTAGATGCACATGAGAGAGAAATTTGCATAGCAGATAAGGTGTGTTTGGGTAGTTGCTTGTGCGAATGTTAGTGTCTCTTTGAAGGGAAGATAATATCAGTAATGCCATTGGGAACAGCTTTTGTTGGGAGGACACAGCTTTAACTCTTTAAGTCTTGGAAAGTTGGGAGCGTTAAAGTGGTAGTTGTGTGCACAAAATAGAGGGGATGATTAAGTGCGGATAAATTTCATACACTTATTGTTGGAGACTTTTGTGTCATTTTATCACTGAAAAAATTACAATCTGAAAAATGAATAAAATGTACATAATGGCATTTTGACAACAAAAGTCTGGTCTCTAGCTTTTGCGCAGTATTTTATGTTTCTAGAAATAAGCAATGGATTACATATAAAAAATCCATTTTGAAATTGACAGTTTTTTAGATGCATACACTAGTGCTGCTACTAATGTCATTGTCTACTAGTATCATTGCTGTTTACTTCGGTCTTCACAGGCAGAGAAGAAGCATAAGAGCTTTCAGGAACTTGACCGCTTCATGCACTACTACACTCGATACAAGAACCATGAACACAGTTACCAAGTGAGTACTTCAGCCTGGGTTAGATTGGTTGTGCGGCTGTTGAGGTGGTTGTCACTGATGAAACTGTCTTTGATAAATTGCCAGCTGGAGCAGCGCCTCCTGAAAACGGCCAAAGAGAAGATGGAGCAGCTGAGTAAGGCCTTCATCGGCCGTGAGTCGCAATCAGACCTCAGGGGCATCAAACTGTGCACTGTGGTCCTCTTACACAACGATTTATATAATTCAAATCAAGTGTTTGTGTCTAGGGTTCTGTAAGGTACAATATCTTTTTTTCTCACTCTCCAGGAGAGGGCACTCCACCTGACACCATGTTCATTGAAGATGGGGTTCAAGAACTTCTCAAGACCCGACGTATCCTTAAGTGCTCTTATCCCTATGGTTTCTTTTTAGAACCCAAAAGCACAAAGAAAGAAATATTTGAACTTATGCAGGTAAGTGTTTTTTGTAACCGTCTGACCAGCTGCTTTCTTATGAATCTGACAGTTTTTTTTGTTGCAATCTTTTTTCTATTTTTACGTTTTCATGCAATATTTCTCCATCAAAGTTCTCAAATATCTTCTCTCTTCTTTTCTCTCTGTCTCTTCAGACTGACCTGGAGATGGTGACAGAGGACCTTGCCCAGAAGGTGAACAGGCCTTACCTCCGCACCCCTCGCCATAAGATCATCAGTGCTGCGTGTCTCATCCAGCAGAAGAGAAGAGAATTCCTGGCCTCAGTTGCACGTGGCGTGGCCCCCAACGACTCCCCCGAGGCGCCACGCCGAAGGTGCATACTGAAGGCTTGCACTGCCCACTGCACAGCTTTTTCTCTTTCTTTACTTTTATCATGAGCTGGAACAGTGAAATGAACATTTTGCCATTCTCACCTTACATTAAAAGTAAGATACCGTCATGACTGAGTGAAAACTGAAGCAGTTTTCAATTCTGTTCAGATTAGTGTTCTAAGATGTAATCTAAGGTTTACTGGGATATTTAAATGTTCAAGTTTCCCTTTGTTTTATAAAGTTGATAATCTAAATATATCACCCCTTCTTTGTTTCAGCTTTGCAGGTGGAACGTGGGATTGGGAGTATCTAGGATTTGCCTCTCCTGAGGTGAGAAACTGCTTATACGTCTGTAACCATTTCTGCTGGGTAACCGCTGTTGCTAAGCTAAAACAGGCTAACTAAAAAGCTTGAGTGGCAGTGTCAGCTGTGTGTCTTTGTATGAGGTGCTTGGTGCTGCTGTTAGTATCAGTAGGTCACTGTGTCTCATTCTGTGTCTAAAGATGCTGAGGGATCACTCAGTACTGGGAGGGAGGGAACACAGTGAGAACTTTGACAGTACAGCAGACCAGCAGCAGGTACCACAGAAAACACCATCTACCCTCTGGTGGGGAAAAAAAGGAAAACAAGTGTTTTTCTCCATCCATTTTAATATCATTACTTTTATTCACCACATTCCCAGAAAGATCCCATCCACATTTTGCCAATATCTTTCAATCAGTATTTATTACCTAATACAAGAACATGGTTGCAAGTGGTCACCTTTTTAAACCGGATGAAAATTGAGACAGTTCAGTTTGGACATATACCTTCATGTAGTTAACTTGTATCTCCTGGTGTCAGTTACACACACGAATGAGCACCATCAAGGCAGAAAGATTGGATCTGCGCAAAAAATCTGAATTGAGCAATAAGGCTTGTAATGTTACCGCAGCCTTAGTCTCAGTCACAGATGCGTACAGAAATGGAATGTCTGATATCTTTTGTACATAAAGCTAGCAACAACTATCAGGAATTTGTCAGTTAGTTTTTATCATTCAGATGGGAAAGAAAGATTAGTTTTTCCAGCTAAATTTTAGTCAACCGTAGCAAACAGCTGGCTGCACTGGCCATCATGATGAAAAATGAGACTTTGAGAGCAAGATAACAAACTCAATTCCAAAGAAGCTGGGACAGTAGGAAAAATGCAAATAAAGACAAAAAGTAGCGATTTGTAATTCCACTATGACCCATATTCAAACGACAGCAGTACAAAGACAAGATAATTAATGTTCTACCTTTTCAGCTTCATTGTTTTTGTAAATATACACTCTTTCTGAAAATGATAAAAAGTTGGGACAATTTAAGACTAGAATCATGATTAAATGTTTAGAAAACATTCTAAAAGAGGTGATGTAATCATGCTTAGTATAAATGTAGCACGTAGGAAAGGCTTAGTCCTTTACCAGCAAGGATATGTAGAGGCTTGCCGCTTTGCCCGAAAATGCATCACCAGATAGTCCACCTGTTTTAGAATAACATTCTTCAACCACCCATGGCAAGGACTTTAGGTATTTCACCCTGTTTGTTGCATAACAATCTTAAAAGATTAAGGAAATCCAGAAGAATCTCTGTGCATAAAAAGCAATGTCAAAAACCAAAACTTAATGGTCGTGACCTTCGATCCCTCAGATGGCACTGCATTTAAAAACCCATATGCTTTTGTGATGGATATCACAGCATGGACTCAGGAATACTTTACAAAATGTTGTCAATAAAAACTGCTCGTCACTGCATCCACAAATACAAATTAAGACTGTATTGTGCACAGGTGAAGCAGTATGTCAACAATGTCTAGAAACACTGCCGACTTCTTCTGGGTTTGAGCTTATCTGAAATGGACTGATGCACAGTGGTACTGTGGTCTGACGAGTGACTCTTTCAGATTGTTTATGGAAAAATTGATTGGTCATTTGGCTTGTTAGTCAAACTTCTTTCAAACAGCCTCTAAATGAGATGGTAGATGATTCTCAGCCACGTTATACAGCGAAAAGTATCAAGGCAGAAGTTTGTCTTGTGAGACAAGGCCCTCACTATACCCTCACTTCTTTCTCAGTTCCTTATAACCCTTATTTTTGATTTTCCAGCTGCAGTCACTTTCGTACTGTGGACTAGCTATTTTAGATTAACTAGATCATTATAAACATGCACTCTTGTCTGTCTACTGTTTGTGTCCAATCTGCTTTGGCATGCCTTCCGCATTACCCAAATCCATCATACATTGTGGTCTGAATGTTCTCTGTCTCATACCATCAAATTAGATTGTTTTTTTTATTATGCCTTTTCATTTGCTTGTCAGTGGTCAAGCAGCAGTCAACATTTAAGAGCAACCTTGTCTTTTCCGTTCCCTAAACATTTGTAAACATTGGTAAACATTTCTATTAATTATACTTCTTTATGACTGTAGATGACACCTGTGATCTGGTGGCATTTGCAGATATTAAATGGTTATATAATAGTTAAACAGTTTATAATATAAATATGAAATGTAAATACATCCTTCAGCCACTTTATACACATTTTTTTCACTTTTCAACTCGATGTGGCTCATTAAATTGTCTTTAAGAAGCAATAATAACTGTCTTTAGATTAAAAGCAGTTTGTGTGTTCTCTTGGTGCAGGAGTACTCAGACTTCCAGTATAGACGGAGGCACAGGCAGCGGAGGAGAGGGGACCTGCTCAGCTTACACAGCCTCCGCAGCAACACCCCTGAACCCAGCGACCCCAACTCCAGCACTTTAGGTACCCTGATCCCACATCTCAAAGGCTTTTAGTCAATGCCGAGCCAAATGCTAAGAGGTTCCCTTTGTTGTATGAAAATGAAAAATGAGTTTGTGTTTCACAGACCCTCAAGAAGGAAGTGGATCAAGGAGATATGATGTGACCACGGTGAGTTTAACCCCTGCTTTCATTGTAGTGCTTCTGAGAAGCTTTTAGTAACTGGAGTTTGCTGAACCATGGATAAAGTTCAGTTCACTTTGGACACGAATGAGCACCATCAAGGCATCTTATTATTACTTCATATTATTTGAAGAGCACTAAAGCATGTATTAGTGTAAGTGTGAGCCCTCTCTGTCAATTGTAGTAGCATTTATAATGAAGAAAAGTCAAAATATCACAGAGATTCAGCTCAAAATATATCAATGTCAACTTGAAATCAGAATGGACCTTTCTACCTTGTTAGCTTGTACACTTGGTCATATTAGGCAGATTTCATCATATCGTATCTATTAATTTAAGAGAAAAAAAATCCGGTTAGTATGAACCTTGCATTCACATGATGAAAAAGTGTTTTTGAATAATACTATACTATATATTTGAATATATTTTGAATTTGAAGGTTTTTTTTGTCCACTCATAAAACAAACTGTACTGTTTAAATTTCTTTAGGGTCTAATTTGAGCAAATAATATAAAAGCAATTGATCATGATTAGCAATTTGCCAGTTTCTAAAACGTCTTCAGATTTTTGATGATGTCACTGTGCACTAGCGGGTGGGGGGATAAACAGTATCAGTTTTCACTGCCCCCACATAGCCTCAACAATGAGAGCTCAGAGACCCTCCCTGATACCATGTTTCACATATATACACGTTACAGTATGGAAGGTAAATCCATTCTGATTTCCGATTCATTTTGACTTTATAGTTGTGTGCAAGTGTTTTGGCATCCCATGTTTTGTTGATTTTTCTCTCCAGAGAACACACTTATGTGTAGTTTAATGCACAGTTACTGTTTATTTGCTGAATTTAACAAATTATGGCAAATGCTATGGCACATTTTATATTTTACGCTTTTTTTCCATTATGTTAAGGTCAGCAAATAAATAGACATTGTGCACTAAAATCAGCATGAAAATGCCTTATTTAAGTTTCTTTCCTGTACAGGATATGTTCATTTAATTTTACTTAGAAAATCTATGTAATGTGTAATTTGACCAGGGTTCTTCAACTTTTGCATATTGCTTAACTTTCATGTCTTTGTTTGCAACAAAATAATCTGTTGAAAGGTATTCTGGTTGGTGCATTCTCAGCTGTATAACTGTGAAAGTTTTCTGTACCAGACCTATAACTACAGTGGTTGTAACGGAAAGCTCTGTTTTGGGGTAGGCTCTCGGCTCACTGGACGAAGATGACCCAAACATCCTTCTGGCTATCCAGCTGTCCCTGCAGGAGTCCGGGCTGGCCTTGGACTCAGAGCCCCAGGACGTGCTCAGCTCTGATGCCTCTTTGGGGGCTATCGGTTCCTCTCTGCCTTCCAGACTAGAGCCTGTCCCTCACACTGTGGAACTTCCCCGTGCCTCGCTCAGCAGCTCAGAGCTGTTGGAGCTGGGGGACAGCCTAATGAGGCTGGGCAACATCAGCAGCCAGTACACGCCCGCTAACCTTCACTCCTACACTGATGGCCCAGGTCTGGACCCCACTGCCAATGCTAACCTGCTTGGCAACATCATGGCCTGGTTCCATGACATGAATCCCCAAAATATTGCGTTGATCCCCTCAGCCAATGCGGACGCTAGTCCTGATGCGCTTGCTTCTGACGAGGCGCTGAAACTGCCCCCCCAGCCACAGGAGGGGGAAAGTGAGGTAGAAAAACCTGAACAGAGTCTCCACTTTCTAATTAAGGAAAATGAGGAGCTGGAGAGGCCGAGCCTTTTGGAGCTGGAGTGCGTGGACGGTTCAGAGTTGCCCAAGACAGATGCAGACTTGGAAGAGTTGCACTACAGTGTAGACCTCGGTAGCACTGCTCCTCACGAGAGTGACTGTGACTCCCATCCACAGCCCACTGAGCTGTCCTCAGAATGGGAGGAACAGGAGCATCTGGTCTGAGGAAAGAGGCTAATGCAGCTCCTTAACCTGAGTGCTCTTAATGTGGCCAAACACTATATATAGGATCAGTTATTGTGACGGATACAGGAAAGGAAGTGTTCATGCCATGTGGTTAAACAGCATGTCTGTGGGCGTAGTGGAGGCTGATTAAAGGAATACTCCAGTGTTTTTCAACCTACTGTCTATTGGGTTAAATATCTTTGCTTCAGCACCTGCCCATTGGCATCTAAATCCATTATTCAAGTAAACAGATTTTCTGTCCTTTAACTAAGTGCAGGAAAACGTGTCAAAATTGCTGTCCATGGTAAGTGACCATACGCCACAGATGCGGCAGAGACTAGCTTGAAAAACACTTCAGCTTTCCTTTATAGAACACAGGTAAAAGAAGAGCATTGAGATGAAATATAAGAAGGAATGAGAAGGAGAACGCTGAAGATGCTGAAGGTCTAAGTCTTATGAGGAAAAAAAAAGCTCCGTTCAGGGTTGCCATTTAAACTCTAGTGGTACCACAAAAATAAGACACTTTTCTAAAAGCAAATCCTTTAAAGGCTATAATGAAAGGAAAGTGAATGATACTTCTGCTCTTTTATTTATGTATTTATTTATTTTTCGAAAGGAGAAAAAATGCACTCATGCATAAATGTGAAAGACTTGAATTGAAATCAGTGAAGTTTCTGATGTCTTTAAAATTTAAGATGCAGTTTGCACAATCAAGTCCTGCATTGATCTCAGTAATCAAGCTCTTACATTCTCCCACCATCATTCTTGTTTGCTTCAAGCATTTACTTCAGCACACAGACCTGTGGCATTTTCTTTAAAGACAATTTTGCCTCAAATGATCTGAACCCACATTCTGAACAGTGCCTCAGAGGCATTCCAGTGATTACATTGTGCCTACTTTTGCTAAGAACTAAGAATATATCCTAGGTCATCCTTCCCGAAAGGGTTGACTGCTAAACATTATTAAACATTTATTACTGTATTACTGTACTGTATTAGTACTGTACTAGAAATTACATAATGTCTCATATACAGTTGAAATCCTTTCTAAACTTGCCACAAGAGGCCACTAGAGCTCAATGAGAAAGGCTGGCCAGGGCTTAGGAGACTAAAGCAGAGGAAAGCTTGCTTTTTCTCTATATATGCTTTACAGTTGTATATTTGTATGCAAACATTTGGGCACCCCAGGTGAAATTACATGGTTTGTTGAAGTGAAAATAAGTACACCTCTGTACCCTTCAAGGAACACACTTCCGCACATTTAATACACAATTACTATTTATTTGCTGAACGTATTTGAGAAAAAAAGAACACATAAAATGTTTTTTCCAATTTGTTAAACTCATTTCTAGCAGATAGAAATTGTTCACTATAATTTGCAGAGAAAATGTTCCCTGTAACATATTTTCACTTAGAAAATCAACAAGGCACGTAATTTGACTGAGAGTGTTCAAACTTTTTGCATACAACTCTATCATTCAGTGTGCCTTTTTATGTCCTTCACCTACAGAGTTGTGTGTTGCCACATCTATGTTTTATTTATAGTTTCAAACCATCACCTCTCATTGTAAGGAATGCATTCAATTAATGAAATGTAAAGAGACTGCATTTTTTGTTAGACCAGACTTTTACAATCAAAGCATTTTTTAGAAACATTTTGTATCTTCATGGACCAACCCGATGTTAAGCCATTGCTTGGATTTCTTATACACTAGCTTGACTCCTGTGTAGATGGACTGCATACTCTAAAATACAGAGTTAGATGTTGGCAAATAAGAGCTGCAATGTTTTTATGACTAAAGTGTCATACAGTGCCATCTACATATATTAGCACCCATTGTAAACATGAGCAAACAGGGCTGTAAAAACATTCTTTATTGCTTATCTGTCATCTTTTGTTCAAAATATTAACAAAAATGTAACCTTTACTTGCCCTGCGATGGACTGGTGACCTGTCCAGGGTGTATCTTGCCATCCGCTCAATGACAGCTGGGATAGGCTCCAGCACCCCACCGTGACCCAGAAGGATAAGCAGTTTAGATGATGTGTGTGTGTGTGTGTGTATAATAAAAACTTTACTTAAAGTACAATTATTTAAAGAAAAAACTTAAATCTTGCCATGAAATAAATATTTTTCTTCAATCTATATGTGCCACAATTGTTGGCACCCACTTTATTTAATACTTTGTGCAGCCTCCCTTTGCAAAGATAACAGCTGTGAATCTTCTTCTGTAATGCCTAATGAGACTGGAGAACACATGGCAAGTATCTAAAACCATTCCTCCATACAGAATCTCTTCAGATCCGTTAGATTCCAAGGTATGCTTTGAATTATTGCCATGCTGGAATATCCAACCACAGCCCACTTTAGGCTTCCTGGCTTTCTGGTAGTACTTAATGGAGTCCATGATACCAGGTCTCTAAACAATTTATCCATGGCCTTTGGAAGAAAAACAGCCCCACAACATCACAGATCCACCACCATACTTCACAGAGGTACTGTTCTGCATGGCTATCTCGTGTCTACGCCAAACTCACCTCTGGTGTTTCTCGCCAAAAACCTCTATTTTGGTCTCATCTGATCATAGAACATGGTCCCACTGAAAGTTCCAGTCTTTCTTATAGTGATGGTTGTCCAAGGGAATTTGGCATTTGTATTACCATATATTTATACTGTGGGGTAGCAGGAAGTCACAGCTGACCATTTAAGTGTTCCTAATCGCTCAGGTGAACTTTTGAACATCAAATAACAATGGGAATACACTTCAGTGAGATTTCACTCATAAGAACTTCTAGGAGTACCAACGACTGGAACACAGATTTGAGAAAAATATTAATTTCGAAGAATATTTTTTTTTTTCTTTCAATTATCTCAATTATTCAGATAAAGGTTAAAGTTCTGTTTATATTTTGAATGAAAAATCAAAAGAAAAAGCTAAGAAGAATGTTTTTAAAGCCTGCTCATAGTTTTGCTTATGGTTACAAGGAGTGGAGGGCGCTGTGTATAAATAAGGTTTTTTTTCTTTTCATTTCACCAGAACTCATTTCAATGATTTTGGATTACGCACATTTTCATTTGTTGTAATGATTCACAGTCAGGTTTAAACTTCATGTTAATTGAACATAGTCAGTAGTGACCAGGATACAGTATGTTCAGAACAATCTGCAGTTTTAAAAGTTCATTTGGGAGACTAAAAGCAAAATGATTCATGAAATATCTCTTGTAAATCAGTGTGTGGCCTATGTAAAAGGTATAATTTCAGGTTGTTCTATTTGATTTGTAGATCTGGTAGTTCCTGTGCTTTGTTTAAAGGATGAGTGACAGACCCTTTGTCCTAAAGAGAATGTCATGATGGTACATTGATGATGACACAATGATGACTATTTATTTGCATTTTTCTGCGCTTTAACTGTTAAATTCCAACCTTTTTTCTCCAAAACATTTTTTCCACTTTTCCAGTTAATTAACTTTTTTTGGGACATATGTGCTTCTAAACTAAGATACAGCCCAAAATAACTTCATACTGGCTTCCAGGGGGGGATAAAACTGCAGTTGCTGATTCAAAAATGGTCTCCTGTATGGTCTTGAAAACCACAAGCATGAAAACCTCACATTAGGTTATTATGAATTATGAAAACATATTTCAAAACATTATGAAACATTTTGCCAAAAGTCTTGAGCATAAAATTATAAATTACCTATAAGCTTGATGTACTAACTTCAGTTGCCTGTGTCCCTCTGTCTGAGAGGGAAGAAAGTGGGAAGTAACATACATAAACGCATCTGTAACGATCATAACACGTGACATTCAAAAGAACATTATAACACAAAGTTATAATCTTACATGTGTTTTTTGTTTGTTATATGATCTTAATAGAGGTTCGGAGTAATAGCACAACTGCTGGAAAATGCTGTGTTGCTGCATTAGTGATATATTCCAACAGTATTTCAGATATATGAAAGCAATTTTGCTGTGTGGTTCTATGCCCTGTCTGTAGCGTATCTTACTTTTGAGGCACACATTTCAAATAAATATTTAAACAACAATTTAAAAAATAAATATTATCAAAGCTGAAAACTAGGGGGGAAATAAGGACAAACAGGCTATTATTCCTTTAATGGCAGAAGACCGTTTTAATTTCATTTTAAATTTTAAGAAGAAGGTAACCATTCATTTTGAATTGTCATTTGCACTTTCAGAGACTGTACCAGTAAATGAAAGTTTCAGTAAAGGTTTACTCAGATTAAAAGACTGTAAGTGAATGAAGTCTCTGTTGTGTTCATTTATAATTATAAATTGATATTATATAGTTTCATTTGTACTATATGAAGTACTGAGAATGCAACTTGAAATGACACTTGCATTTTGGATTGTTCAGGTCTCCTGGTCCTCATTAGCATCTGCTACTAACTCAAATGGAAAAAGAGGCTTTTATTTTGAAGGCTGCTAAGATTGCCCGGAAGAGGTTACCGAGCTGCAGGAGAAGACGGGAGGATGTGTTGAATGGATGATGGAGGGTGTTGTTTGTTGTTGCAGTTCAGTGTTACTAACAACAGTACTTTGAACACGAAGAAAATTTTGTTAATGTAGGAATACGTTTCGCTTACAGTCACTTTTAAGAGCACAAAATTACGCTCGGTAGCAAACAAGCACGACTCGCGCCGAGCAACGTTAATTAGGTTAGTTAACTAAGCTAACCTAGGTTAGCTGTCTGAGCTAAGAATAATAACAGACTGTGTTGCCTGTCGTCCAAAGAAAAGATGCCGTTGGGTTTAAAGCCGTGCTGTGCTGTCTGCAAGACCAACTCGTCGTCCATGTGGAAGAAGGGAAACCAGGGAGAAATTCTCTGTAACAACTGCACATCTAAAAGCAGCATCACCGGAGGCTCGGGGCTGTCGGCCTCTTCCACCACCCAGCAGAATAATGGCGGGGGAAAACAGGTTTGAATGGATCAAAAAAATATCAGGCTTTGTAATGGAAGCAGAGGATCACTTTATCTTCGTTCGCTGAATTAGTTGGAAACCTGTACACTGTAAAAATGATTGTTTTAACTCAAAAAGTGGCCTAATTGCCTTTAAAATTTCATTTCAGAAGAATTCATGGAACTTCAAATAATAAGTTAACGGAATGTAAAACAGATTGTTATTTTTGACAGTGTATGTATTGTAAATAAGAATGGGTATCGAAGAATGGGTATGTTTCCAGCATCTACTCGTTTCTGCCTTATGCCACACATACTTCCACAGTGTAATTTAAACAAAAGTATCAAAACAGCGTAATTACAGTACATTCAGTAATAAAGTCAAAGTATTTGAAGCTACATCGCAAACAATTTAAACGATACTCGGTCCTAATTGTAACAGGTTAAAGTATATAAAGTATAAAACAGTTAAACGTTTGCAACGTTTGAAATTTAAAACTGTCGCTGATGCGACCCTCGGCCTGTTCTGATGGGTTCTCATTTGCTGCCTTTTGTAAAAACCACAAAATATAAATAAATAAATAAATAAGAAACAACAACGTACAGTAAGTTAATGCCTGGTTACAGTTAAGGCTAAACTTGCTGTTTATGTATTATGCATATATGTATGTATATATATATATATATATATATATATATATATCAAATGATTGTGCTTTTGCTTTTGTGATTTTGTATTTCAATTTTGGGAGAATGAAAGTGGAGACTCCTAATGTATTGTTGCTCTTTGCTTCTAGTCTAAGCAAGAGATTCACAGGCGGTCAGCACGCCTAAGAAGCACCAAATACAAGGCGCCTGCGTCCGAGAAGAAAGTCTCAACTAAAGGAAAAGGAAGACGGCACATTTTTAAACTAAAAAACGTAAGTGCTTTCCATAGAAATAACTATATTCTTATTGCTGGCAAGCCTTTCAAGTTTAGACAGAGTAAGTGATAGTGCATTTTCCTCTCTTCAGCCTATCAAAGCTCCTGAGTCTGTGTCCACAATCATCACTTCAGAGTCAATCTTCTACAAGGTTAGATTATTTTCTAATCCACATTTCAAATATCATTTCAAATAGATGTTGTTTTGACTAATTTCTTCTTTCTTCTACATCAGGGTGTTTATTATCAAATAGGAGATGTCATAAAGGTAATAGATGAAGAGGATGGTAAACCTTATTTTGCACAGATTCGTGGTTTTGTTCAGGATCAGTACTGCGAAAAGAGTGCTGCATTAACCTGGCTAATCCCTACCCAGTCCAGTCCAAGGGAGCAGTTTGATCCTGGCTCTTACATAGTTGGTAAGTGATTATTCTTATTCAAACAAATGCAGAGATCCATAAATATGAATAACTAACAGAGTTGTTTTCACCTCCCAGGTCCAGAGGAGGATTTGCCAAGGAAAATGGAATACCTTGAATTTGTCTGCCATGCTCCATCAGAGTATTTCAAGTCAAGAAGTTGTCCTTTTCCAACAATACCCATTCGTCCAGAGAAAGGCTACATTTGGACCCATATTGGACCTACACCTGCTGTTACAATCAAAGAAACAGTTAGTTGCAGTTAAGTGCAAACATCTTTAAAATTTTATATTATGAACAGAGACTAAGAGTTAAATATTCAATTAAGGAAAAGATTGTTCCTTTCCCAGTCAAAGGAAAAAAGGTCTTTTTATGACTTGCAAATTCGTTCCGCTTAATTTAATGGTAGCCTTACATTAAAGGCTTCTCCATGATCCCATTCTGGGCAGGTAAAGACTAACGTTTGTCTGGCATACATGGCAGTCAGCGTCCATATTTTGGAGTTATTGACTGTATAGCATCGTGAAGTACCTCAGCATCGTCAGAGAAGAATGTGAAGTGTCGTACTCTAACACATGACAAAGCGAATGTCAAGTTGGTTGGTACGACGCTTAATGACTGTGAAGAGTGGAATCCTGTTGACTTTGCCGAGGAGCAAGGTCAGTTGTGTTGTAGAAGACATCATCCTTGTCTGAAGCATGGCACAGTTTAGAACAGTAACAGCACCTCTATGCTGGGTGTCTAGACGAACATTTACATTTGTAAATATTGTAATGTATGTAAATCGTTCTTTAGAAAATAAACATTCACAGAAATGTCTCTGGGATTGTCATTAGTGAATGGTCTGCAAATGATAGGGTTATCATTTTTGCCCAAAAATTGTACTTTCCTTTTGTTGGGGTATACTATTTTTCCTTCAAAGTATTAATCCCTCAAGAAACCGCTTCCATCACTTTAGGCACTTGCAGTACAGACAAATAGTAAAACTGTACAGTTTTACAAGTTATTTCATTGTCATTGGTCACTGGCATAATAGAAGATTAGATATGAGCTTGAAAGGAAAATGTCCCTAGTTGTCTTGTACCTTGGCTAGGCTGTTTCTGTCTATGTGTCCGGTTCCAGATGAAGACTGAATTGCAGATGCTGACTCTGACATTTGCCTGACAGTATTCCACACCATTAGGATTTTATGGGCCCAATTGCAAAAAGAAATGAATGCCCCCAATATGAAAATTACCTTCAATAAAAAAAAAAAATTACAATGTAATTTGATTTTTCACTTGCTATTGTTATATCGTAAGTTGGTGCTTTCAAGGCGTGCCATTCCACCACAAGCATCTACTATTAAGTTAAATCTAAATCTTTACGTTGGACTACTTGTTTAAGATTTTGGAATTATAAGTAATGAATATGAAGATCATGTTACAGGTGGTCAAGGAGCTGTTTGAAAACAGTTACCACTGATGAAATGCATTATTGTCTATGTAGTATTGATGGATGCTAATTAATGAGGTATGTTAATAAATTGGATTTTCTGTCACGGGTGTACAGTTACTAAAGAACCCTTGAAGAACCATCTTTTTTTATTCCATGTTGTGCCGTTGGTGTGATCTGGCTGTGTGCCCACTTCTAGGGAGAGCAGACACAGTACTAAATCATCTCCATTTCTAGACAGTTTGTCTAAGTTTAGACTGATAAATACCTAAACTCTTTGAGATTACTTTATAAACCTTTCCAGCTTTATGCAAATTAGCAATTATTGATTGTAGTTCTGAGATCTTTTTTTCCAAGGTATGGTAAACCTCAACAAATATTTTATTTGCAAACTCAAAATGCTTGAGTGTTTTTTTTTAATCAGACTAGCTCTCATTTTATTGACAGAACTCCAGGTTTGCTCACTCCTGACTCGTTACTTTTGTTGAAGTCATTAGATTACGAGGTTCACAAACTTTATTGAAGTTATTGAAGACCAGACCGTATTTTAAGATGAGTTTATACATAAATGCAGGTAATTCCAAAAGGTTCACATACTTTTTTTTGCCCGGGCCATAAGTAGCCCAGTGAAGATTTGCCATAGAACCAGAGCGATTAGCCCCTTAACCATATCTAATCACGCCCCCCCACAGTGAACAGTTGAGGAGTGTCTATCCTTGAACCTTGCATGTTAGCCTGAAATGGAGAACTACACTCAGAGCAAATGGTATAGCTACAATATGCGGCTTGTTTTTAGCATAACAACTATAAGGTACACCTGTAAGCTGCTGCATGCTCTGCTTTCAGTGTTGGGCCTCAGCAATAGCTTTTACATCTTCTACGTTCTTCAAGGTAATGAGGGTGGACAGCATGTCTCCAGTCTGGACACTGGCCATCTTATTGCTGATGCGGTTTTGCTGCAGGGTGGTAACCAGCTGGTTTCACATTATCATGTCTTTTTCCTGCTTGTCATTGACAGACAGGCTGTGGAGTTCCCCAACAACCCTGGATGAACAGATTTATAGTCAGAGTAGTGCTTCATTCTACAGTCCAGGTGTAACTTCTCATAATCTCCTTTGACAGATTGAGTGTGATTACCCCAAGACTGTTTTCCCTCTGTTGCTGCCAGGATATGATCAAGTAGCTCTTGATGAATCTCTTGATAGGCTTTCTGGTTCTTTTGTCTGGCTATTATAATTAATTGTATTTCCTCAAAAGGTTCCACAATCAGGTTCTTTAGGCAGCTGCCTTTTGAGGGCCTCTGGCACATAGTCATTTTGGTTTTGGTGACCACTTCCTCCAAATGGATGATTCTCTGATTTTTGGGTATCTGATCTTCTGGCATTGGTTGCTGTCATAACATTGGTTTAAAATTAGATCTGATAGAGCAACATTCTATGGGTTAATATAAATATAAGTATACATTTTAAAGTAGTTTTATTCCAGACACAGTGGGAAAAGCAATTCCTTTCATAAGATACTAGAGCCACAGTAACACAGCTACAAATCTCCCAAAGATACTGAAGACATTGTGCTTAAACATATTAGAGTGAAATATAAATACCTGATAGAAGACAATTCCAAGTTGAAATACAACTTGTGGTGTGGTGTTGACTTATCTTTTACACCACGTCAGTGGGAGAGTCTGACCATGAATTTGGTTATAAACGTGATTTAATATTAGCTACTTTAATAGACTACCCTTATAAAAGGTTTTTGAATTGTTTAAAATTTGTTTACCAATAGTTAATTTGGTTATAAACACCTTGATATCATTAATAAGCTGTTATAACACATAAATAAAAAGCTGTGACCTGTTGTATGCCTAATACCAAACCTACATTCTGTTAAATATACTGGTAAACTTCAGATCTTGAAAGTTGCTTATCTTCTTTTGTCTTTTCCATCAGTCAGGATTAAACCTGTCAGCTTCATCAGGTATTCATATTCCTCAGATATAACAAGTTACTTTGCCCTTTTGTATGAATATGTTAATGATTTTTAAGGTATTTATGACCTTAACCAATAATCATTAATAAACTACTTGTAAACCATTTATAAACCCTTCCTGGGTTGATGTCTTCTAAAGTTCTGGAGAACCAACAGAGTTTCATGTTTTTCTTTGCTCTAACACACCTACATCAGCTTGCGAAAGGGTTGGTGATTAGTTACTGATATGAACTGAGGTCCAGGGAAAACACAAACCATGCAGGGTAGGTGGGTCTGTCGGACTGGAGCTAGGAAACATGGGAAGAGACTACAGTGTCCCAGTTGTTATTCAGCTTTCCTGTTAGTTTGACTTTGCATCTCACACAATTAGTGTACAACCAAGTGAGTGATGGCCATCTGCCTATTATTCTCACATCTGTTTGTCCTCCCAACCATCCATCCATCCGTCCACGCATCCTCTATTTCAGTGGTTCTCAGTCCTGCTCCTGGGATACCACTACCCTGTTGTTGTGTTCTCCCTGCTCCATCACACCCAGTTCACTTCAGGAAGGGCTTGTTTCTTAGCTCATTAGTAGTATCAGGCGTATTGGGAGCAGCTGTTACTATAACATGTGCAGGTAAGTTACACCATGACCAGGACTGAGAACCACTACTGCCCTATTGAATGAAGCAAGCCTCATGTTTAACTAGTTGTAAGTAATAACGTGAAAACATATCTCACAGCAGGAATAAATATGTACATCCAAATTTGTTTAAGTTAATTGTACCTCATCGTGTCGGTTGTTTTTTTTTCCACGTAAGATTACTAAACACAGCGGTTATGATGAAAAGTCGGCGTTACGCTCGTCGTAGTTGACGAGAAAGTATTTCGGATTCTATCAGCACATCAGTCTCTCCGTCTTCTTTGAAAAGATTAGTTATGCATCAGTAAAATCTTATTAAAATTGCCCGAAGAGAAGAGCTAATGAACAACCTAATGGGTTTCTGTTTCTCTGGTGGGAGGGACAGAGCTCTGGAAGCGTTTTTCCCCACCCGCATTCACACAAACCACGCCCCATGCACTAGACGCTAGTGGAGCCCCACCTCCTAAGATAGGATTGGCTAATAAAACCCTATTGTGCGTTCCTATTGGCTACTAATATTATTCTTCCTACGCTAGGAGTGGAGAATACTATGCTATCCAGCTTACTGCGCTATGATTGGCTGATAATGTTCGGTCTTTCTGTGCTAAATTGGTTAATTCCGTCCCTTTGTTTTGCGCCTGGAATGGCTGATAGTGTCAGGAATTTTTTAGCTACCAGGATTAGTCTCCCGCATTTCTGCGCTAGGATTGGTTATTGGTTTCTCTCGTTCTGCGTGAGGATTGGCTTGTAACGTCTCTCTTACTGCGCTGGGAATGGCTAATATTTCGGCGGCCCGCGCGTGAATACGAACTACTAGCCAATCCTGACGTAGGAGGCGGGGCTGGGCGCAATACGGGCGGAGAAAAAATAAAGCGCTCTCGCAACCTTCGATTTGCGTTTCTTCCTCAAACATAACGCCAAGACGAGCGCTCCCACAGAGGATTTCAAGAACACTTCAGTCTCCGATATTACTGGACCACATGGATAAACTTAACAGGAGTATGGCCTGTTCAGCCCTCCTCTGCCAGTCAAGGCACAGAGGGTCTCTCAGTTTTTCCTAAGAGGATAATTAAGTAATTGAAATTTTTGAGCACGGGGCAACATGGGGACGTTACAGTCGAAACATGGTAAGAGTTTCTGTTTGTGTTTTGATAACGCTCGTTTCACTGCTGATCCCAAGTGCATAAATACAGCTTGGTGATATGAAATGACTTTCAATATTCCTCACATTAAAGCTCTTTTTGCACTTGTTTTTTTAGCGTGTAAACGCAGGGAGAGTCCAGAGGGTAAGTGAACACAACTGCAGTTATTTTCACTGACTTAGTCTGTGGGTTGTGTGTCCTGTTGCTGAGGTGAATATTTCTGTTTTATTAAGGTGGCTCAATTGCAACGAGCCCTTCTATCTTCCACAGGGAGTCGGACACAGTCAGAGACAAGCAGGTAGGACCTGTCCCTCCTCCATTGAGTCATGTGATACATTTTGTGTGTTATTTTATTATACTAAACAATATAGACGTTATTTTTTGAGAGATTCCTCTGCATTACAGCTCCTGTGCTCAGACTATTTGTTGAGGAAAGTTGTAAGAGACTTCATAGTTGTGCTTTAATGTTTATTACAACCTTTCCCAACTTTTTTAACCAACACAGTTTGTGCTGAGTATCTCAGAGCGCTGGAGCTCCTTCATTTTGCTAACATATGCAAAATGTCTGTAGTGCAATTTGGATGTCATGGTGTAGTGATGGGATGAAGCCTGTATATGGGGTAAAAGCTTAAAATGGATCCAAAGAGAACCTTTAGGTTTTCTTGGTGTTTATTGCATTTAAAAGGCATAAACTGCAAAATCTAACTCAAGTGGACTCTGCATCTCCAGTAAATCACAATGTCTCTTACCCACAAACTCATTTTCTTGCTCTCCTCCACAAACTGTCCACTGGTGCCAGGAACGTGATATGTCTACAGCAAGGTCCAAAGTAGAAATTAGCCAATTTTTTCATGTTTACCACTCTTATCGCTGAACTCTGGGTTCCTTTGAGTATTCTGTTAAAAGTTGACTGAATCTTTTACCATGGTATGGTGCTTGCACTCATGTTGTGCACTGCAGCAAGTGATTGGGTGGTCTTGCAGCCATTTATGTTCAGATTAAGCTTCCAAGTCATTTCCTTACGTGCAAGACCTTTCATGAGTCTTCCATGGACGTATTCTCCTTTTTGCTGCACTTTTAACTGCTGGTTTGTAGACCAGGAATGTTGTGTGAAGCTCAAAACATTTCCACTAATGGATCAGATGTTTTTTTTCAGTGCAGTTTTAGCTTCCCAGCCTAAATTCATTAGACTTTGGACTTAACCATATGCAGACCATCTAAGCTATTTAATAGTTTTTGGGAAGGGGGCTCTTTCCTCTCTCCCGCTCTCTCTCTCTCTCTCTCTCTCTCGCCCTGTCTCTCTCTCTCTTTCTCTCTTCTCTCTCATTCTCTCAATAGAGCCTGGAACCTTCATCACAGTGTGAAATGCATATGGCTGGCAGCCAGAAGAGCAGGGTCTTTGAGCTCAGCCCCACCGCACATCTGGTACTGGTTTTGAAAACAGAGAGGGGCTGTCCTGGGAAAATGGGGGGAAGTGGTTGGGAGAGGAAGAAGGAGGTGTAGTTAGTGGGAGGAGTGGCATGACGAAGGGTTGTGGGAGATTACTTACGAAATGGAGATGGGTGGACTGGGGGAAATGGGATGAGAGGCCTGGGGTTAGAGATGAGTCCTCATGCCTCAGCTCATCTCATCAGGCATCTGTTTAGTTGTTTTGCTCTTGTGGATGTACATGGGTTAAGGCACCCATTCAGTAACCAGGGGACAGGAATAGAATTGAATAAAATAGAATAGCGCAAATTATGCTTGATACCACTTTGCCTACATTCTTAAATAAAGGACGCTTGGAATAATGACAGGGAGGATCCACTTTTGGTTCTCTAAAGAACCTCTCAGTGGATGGTTGTTTTAGGAACTGTTTTTGTGAATTAGATGTGCAAGTATGACAAATCTTTTTAAGTTTAAAGATCTTCTGTGTTGGTTCTTTAATCATAATGTAAAGGTTCTATACCATTTAAGGGATTTTACACTGTAAAAAGTAGAACAGGACAGAAGTTGATTTGAAGAGTTGTTGAGGATTGCATATCGCTTTTGTTTATCTAAACTAAAATTTTAAATTTGTCTTTGCACTGTTGCATAAGTATTTGTTTGGGTTAAACAAAATCAGTTTACTTTTGTGTTACCACATTAAAAGGTTCATATTGTGGAAACCCAGATTTTCCTCACTTTCTTCAAATACTAGCACTAGTGAACATTAAAGTTTCAAAACATACAATTCACTCTCCAGTCAATGCAGTTCATATTTGGAAACTATGCTGCAAAAACTGCCTCTTGTGAATTCATGTTTCTGTGATGTCATGAAAACCAACAACTTTACATATATCCACCTATTTTAGCTTATCAGTTTAGCCCACCTATTCATAACGAAATTATAAGGAGTTTTAATTATAAGGAGCTTTGCAGCTACAACAGCTTCCACTCTTCTAGGAAGCTTTCTACAAGATTTTGGAGTGTGTCTGTGGGAATTTTTGCCTGTTCATCCAGAAGAGCATTTGTGAGGTCAGACACTGATGTTGGACGAGAGGGCCTGGCTCACAGTCTCCATTTTAGCTCATCCCAAAGATGTTTGATGGGGTTGAGGTCAGGCCTCAGTGTGGGCCAGTCAAGTTCTTCCACACCAAACTCACCCAACCATGCCTTTGTGGACCATGCTTTGTGCACTGGGGCATAGTCATGCTGGAACAGCAAAGGACCTCCTCCAAACTGTTCCCACAAAGCTGGAACCATACAATTGTTTAAAATGTTTTGTTATGCTGAAGCATTAAGATTTCCCTTCACTGGAACTAAGAGGCCTAGGCCAACTCTGAAAAACAAACCCATAGCATTTTCCCTCCTCCACCAAACTTTACAGTTGGCAGAATGCAGTCAGGCAAGTAACCTTCTCCTGGTATTCGCCAAACCCAGAGTCGTCCATCAGACTGCCAGATAGAGAAGCGTGATTCGTCACTCCATAGAATACCTTTCCACTGCTCCAGAATCCAGTGGTGACATGCTTTACACCACTCCATCCGACGCTTGGCATAGTGCTTGGTGATGTAAGACTTGCTTGCAGCTGCTTGGCCATGGCAACCCATGCCATGAAACCCCCGGTGCACAGTCTTTGTGCTGATGTTAAAGCCAGAGAAGACCCCGCTCTCTGTAACTTTACATGGTTGCTGTGGTTCCTATCCTAAACACATCCACTTGAATATCTTGCAGGGAAAAAATTGTGCGTACTGACTTGTTGCAATGGTGGCATCCCATTACAGTACCACACTCGAATTCATTGAGCTCTGTAGAACGACCTATTCTTTCACAAATTTTTGTAAAGGCAGACTGCATGGCTAGGTGCTTGATTTTATACATCTGTGGCAATAGGACTGAAAGAAACACCTGAATTCAATTATTTAGAAGTGTGTCCCAATACTTTTGTCCACATAGTGTACCTCTAGATGATATGATATTTATGATGGTTTGATGGTTTAATGTTGAAAATTGGCCAGTTAAAGACCCATTCAATGTAAAGCGACTTTTAGGCCAGTTTTTATTACTGCAAGAACTGAGGCCTTCAAATAGCAACAACAACAGAGCAAGACTGCACCCATTACAACTGAGCAACAAATGAACTCTGACCAGCAACCACTATCATGCTGAATTTTCTCCACTATTTCCTCTTAGTATTTCATTCTCGAAGCCATCGTATTCAAAAATCAGTTCAGTTGTCAGCCCAGTGCTGGGTTTGTTACAGTGAATTTCAAATTTAAGCTCATAGCTTTTATCAAAGTGACAGCTGAGAAGCTGGCATTAATTACCTAAACGTTCAGATTTTCTAATTTAACCCCTCATGTTTCTGTATACAGCATAATTTCTTGCAAATGTTAGTCTAATGATCTTCATGTCTTGTGGAGATGAGATGAGTAAGGATGGCTAGTGTGTGTTCTGGCTCTAATTATAACACTGCCCTTTTGTGTCAGCATCCTGCAGTTTGGATCATAAAGCCTGGGACACTTGAAAGGGCCAGGCCACCAGGCTCAAAGCGTCCACTGTTTGCTTGGAGAGGCTGGAAGAATCCCTTCTTTCACCCTTTTTCCGCTCTCAGCCTCACTTCAAAGGCCAGGGGGAGGGGAGCGTGTGCCGCGGTCACTCAGCCATGACTCTGTCTGCTTGGGAGAGAGCCTGGAGGTGACCGTAACGTGTTTACTCGAACGGTTCAAAAATAAGCAACAGGCTTGAAGCACTGTTGCCTGTGAGTAGCACATGCTCACTGTAGAGCTTGAACCACAGAGAAAGACACACCTGGCTCATAATTTAACCCCAACAAACGTCTGATTCTTTTCTTACCAATACCAGTGGAATTTGTTCGGAATTCGGTCACATTGTTTGTGTAGAAAATCTGTTTATTAATGCCTTGCTAAAACATTATTTGCATAGCAGTTAAAACTGTGTGTGGCTAGTGAACAAAAAAACAACAAACTTAGCAAAAGTTTTTGTTAGATAAACAGTCTTTAGATTGTATTATGAAGTGTGAAGAGTTTGTTTCTTGACCGAATTGAAAAAAAAGAAAAGCCAGATTTGTTGATTTATGAAACATTTTAATACAACCACAGATCAAAGATTAAAGATTAGTGTCGAAGTCCATATTTTCAACAGGCCTGCAGTACTCTGAAGCCACCCATCAACACTTCCATAAAGTAATCTGACTCATACTGAAGTGCCGACACTCACTAAATGCATTAACAAAGGCTCCATTCATCAGGAAACCTGTTTGCTTTGACAGACCTGGAGAATGCTGGCATAAAATACAGCGCTATGCTTATGCTTAATATGCGGTGAACTACAAAGAGTCTGGAATGCTTTCACTTTGTTTGCATTTGATGCTGTTTAAGCAGTTTGTTCTAATCAAATCCAGTCAATTTTGACTAAGGCAATGAGGGAAAAGGATTAATATATGTTGGCCTTAACAGCAATTTCTGTTTATCGTCCTTGCTTGCCTGAACATGGCAAATGGAGGTTTAGGTTGTGGGGGTTTTGTGCATGACCATAAAAGATAAAATCAGTCGATTCCAATCTCAACATAAGTGCAACTGCAGTAGCTCGGCCCTGACCGTCCCCTAACCTGCTTTGGCTCAGTGATGATGCAATTCGTCTTCTTCTCTCTCGTCATGTAATAAGGCTCCGGTCCAGGTGTTTGGTGACAGGAAGTGAGGAGGAACAAAGCAGGCCACTGTTCCCAGGACTGTGAGTGTGTTCAGAAAGCAGTGTGGGTGGGTGGTGGAGGGGAAGCAGGGCAGGGTGGGGGGCAGCCTACCCCGCGACACCCGTCTCAGGGCAGGAAAAGGCCCCCCCTCACACTGGTAACACGAGCCCACATGAAAGGCCCTGGAGCAGGCAGAGCGTGGCCGAGGCTTGGCTGTGATGATGGGAGAAATCACTGGCAGAAAGGCCAGTCACTCATCACACTCATCTGCACTGCGGCTTTGTTCTCCTGCTTTCTGTCAGGCTTCAAATGCTCTTTCCACTGATGCATTGATTGTTTTGGTGATTAATTGCTTCAACATCTGCAACAAAGGGGTGAAAAAAGTATAACTGGCAGATAGGTAGTAGTAAATAAAACAGTAGTTAAGTGCAATAGTAAAATACTAGTATGTGAAACTGTAAACTATCAGGGCCAATTTAAGTGCCATTTAAAATGATAAAATTTCAGATTCTGGTGCCCAACTTTAGGCAAAATTTGGGCTGGAGATTGTGTCTGGTCTTGGCAATCCTGCCCGCTATAGAGAACGCTAAAAATACAACTGTGAACAGGTATAATGTTTCAACAGGAATGTTTACAAGTAATAAAACTAGAAATTGGTGCCTGTAATCATCAGGAATCATCATAGTATTTTATTAAATAAAAGGTAAAAATAACATAAAAATGTGGCACTGCCAGCTTCATCTCCAGAATAGGAATTAACTGATGGCTTTCTCCCCGCAACACTATCATGGTGACATAAACAGACGTTATTCACAACCTGCAGGAGCAAGGCATGTCTTCAGCAGTTTACAAAGAGATTTACATATCTGCAGCTTGGACTAGTTGCCAGAAAATTGTAATATCTGCAGCACTGACTGTGTTTGAGCTAGCCACATTTTGCCTGAATACTGGGCAGGGGAGCAAAAAAAATTATCAGGACACTCCTAATAAAAGTTCGGTGTACACAATGATTTCAGAATCATATCAGTATAAACAATATACACATATCAGACAGATGTTAAGATTTTGTCTGATGTTTCGTACTGATACTTGATGCTGGTTATGTTGTTTAATGTATTTCTCATGCAATGCTGGGCTACTGTGCAAAACTGCATTTTATTCATTTTACTTTTGTAGCCCTTTTTTAATTAAATGTTTCATTTCACTGTAATGCTAATCCAGGTGGATTTAGTGCCAATTTCTACTACATTTATGTACGTATTTATGTATAAGTATTGGTAAATATGCATATGCTTTCCATATCAGTGCATCTGTACTAACCATAATAATTAATAATAATTTTTTTCTTAGTCTAGATTGTTGCCTCTGAGCACAAAGGAGAAAATAGGAGTAAGAGAGAGAATGTCAGCGCTCAGTCTGTGACTCTAAAGTAGAAAATTAGATATGAAAAAAGTAGATCGATTTGTTTTATGGTCACACTCTGTCTTTGCTCTTTGCTAACCTGTCTCAGCAGGCGAGTCTCACACAGCTGAAGCCGTTCCCTCTTTGTTTGGTGTCGTGTAATTCAAAGTGCAATGCTGATCAGATGTTTGACAGATGTTTTCACAGGTAGATGGTACTTGCCCTTTTTAGGAGAAGTTATTTCAAATGCAGTTGTGTGTGTGGAACATATGCTATGCACATTTGGGCCTAAATGAGAGCGCTGTGGGTGTTAATATTTACAGGGCTGTATTCGTCTTAATGATGGTGGTTTTATGGTGCAGGGTGATGTAAAGACTGGCAAGACTAGTGCTGTGTTTACATCATGCTCTCTTTCTGTAGGAGTCCTGCTCTTATTATCCTCATAAAGAGCATGTTGGACATACTTCACTATTACTTTCTAAAATGGTACATGTTCTAAAAAGTTAAATGTAGAATACATTGATTTCACTTTTTTGAATAGGAATATCAATGTGCGGTTCAGGATGAAGTTTCTAATTAAACAGGAGAGTTTATAATTGAATAATCATTTTCATATTGTGAATCCTGCAATGTGCACTTTTCAGAGTAAAATTTCAAATATCAAATCAGCCAATAGGAGGTGCTGTTTTACATACTAGGCATCCTGTTCAACCTATTCTATTCAAAATTGAAGAGCAGCTTATAGGCCTTATTTTCATTCAGCTGGAATAGATGACTGTAAAACTGCACTAGACTTATTTTAAGAGTAGTGCATGTTGATATTATAAATACGTAAATATTGTTTTTAAATTGTTGTTTGAGCAAAACCTCATAAGTTAATGTGAAAACATTTTTTTCCAAGTACTTTCAGAGAATTTTTGCTGGTCCATTCATTATACAATGTGCGTGTGGTGTAAACGGCAGCTGGTATTTTCAAATCATGTACACCACACCACTACACCATTGCTTTCAGTTTATACGTTTTACAGAAAAAAACAAATATGGAGATAAGATGTTAGCCCAACAATGCAGGGGCATAGCCAGAACTTTAAAAAGTGACTTCAAATAAAAATTTCATGTAGTTCGGACATAGGGGGCACTCAGTTTGGCTGCCCTCCATACAGGTGTCTAATCTAATATAAGGTAACATGGGGAAAAATATTTGTCTGAGTGACAACCTACTTTATTAGGATGAACCTAAATCTGACCTAAGCCATTGAAGACTCAAAAAAATTTCAAAAAGGAACATGACAAAAGTTAACATGACAAACCTAGTAATGTTTGTTTATAAATCTTAACATTGGATAGCCTAATTTATGTAATGTAGCCTCATCCGTTTCTAAGACTAACGTTAACGTTTTGTCCGGCCTGTTTGTGTTGTGTGAAGTAGTCTTATCACAGTGAGATATGCTGATTATTGAGTGCAGCATTATCAGACTCATAACTGATCAGTATCAGTTTTGATGGCAGATTTGATTGAAAATAGGAACTGTTTACACAGGGTAGGACAGCTTTTCCTGATGATTGCTTTGTTAATGGCTGACGGTTTCACTTTGCACAACCGGGGCAGCCGGGAATCCTTCACACTGGGGTGGCGCTGGCCACATATAGCCAGTTGCACTGGCTGTCACTTAAAATTTTACTTGTATTTGTGGTTGTACCAATGGCACATGCACTGGTACAACCACATAATGGCATTCATGGTAGTAGTTCATGATAGGCCTACAGGGATCTTAACTGCTGATAGTGATTCTGTGAGTTAGAGAATTTCAGTACAGGGTCACTTTAATAATATTATTATTGTATATTATTCTTTCTTGCACAGTGAATTGATATTATTTTTTCACAGTGATTTGGTCAAAAGTGGAATGATCAGTTTGCAGTAGCCTAAGTGTCAAGAAAAATGTAAGAGTGGAACCTGCTGATCCTTTTAAGATTACATAAAATAAACTTGTTCATGTTTTACGCTAAAAATCTGTTGTAATTTTAAAACTATCATTATAATCTATGAGCCATATTGAAGTCTGCAGTTCTTAAACTTAGAATTATATAAAATACAGCCTTCTGCTTGTAATTTGTTATAAATTTATGATTATAAATAACATATTCCAGTTTAGTCAGGAAGCCAACGGTGATGTGTTTTCCTCAAACATAGCTCATGGAATTTGTCATGAATATAATTTTTCATGCCTTTTATTATGCACACACAAACACATCAACCAGTATTTGAAGCTTCTGCCCAGAAACTCTTGATGTGGCCCTTGTGTTGAGTAAAGGACAGGTCAGACATTCTATCACGTACCTGGACCACACACTCTGTGTTGTGTAACTCTGCTTTGAGATTCATCTTTCAGCCTTGAGATGACCAAAGGGAATTTGAATCGCCTTCTGCGCCGGTTAACAGCACATGGAGCGAATTATGACAGAGATTAGTGAAGATGGCGAGCTGTTTTGCGCTGTAGGCTGCTCCACTTCCTCCCACTAAAATCAACAGTGCAAAGCGTCTGGAAACAATTGTGCTCGAGACCACAGGAGTGCAAAGAATGAAGTTCAATTTTTTTTCCCCCTCTCTTCATGGCGGATACATTAAGGGGGTTGATTGTAAGCTAAGAGAGGCACATGCTGCAAGCTTTTGTACATACAGTACCACGCATACAAACAAAGCTCATCAGATGTGTAGTTTTACCCTATTTTATTCTGTTTGTTTTATCAAGAGGGTGCAAAGAAGTGTGGAAGTATCGGTATGTGTATTTTCTGTGTGCACTGTGTTTCAGGCATATTCAAGTTTGCACAGCTTCTTTTGGACTAGACATGATGCTGGATCACACTTAAAAGAGTTGGCTGGAGCTTTGAGTCTCTGACCTATACACTGACATATTATAGCTGTACAGATGTGCAGACTACTAAAGTTCTCTCATCCGAACACCTCTGCCAGACAGACTGCTTGGTGCCAAAGACAGTTGTTTTTTCTGGATATGTCAAAGCTCTAAAGCTTTACTCATCTCTGTTTCTCTCCTCCCTTTCTGTTCTTGCTCTCTTCAGGATGTGTGTGGTGCAGAATTAAAGGAGGACCAGTTCTTGGATCATGACTGCCCTCTGGAGGGTAAGCTGAGAAATGTTAAGGCCTCATATACACAAGTACAAAAGTATGTGGACACCTCTTCTAATTGTTGTTAGTTCAGTTCAGCTATCATTAGTTTAGGTGTTTCAGCTGCACCCATCGCTAACAAAGGTGTAAAATCAAGCAGATAGCCATGCAGTCTCCACAGATGAACACTGGCAGTGGAACAGGTCATACTCAGGGCTCAGGGACTTTAAACGCAGCATTATCATAGGATGCCACAAGGATGCCACATTGCCACAAGTCAGACTGTGAAATTTCTGCCCTGCTAGATCTGCCCCGGTCAACTGTAAGTGCTATTAATGTGTAATGGAAGTGTGTAGACGCAACAACAACTCAGCCACAAAGTGGTAGACCACACAAACTCACAGAGCGGGGCCACAGAGTGCTGAAGCATGTAGCGCATAAAAATCTAGTCTCTGATTCATCACTTACTACATCACTCATTACAGAATCCCTTTGGGATGCACTGGAATGTTGATTGCCAGTCATCGTCAGTGTCTGACCTCACAAATGCTCATTTGACTGAATGAGCACAAATTCCTACAGACACACTGTAAAATCTTGTGGAAAGCCTTTCCAGCTGTTATAGCCGCAAAGCAGGGAGCCAACTCCATATTAATGCCCATGGTTTTGAAATGGGATGCCCAGCAAGCTCAGGTGGTCAGGTGTCAGCATACTTTTCGCCATATAGTGTAGTTTCTGCACAGCTACACATTGAAAAACTGCCTTTTTTATATTAGGCCAATGATGGACTTTACTGTTTATTGAGGGGCTCCAGGGTTTTGGGCTTTTGGGACATGTCTTATTTTTGGTTGGTTTTATACACTTGAGCTCTTTGACCTTGCAGTAATCCTGCCTCCAGAGAGAGCAGCTGAATACCAAAGTCACAAGCACACACTTTCATCAGAAAATGGAGATACCCCAAGAAAGAGTGCAAAAAGTGATGTAAGTGAACACCCTCAAAAGATTGATCAGCCAATTCCCTTCTCACCACTCAGTAAATGAATTACAATGAACCTTTACTTTCTTGTTGTGTTTGTAACAGGATGTGGAATGTGATGTGCCTGGGGTGGATGAGAATCGCCAAGAGTGGGTGTTCACATTATACGACTTTGACAACAGTGGCAGAGTGACCAAAGAGGTAACAGAGATAGCGCCAACTGTCTTCATGAATCTGGAAAGACGTGCAGTGTCTTAGACTATGTGTGTTTATGAACAGGACATGTCTAGCTTGATGCACACAATCTATGAGGTGGTTGAGGCATCAGTCAAACAGTCTGCATTGAGCAACAGCAAAACACTGCGTGTCAAACTGACCGTCACACCCTGCTCCAGTGGCAACAGGAGAGGTGAGTCTTACTCCACAATTACTGCTCCTTTCTGTGTAATCAGCTGCATTGTGAGCTGTGAGCACACAACATATCTTTAATCTGAATGATTAAAGTTGAATGAATAAAGTTGTTATATTCTCTACCAGAAAACCTGAAAGCAATTGACTTACGTGGTACTTTTAAAAAGAAAACTTCATTTTAAGTCAGATTTTACATTTTGCAGATTTTATTGTTCTGTTTTTATCTTTTTTACCTGTCATGTCTCGGCTGGCCTTCCCGAAAGAATCTTAGTACTAAGATGATTCTTAAATAGTAGAGTGAGCAACACACCGAACACTCTCTCTACCAGTTATGACGATCTTGACACTAAGATGCTTTTAGGAAACTGAGCCCTGCCTGTTCTTGTAAAGCACTTTGTAAAGTTGTTTTAATAAGATGCTAAATAAATGAATAACATTATTTTAAAGTATTGACCCCTTATTGTCCTTTTAACCCACAGCAGATCGAGATACTGGAGTTTCTCTGAACAAGCGGGAGCAGCTGGAGGAGAACCAGCCCACACACAGCAGGTCAGCGCATAATTTAAAGAAAAGGTCCTGACAGCATGCAACCTCAGATTGATGTTAAACAAGGACATCTGTTTGGTCACTTATACACAGCTGGGCAGTTAACAGTCTCTTCCAAGCATGTTCAGCTGTCCAGCACTGCATGTGGCAGAAGAGACAGTACATTATATAGGGGAGCACTATATAGCATATGAACATTGGCTATGGCTAATACCAGGGAGGAAAACAGAAAATAAGAAAACAAAAATAAGCAGTAAGCATTTATTATTATTATTATTTGGTCAGATAAACACTAATGCAATAGTTGAGATTCTGAACAATAAGATAAACAATACACAAGTTAAGGTTCTTTGTGAGTTTATACTTAACCATTTCCAAACCTTTCCTTAAGGAAGCCCAGTATTAATTGTAGTTATCATTCAGTACCTGGTTTAGCAAACCAGTGATTGATTTTGAGGGGAGTTCCACTGTTTTTTCAAAAAACTGCATAATTCAGTTTTATTCAGGGAGTGTTTTTTCTTAAAATGCCCTGCATGGTCCTCTCTGCCATGAATTGATTAAAAAACAAAACTATAAAGTTTTAGTCCAAAACTATCCTTATCATCAGGCAGCGTATTCATAACCATTTTATGTAATAACTTCCTGTGGGAGCATTTAGAAGCAATGCTTCTGACTCTTCTGGTACAGCTTCTCTCCAAAAACAGAAAGATTATAACCCTGTTCTCATAAAACAATGCATATATATATGCACTGTTATATGAGTTAGAACAGGTTTATAAGCAACTTTAAAAAAGCTTAGAGGAGATGATTACATTATCTGGAGGCTTATTAATTCAGTACAACACACCTCAAACACAGACTATTTTTCTGAAATATATCTTTTTAACAACATAATGGATTGCCTACTTATTTGATGCAGTTGCTAAAACTACCTTATGTAAATGTTTATATGTAAATGGTAACTGTTCTTTATTTTTTCACTCTGACAGAGGACAGAGTCCAGATCCTCCAGGCAGTTCAGAGAGGAAGCTTTACCGCGTGGATGAGAACACAGAGCGCAGAAACCACTATTTAGACCTGGCTGGGATCGAGAACTACACCTCACGATTTGAAGCAGGTACCAGGGTGTCAACTCACCATCATCCAGTCTTATAGCTGTTGTCTGAGAAAAAAATCAGCTTATTGTACCTTTTAAAAAAGTGGGAAATGAGAAGAAATTTCCATTCAAACTTGGTTAAGTAATGATAAGAGAATGATGTAATGGTGTGCAGTGTTACACTGAGGTATGTGATATGATGTAGAGACTCATAGCATCTCAGAAGCTTTTGAAATGTCTTTAACTTCTAGAGTGCTCAAGCTGATACGTTGTTGTTCCCATGATGTGACAAATTCACGAGTCATGTGACTAGACCTGCAGAATAATGGCTGTGACTTAAAAGCTTATAAAACACTTCACACATTCAGTTATAGATTATATGATTGCTATTTTGCAGACGGCAAGTAAATTAGAGTAGAAATATTTAGTATAAGTAGGAATACAAATATTTATGAAGATATCTGTTATACATTCCAATGCTTTGGAAGTTGTCTGTAGTATATGCTTATTTTTATTTCTCATTCATCACCATCTCCATCTTTTTTTCAGATAACACACTTCAGTCTCCTGTGGAGGAGCAGTATCAGGACAGTCAGCCTCACGGAGTCCGCTCTACCCACCATCGGCGGCTGCAACCAGACAGCTGCAGCCCAGGGAAGTCCAGTGGTCGTGGAATCTCCTTCCTCAGGTCCCTACGGAGCCGCAGCAAGTCCATGGGTGCTAGTGGGGGCACTGGTAAACCCAGCAGGCTGCACGGCCATCACCCTGTTAGCTGGTGCAGCCCCCCTCAGGCACAGCAGCAGCAGCCTCTGCAATACAGCCACAGTAAGCGTGTCCGTGCCAGGCCCAGAGATGGTCTGTCGCCTTCCATGGCTCACCCCAGCCTGGACTGGGACCTTCAGCCTGGAGTGGGTGCTACTCCTGCAGGGTTTGTCCCAGTGGCTCAGAGGCACGAACACCATCACCTCCATGAACATCATCATCATCACCATCACCACCACTACTACTCATCATGACTGCATTCTCTCCTAAAGAGAGAAAGAGAGAGATAAATAAACTAAGGGAGGGTTCTGAGGCTGATCTACGCGATTGGGAAACTTTCTCCAAAGTCCCATCCAGAATCACCTTCTCCTCCATGTAAAGGAAGACAAATATTTCTACCTATGTGAAGGAATGATCTTTTGTGAACTGATCTAAAAACCTATGCAGCAGTTGGTGCTCTACATGTATTAATGCATTATTAATTTCCATTAATAACCTGCTAATACAATACAACTCAATTTTTGTTTCCTAAGTTCAAAAATCCAATAGGTTCTGACAAAACACTTATTATGGAGTTTTACTGCCACCATGTGTTTGTAAATAGATTTGTTCAGAACGTTGTACTGGTGTAGAGAATGCAATATCTTAGATCATTATGAAAAGTACTCATTGTAATACTGTGGATGTTTAAGTCAGACTCTTTTCTTGGAAGCCCAAAAGACTGATAATATTTTCCTCAGGACTTTCTATAGAAATAACCACTCATTTTATACAATATATATGTCTCATGTATATTGAAGATTTTGTGTATTTGTGCATTAAAATTATAGAACAATATTTATAACCTTGATTGCTGTTTGTGGAAATTCACTTGCAAAAAATATTTTACATCAAACTTTTCTGTGAATTTGAAAACCTTTTTTGCTGATTTTTTTTTCCTTTATTTTGGATACAATGTCTGAAAACAAATACAACAACAACGGGTTGTGCATCTATTGTAGTGTATAGTAATATATTAAAAATACTGTACTAGTCATCTTGTAAAAAAGTATGTATGAAAAAGGAAATGTGTCACAAATATAGTGGCAGTAAAGTAGCTGTATGAATGCCCCTCTGTTAAACTTGTCTGAATTGAGACTCTTTATAGGAAATGTAAATAAAAAAAAACAAGGTACAACATTGCTTTGATCACCTATGTGTAACGGGGCACGCCACAGTATTTCCTGTTGCAAAGCCCAACTTTTCATCAGGGACAATGTTGAAGAAATACTAATGTTAAAAAGTCTTGAGCAGGCAGTGGGATTACTTATATCAAAACACTTTTCATTAATCATGTTATCTGTCATGTTTTGCAATTTTCTGTTGATCAGCATTGTATCCCTCAGCCTCGTCAGCTTCACAGGATATCACAGAACTCACAATATTGGATCATTTTCAGATTTTCTTTACATTATGCAAATCATACAACAAGGCCTAGGGCAGTCCCTGTGGTGTCAACCAGTACTGACTGCTAAACTATCTACTAATCTATAGGTTAATAAATACAACCAAGCATTAGTGTAACTCTTGGTCCTCAATCAAAATGGTAAAGAAAACAGCACAAAATGGACACTTAAGTTTTATCCTTTGTGCCAGAGAAGCTAAACTGATGTACACTATATAGATGGCCAAATAGACTACTGCACTAACTTAAGCTTTTAGCTCATTCTCCTCCTCATCTGATGAGTCACTTCTGTTGTTTGAGTAATCCATTCTCTCCACTCTCTTCCCCATAATGATTTGAAGATGTTACTATGGCTACAATAAGATATTCCACTTCCTAGAAGCGACATTAGCTATCTGGCTTCCTTCTGCATTCACCAAATTTAAAAAATCTAAAAAAGCAGTTGTAGTTCTTCAAAAGTTCCTTCTACTTTAAAGATGCATGATTTGAAGAGGGGTTTCTTAATCTTTAAACCAGAAAATCTCTAGAAACCACTGTGGCACCACTGTAGGGGGTAAGTGAGCATTTATACAACAGATGTAGCAATGGTTAAATGTTTTATTTTTACATCCAGAGTGTCTCTAGAATAAGATATCACCAAGGTAGTTTGACCTACACTCTCGCACTTATTGTACACATATATCACTTTTGAGAACAAGAGGTTTCTGGCAGTAAGATGAGTTGAAGAACATCTACTTCACATTCTTTCATCACTCAGCAGTACCGCATTGCATTTTAACTGTAAGTATCTAGCACACAGAGTACAATCACAGAATAGTGTTTATCATTTTGTAAGGGTAGACATGTCAGAGATGTTGTTTCCTGCTAGTCAAAGTTCCAAACAGAACTCCTGCCTATGAGCCAGGTTCTGCCTGAGGCCACGAGACAGCTGCTTCTAAAAATAAACCCCTCTCAACTACCACCTCCTCACTGTCACACTCCGGCACACAAATCCACATATCCCATGCTCACACATGCCGGCACGACGAAAGCTGAAAAAACACCTTTCAATAACCTTGCCAAAGGGCTGACACCATTCAACAGAACTTTGGTAGATCTCAAGAGAGTCTGAGAAGAGTCATGAAGAGCTTGAAGTTCTTAGCCGCTGAAGGCTTTGTTTTGAGTGGCCCAAGTGCTGGTAAGAACCTCAGCTGTCTGTCTTATGACTTGTACCCAATCCTGTTTAAGGCCAGCTACCTGCAGGAGGCGGCGGAGGTGCTCCATGACTTGGTTGCAATGTGGCCTCTCACAGAGCTCAACCTGCGAAGGCTTCTGAGCAGTACGCTGGACTGCCAGACAGACCTCACCTCCCGCACCTGCAGGCTCTGTCTCACAGCCCTGCTGACTGGTTTGAGGGACTACGTCCTCCATGCTCCAACAACGTATGCCAAAGTTCTGCGAGTGGTGGATCTGACAGGCCTGCAGGACATTGAACACCAGGCCTGCCCCTGCAGACGCACGCTGGGCCGTTGGGCACGTACTGACCTGCTCACTCGCATGTGCTATGAGACCCTGGTGGCCATGCAGGCTGGTCAGTCCGCACCGTCCGCCTTTGAGTTGCAGGTGGATGTCCAGCTTGATGCTTTTGTTACTGGACGGAATTATGAAGTTGTGACCCAGGCCCTCCTCCTGGTAAGGCACTGTCCTCTCAAGGTGCGATGTGTGGGCCTGCGCATGGACTCGCTGTCCCTCAAGAACCTCTTCTACCTGCTGCGGCTTGCTGAGCCCAAGGGTCTGCGGAAGCTGGAGGTGGTGCACAATGTGCGGCTGGAGGCGCCACACCTGGAGGTGATGTTCTCACAACTACAGTTCCCCCAGTTGCGTTCTCTCACTCTGCCAGCGCAGGCACTGGATGTGCGCAGGCTGGGTTCGGAGGATGAAGGCCTGCTGGGGGTGCTGGGAGAACTTATGAGCAAGATGAAGGAGCTGAGAGAGCTCTACCTTGGCTTCTCCACACTCACAGGACACCTGCGCCAACTGCTGAGGTTAGGAGTCTCAAAGCCATTTTTCAATATTGTCTTTATAGCAGGCTAGCATTTCATACTTTTTGAATAATTGCTTTGTCTATTTTAAGTGTGGTGCATGGCGGTTCTTACTTGTTGTTGCTACTTGTGCAACCCTTAACTTACTTACTAGCAAGTTAGCAGGAATAAACATCAACACTAGTTTGAAATTGACAAATTCAAATGACATTGTTTTGAAATGTTAAGTAATAGAGAAAATGACTTTTGCATCAGCTGACTGCCCTCAATAAACTTGAGGAAAAACTTTGATTGAGGTAACTTGAGGCAGAAACATATGAGGTCATGTTGTTTCCTAGAAAATTTCAACAAGGCTCAATTTCAATATGACTCTTGGAATATAGGGCTGGTTCCTGGACATTTCAATGAGAAAATGTAGGGCCCAGGGAACATAGGACCCTAAGAACACAGGGATGATCCCAGCAGAGGCAGAGTTCAGAGTTAACAGCAAGTTAGCATGTTGTCACTGACAAAAAAATCAAACAAACAAACAAAAAACAACAACGAAAAAAACAAATATCTCCAAAATTGCAGCTTTACAGGAGAAGGCAAAAATGTTTCTTATTTCCATTGCACATTAAGACATTATGGCCCATTCATCATGACATTGTCACACAGTGTAAAGGTCAGCTGCAGTGCTTAAACCATGTGGAAGATTTTTTAAAGAACTGGACACACAAGATGTTTTTTGAACAGCATCAACACACATCACCACAGCCCTTGTCACCTTGATGGTTTATATGCGATAGGACAGTGGTCTGTTTGTAGTGCCTGGCTGCTAAAATGCAGACAGCTGCTCCATGCCAAAGCTACAAGTAGGCCAGACCACATCCCTGGCAGCCAAATCTATGTGCAGACAGCTGAGTAGCTGTCTCTCGAAAGAGCAGTCAAAACAATGCTGAGTGTGGAAACAGAAACACATTAAATATATGGTTACGAGATTTGCATAGAATAACATTCAAAAAGCCAATAGAAGAAAGAAAAGCTTAAGAGCTAATCTGAAGGTTGCGTCTTGGAAAAGTTTATGCCAAATTTTCTTATTCTTCTAATTGTGAATCTGTGAATTATTATTGTACCATAATAATATACTTAGCAACTGCTTACGATCTCTCCATGGTGCCCAGTCCTTTGGAAACCCCACTGCAATGTATAGAATTGGCTAACTGCAACCTCAGCCCAGTGGACATGGCTTACCTGGCCAACAGCCTGCACAGTGAGTTCATAATAAAGCTGGACCTGAGTGGCCATGTGGTGGCTGATCTCTTTCCTAACACCTTCCGTAAGCTGCTGCATCGCTGTTCAGCCTCGCTCACCAGTCTGGGTCTGGAGGAGTGCGGCCTGGCTGATGACAACTTAGATCTCCTGACCAACGCTATAGCACCCTGTCGTGGCCTGCAGGAGCTTAAGATCCTGGGCAACCCACTGAGCACAGCAGCCCTGCGTCACCTCTTCAACATGCTGGCACAAGACTACTCAGCTTTGAGGTAAAACATCTAGGTAGCAACCAGCTGTTTCTTAAAAGGCTGGGTAAACAGCTGTCATGTCAACGTGTTCATAGTTGTGACATAACAAACATGAAGTCAACATATTTCGGAAGCTTAGTTTCCATTTTTGTATTGGTATGTTCTGAAATTTTGACTGTTTGGAAAATACATTGAATCCCTTTATTTCAAAAACTATGCTATGGCCCCTTAAATGGAATTTCGCTTAATAATGTAGTAATTTTCTGCCAAAATATATTACATTGGATTATGCTGATGAGTGACCTTCGTTATTAGGTATATAGAGCTGCCGGTGCCTCGTGACTGTTACCCTGAAGATGCATCTTACCCGCTGGATGATTCCACGCTACTGATGTATGATCGTGCAAAGTTTCACCAAGCCAGAGCAGAACTGGTAGGAATCCTGGAAAGAGCTGGAAAAGGCCACATAGAGGTATGCTCACCACTATTTGGAGTCTACGATCCTGACATCCATGAGACAAGTAACGAACTTGGGGTTTCCATGCTGCACTCCTTTAATAATGTAATAGGCAACTTTATAGACACTGTGACAAATGTCAGTGAACGGAGAGAGCAAAGCATGAGGGAGTGAAATTGTGGAACTGTGGAAGTATATTTATTGTCCTACATAAAAATGAGTAGCAATCATTTCCATGTTGTACTACTTGCATGCAGCTAGTTCCAAACTTTTCATACTTTGGTGTTGCAGGACAGCAAAATCTGTAATTTTGCATGCCGTCTTACAAAATATGAACAGATAACCGTGTGAGAGAATGGTGAAAAAAAAAAACCATCTATTATTAAAGCTTTAAACTGTGCAATATGGAACTGGATTTTAATGATT